TCAACAGCTGTTGAAGTAGTTATGATAATTCAAGACTCTTCCAGTATTAGAAACTGCATCTATACAATGGTCAAGGTATCACGAACTTCGCCTTGACTGCAATAGCAACCTTTCTTGTATCACGGAATGCAACGATCAGATCGGAGTTTATGCTATCGCCTACAGCCAATCAGACCCCTCGCCAGAGAGACTATAAACATAATACCCCTGATCAGATGATAGGCATGTGGCATGACAACGGGTTAGGTACCAACCATGGTACGATCTCATACGACAAGACCCTTATCAAGCCTACTGGCAGGCTGTCTTTTGTTGTTGTCTTTTTCAATGATGAGTACAAAACAGCCTGTGAGATTCAATCCTAAAGTGTAAATTACTGAGCTCATATTATGTCTTTACATGTATATAGTTTATATTTTATTCCCGCTGGCAATTTGTTAATGACAATGAATATCGTGTAGGTATATAAACAGTTTTAAACAATTAATACATTATTCAAATTGGCGCTATTTATTCTTCTCTGCAACTTCGTTATGGCCTTATTCTCCACCTTAAAACATCAGTTCATATTTGACATCCATCACACAAGCATCGTAAGCTCCCTGTTGGGTAAAACAGGTTTCGATTTATCAAGAGTCATAGAAGATATGTCCCAATGCCATACATTAAAGAAACATCCCAATTAAAAGTGTTAATTGGGCTTACAGGCACTTTAAATGCCGAGAAACAGGCTCTAAGGGGTCTGGGGGCACGCTCCCCACTGGAAATATTTTCAACATAAGGCGCTTAATTCCTGTACATGTATATCATTGAATTTTAATTAGTATATTTTTCTATTTTATGTGGGGGTTTTTAAATGGGGGGAGTTGGAGTGAGGGGGGTGTCACTGCTACTGGCTATAGAATTCGCATGTAACTCTTCACCCCCATGGGTAGCCTACTAAAATGGTAATAATAGATAATAACATCAGTATTCAGATTTTTATCACTGCAACAGCTTATTCCACATCTAAGTAAAAAGGTTATTGCAAGAAAATGTGCGTAGGCTACACTTAAAGGGATTGTAAAGAGGTTTTCAACTTTTTTATGTGTATTGGGAGCACTAATAGCATCAATTTGCACTTTTTCAATTTTCAATCAGTCGTCTGTGGTTCCTACAGTTTCACTAAAACTAAGTGTTTTATGTCATCCCTAATCGAGAAGTCCTTGTGTGATAAAGCATATTATTTTGCCATTAGTAACGCCATAAAACAATTAGTTTTTTTGGAATTGTAGGAATCAAGGACGTCTGAAAAAGAATTGTGCAAATCGATACTATCAGTGTCTCCGATACACATAAACAATTTATTCGGGATACGATGGTGAAAATTATACGTAGTATTTTCGGGGGAAGTCAAACAGATTGGCAGACAGTATTTGGTATCGATGGGTAGTATATATCTCAATCTTTGAGAGAAATAACCGAATATTGTTCGAAGCGCAGTTCTATTTAGCATAAAAAGAATGTAATCATTATTGACAGAATCAATTCATTCATCCCCGACAGTTTCCGTCATGCTGTTACTGAGCAAAAGCGGAACTTTCATATAAGATCGTTTGGGTAACTAGTACTACACGACGCTGTCCGAGTACAGAGGAATCAACATAGTTAATCATGTTTATTTGGCATACTACTGATTATCTAATATAGCGAATATAAACTGTATAAAAACTACTAAGTTGATTGAACAAGAGTTAGATTGACTAAAATGACAAGTGGGTGACAGCTGCGCCTATAAAAATATTATAAAATATAGTCCGGGTGATGGATGGTCGAGTCTATTATTTACCGTCTATATACTGTATACTAATCATTTCCCGACTGGTTTGCTTACGTATCATGGTTTAATGTACTGTACATCCTTTTCGGTGTTTTTACATGTAAAATTCCTAACCTGACTGTTGGAGTGTTATGTGGTGAATTTTGTTATTCTGTTCTTATTTAAAGACGTTAGTATCCTTATTTCACTGTGGTATATTTAGCGCTTATTTGGTGTTGTTACACTTTTAGAATTGCTCTGTATGGAAATTGTTCAAGGTTGGATACATAATGACTCGACTTTAAGGAATATTGTTAAATTTCCCTAGCATTGGTTTATAATCCAAAAATTGCATAACAATATTTGAAGTGAGAGAGACGTGCCAAATCCGCTATAAATGTAGTATGTAGGCTATTTCGTATGTGTCGGAATTCAGGGTTTATTTCAAATAGTGAAACTTGCTGTAAGTTGATTACGTTGATAAATGGGTATAAGACAAGGGGACATGTTATCCCGTATTTGATTGATGTAGTGTATTGTTGAATTGATGTCATGATAAATCTTAATTAATGATATTAGTTGTACTTTCAATTTATTGCTCTGAAATACGTTGTTTATTATTATGTCAATGACGTCAGACATGACAGGTACTCGTTGTGACCGTAAGTGACGTCATAAATTTCCTTATTCTTATCATGGCCTCTCGTAATGGATTGTAAATTGAAAAGTGTAAATATATCATTGATACAAGTGTATTCATTTTGAAATCTGGTTTGTTTTTATTTAGTGGAAAATATTTCTTTGAAATGGATTTGTGCATGTAGGGTGCGTTTATCCTAAATAAGGCCTGGTGTTTGCGATTGTGTTTTTCAGCTCAGCCTGCTTGTATCATTAAGCTGATAATGACATTATTTAGCTATGAAACTGTATGAAATGTACTGGTTCTGAATATTAAATCGATGAATTTGAAAAGTTTATCGAATTTCCACAATTCCATTTGAACACCTGGTGTTTTCGTTGGGAAATTGTTAAAAGTCTAGTATGTTGACTTCGCTCAATAATAGATGAAGAAGCGAGGGAATTCTTTTAAACTTTGTGCACTTTTTATGGAATTCTTTACAGCTTCTAGGTAAGCCTACTGTTATATTATGGTGTACTTTGACAGTTGTGTTTATTTCAACCTTATGTTTAATGTATGACTTCAGTGTCGTATCTTTGATCGACAGTGTTAGGGTTGATACTTATTTCCGCTAGGTTGGCTTTCTAGTTTCGTTTTACATGGTCAGATTTGTTCAACAACATAGGAAGTTTCTGTAATTGTTTAGGGTATATATTTATATGGTATCACCAAATCTAAGCTACCCTACTCACAAATACGATACGATATTAAAGGGTACAATGGACTCCTATTGTTATCGACACCATTCCTGAAAGTTACTATACAATAGTAAGATCGTATTAACGTTAAGTTAAATTTTAGTGGTTAAGAAATAGGCGGACGGAGCGAAAGAACTACTTAAAACCTTACGCTAGCTGTCAGTGAGAATGTCACGTGATTGCAAAATATTTAACCATTAAGTGAGCCACTAAATAGAAAATGTAGACAATGCTGATTGGATAAAAAAGAAGTGGGTTAAATTTTTAAACAAAAGAACACAATTAATTCGACAATAGAATGAACGATATTATTGAACTGTAAACTTCAATGTATCATACACTACAACGATAGAAATCAACTTTACTATGTGTTTATTTGAAAAGTTGAATAATTCATCATTTGTAACGCTTGATAGCCTATACTGATATCATTATTATTAGTTTATTATATTAGACCTACTTCATTATATGACTCTTATTCATTATTAAATACAATGGGAATCGAACAACGGTATAAGGATGCAATGGACTCAGGCTTGAAATTGAATTGAAATTGTTTTGCAAATTGAAAGAAAATTAGCACGATTTCCAGCTTGACAGAGAATTGTGACAGATTTCCGGATGACAGAGAGTATTGAAATATTTTTCAGATCGGGATAGTTTTCAGTTTGACAGAGGATGAGGATAGTTTTCGGTTTGACAGAGGATTAGGATAGTTTTCAGTTTCACAGAGAAATGGGATAGTTTACAGTTTCACAAAGAATTTGGATCTGTTTGACAGAGAATTAGGATAGTTTTCGGTTTGACAGAGGATTAGGATAGTTTTCAGTTTCACAGAGAAATGGGATAGTTTTCAGTTTCACAAAGAATTTTGATCTGTTTGACAGAGGATTAGGATAGTTTTCAGTTTGACAGAGCATTAGGATTGTTTTCAGTTTGACAGAGCATTAGGATTGTTTACAGTTTGACAGAGGATTAGATAGTTTTCAGTTTGATAGATGATTAGGATTGTTTTCAGTTTGACAGAGAAATGGGATAGTTTTCAGTTTGACAGAGGTTTAACAGAGGATTAGGATAGTTTTCAGTTTGACAGAGGATTAGGATAGTTTTCAGTTTGACAGAGGATTAGATAGTTTTCAGTTTGACAGAAGATTAGGATAGTTTTCAGTTTGACAGAGGATTAGGATAGTTTTCTGTTTGACAGAGGTTAACAGAGGATTAGGATAGTTTTCAGTTTGATAGAGGATAGGATAGTTTTCAGTTTGACAGAGGATTAGGATAGTTTTCAATTTGACAGAGACTTGGATATTGTTTATTTTCTTTAATGAAATACATTTAAGGTTCCCAGGAAACATATAAATATTAACAATTGGATTTTGAGCATCAGCATTTTAATATGAGACATATTTATTTGAAATAATCCTACAGGAATGTCAAGGTGTTTTCATCATGGTGAAATTAAAGCTAGGTTGCCCTGCAATGAAGCGAAAAATATAAATTTTAGAGAATTAGTTGGCATTAATTGAATTATAGATAATCCTTTGAATATTTTTAACAGATTTGAGAGAAGATCAATATTTATGCAGGACGCTGACCAAGATTTTTTGGATCACCAATGAATTTAGATTGAGATCTAGCAATTGTGCTTATGACGTGTGAAAGGATATTCTGTTTGTTTGTGACAATGTACTTTAAATCCACATTATTATTATTGTGAGGTGTCGGAAGTGATGTAACGTCCGCTCTACAAGGATTACGAACTACAATAAAAATGGAGTCTGAAACGGGGGACTGTATTTGTGGTCGGACTGGTAAGAACATACGTCTGGTGTTTCTGATACTGTTTATTATAGGATATCTGTGTTTTGGAGCTCTAATTTTTGAGATCCTCGAACAACCAGTAGAGGATAAGCTTATTCAAGAATTAAAAGCACATCGAGTAAATTTCTTAACTGAAAATAGCTGCGTTACAGGTAAACACGAGAGTTACTATTTCCAGATTTTGATTACGTTTTACATTTAAACCAAAAATGTTAGTATCCGTTAGTATGTCATTTTTGTCAATTAAAGCATATTAAAACATCGTGTATTAAAATGTAAAACTATTAAATATATAAAACCGATTTCATTATAGAAATTCTATAAATCCATGCATTATTTAATCATGTATGCCATATCGTGTATATATAAATTTATATATATATATATGTATATTTATATTATCACACATTATGCTTCTTAATTTCATTAGACATTAAAAAACTAGAGCATATCGCAACAATGATTTCGCATAAACCAGATTTTACTGAATAGCTTATTATTTTATTTCTACCATATACATGGCCTATTTTAATGAGTTGGTCTTGGAACAAATTTATTTAAGTGACGTCTCTGCTGCCATAATCTTACTTATCACCCAAGTAGATAGTCTACCCCTCGTCCACACCCCAATCCCCCCCTCCCACACACACAATCTCCTCCCTCCCCCCCCTCCTGCTTTTTGTTGTGTTGCCTATAAAATTATTTTTAGCATTAGTACAACTGTAGCTCCCAATCTAAATCCATGTATTCCATCTCTAATTGCAGATGAAGAATTAGAAGTTTTTATAAAAGAAGTGGTATCGGCTGCTAACCGTGGTGTTTCGGCCGTTAACAATGTAACAATGACCGACGCCAACTGGAGTTTTGGACAAGCTTTATTCTTCGCTGCTACAGTTCTTACTACAATAGGTAAAGTACCATTCTACGTTATTTTCATTGTCGATTGTCATTTGCTATCCATTTGCTATATTTGAACTCTCTCCAAAAAGTAAGGTGCAAATACACATTTCATGAAACTTTGATCCACCGAGTCTTGTTTTCCTTTATTTTGGAAGTTAATCAGCAACGCAATCCTTGGTTGTAAGAAGCCATTAATTAGGACTACATTTTCTAGCAAAAATTCCCCCAAATGCACTTTCAGAACCTTCGTTGATGAAGTCTTTAATCGGATTTATTTCATATTTACAGGTTATGGTCGAGTAACTCCACTATCAGACGGTGGGAAGGGATTCTGTATCATCTACGCTGTGATAGGAATTCCGTTAACCCTTATTCTGTTCACTGCTCTGGTGGAAAGGTTGATGGTACCAGCTAAATACTTCCTGCTTTTCTTATACAGAAAACTTGGACACATCTACAAAATATTCCACATTCAGTTACTCCATCTTGGAATTATCTTGGGAACTTTCATCCTGTTGTTTATTCTGATCCCGGCCGCCATCTTTGCTGTGCTGGAACCAAAATGGAATTATTTAGATTCGTTTTATTATTGTTTTATATCGCTGACGACCATTGGTCTTGGAGACTATATACCTGGTGATTCAGCAAACCAGCATTACAGAGCTATTTATAAACTCTCAACTACAGGTAGGGTCTGTTTGATTACTTTACAATCTGTGTCCAAATACATTTAAAATTAGAAATAAAAAGTCTTTGATTTCTCTCATTGCACAGTGCATGAAGTTTCCCGCCATCTTTAGCTGGAATAAAGTACTTTCCCGGTTAAAATAGTGCTCAATCCTATCTATTAAATGGTCTAAAAGATTATTAGTTTCCAGCTAAAGATGTCATTTTATGCTAATAATGTACTGCCAAACCGTCATTTTGGTTTTCGGGTTTCTTTTTGTTAGAATTTTTTTTTCATTCTTTCTATCTTAAGTAGTTTTCCAATGACTATATTTTCAATTTCAGCCTACCTATTGATTGGTCTGGTGATGTTAATGACAGTGTTAGCAGTAGTCTACGAGATTCCAGAGCTCAACCTGGGGTTCCATTTTTATATGAAGAGTGACGGCGAAGCTGACGAGACAACTTCTCTTAAATCTAGCTCTGACCCCAAAGGACCTAAATATACGAAGCAAAGAGATGAAGATATGGAAACGGAAAGTTATCAGAGTCAGTCGGTACCTGCTGGTAGTCCAGTGGAAGATAAATAACGAAGGTACTCCTTAGGAATATGAAACACGTAAAAGAACGAATGTGGGTGGTGATTTTGTTTAGGGCAGACAGTGGCAACGCCAGTGGGGGTACAGGGGGGCTTAGGACATTTGTCAAAAACTTTATCGCATTTTGAATCTCAACCTCGACAGTTGTCATCTCACTAAGTCTGTCTGCCCTCTTTTTGTATCCCTAGCTCTGGGAGGCTGGCGCCACCACTGGTTAAGGGACACACAGAACTTTTTGACTTTTTTTTCAAAAACCAAAATATCGGAATGTTATTTGTCTATATAGTATAACTAAATGATATTGAAGTGACATAAGGACCCAACATTATATTTTGTGTTTTGTTGAAAAAAATATGTTTATGTTTGGGTTTTTTTAAGATCGCGCTTTTACTTGAAATTTTGGAATCGGGAATCCATACATGGTAAGCAATTGTATGCGTCATGCATTAAGCCTATTTCATCATTAATGATTGTTGTGGAAACATCAGGGAGATTTGGGTTATTTTAACTGTTGCTTGGTGTATACCTGAAATGTTTATAAATTTTATTGAATGGTTACTATACGTTTTTGTGGGTTACGTCACTCATAATAGAACTAACAAAATCAATTTTAATCACCTTTCCCCTTTTTTCTGATGACGTGAATGGTTTTAAAATTTATGCAAACAACGAAAATTTGGATAATCAACTATAAACCAAACTACCATTTCTATTCTGTAGTTTGACACAAACGTCAATATTGAATTATTGATAATAGTTATTTTTGTGATCAGCGCCTACTTAATCTGAAGTTGATATCCGATTTTCATAAGTGTTATGTATGACACTGCAGCAAGCGTTCAATTTAAAACTCCTTAAATACTGGCGATTTGCCGGTTCATATCTGTAAAACTAACACTAGCCAAGCTTGAATGTGAAGGATTGGTGCTGGAATAGATAGAGCTCAGAATAAATCTATGTATAAACTGCTTCATTTTCGTGATTTTCAAATGCTCAATAATCGTAATTTTTGTAATGTGGTAATTAATCTTATTTTAGTCAATCATGACAATGGAAATTATATCTGGTTGGCGTTTTTTTCCATACCGACATTGGCGTATTTAGGGGGTGGGCCTTCTTAATGCTCAAAATTCGTCTCAGCCATCTGAAATACGTTGGCTGTTGGGTGCCTTTGGTATTTTCTAGAAACGCCCCTGCATACCGATTAGCTAAACTTTAAACAAATATGTAAAAAACCTAATCCCTTTCTAGGCACCGTAATTTTTTCCCTACGCTGAAAAGTATTTGCCAGATGTCAGTTAGCTACAGTCATTGCCGACAGTGTGAATGGAACTTTATTATTATTATTGATTGTTGTAAAGTATAACAATGAATTATTTATGAACTAAAAGGTTGTGTTTTATCAGTTTTCTGTGTGAATTTATAAGTAGTCAAGTCATGCATCTGTTATTTCTAAAATTAGCTCGATATTATCTCATGCTTTTAGTGGCAAAAAATGCATCTGAGTTCTAAAATATGTTCGTGGTTTATCTTTCATTCTTTTCCCCCAAATTGCTTTTTTGTCTTTTGTGAGACGAATTTTAACTCAGATCTTTGACAAAGATGAAGAAAAAGCTCTTTACATTAGATCTATATGATTCTAGTCGAGCACATTTTTGTCACATTTGTGGTTCAATTCAAATCATAAACACAAACGGTCTACATTATTTTGAACAGAAATGAACACAAGACGTTTCTATTTATCCAAAAATATATATCCAAGTTTTTATTTTAATCGCATATGGACAGTAGCGGCGCCAATGGGGTTAAAGGGATTCAGTCTGCCCTCTATTTGTACCCCCTAGTCTCGGTGGCTGGCGTCGCTACTATCCGAAAATAAGAAACAACAGTTTTTATGGATATAGACTTCTATTTATTATTGAACACGACGTTTCATTACACATACAGGTAACGTTATCAAGTGATAAATAAATAAAAGCCTATATCCATAAAAACTGTTGTTTTTTTATGTGCTGTGATACTTCTACATGTCTTACAAGGATTATATCCGAATACATATTTAAATTTGGATCTATGTACTATTATTAATTTCCAAGGCTCAAAACATTCTCTAGAATTATGTTGTCAATTTCTAAAATTCAGTTTGTTTGAAATGACTATATTTATTGTTATTATTGTGCAATGTTTATGAATTTACAAAATATATAAATGTTATATTATTATATACTGACTTATTTATTTCAAACTCAACCATCATAACGTCAGATAGGTACATCTTTCTAAAACATAAACATCACAAACTGTGGCTTTCAAGGCAGGTGCTTTATTCTAAATTGTTATTGCCTTATTTGAAATATTTGAATTCAAATCCTTTTTAGAATTCCTACTAAATGGAGGAGGGTCAAGGGTTCTTTCCAAACTTTATGTTTCAAACAATCAGCTGGCCAATCAATGCTTGTGGATTTTAATTATTTTGATGATAGTTTTCCTTATTTTTTCATTGATGCCATAAAGTATACACAAAAAGGTGACATAACATAATATATTATTATCCATGTCATAAAGTACTACGCATTATACATGCAATTATACAGTACAGCAACATAAGATAAGAAGAATACTTGAAATCAGTAAATCACAAATCTATATTAGTTGTCAATAATGTCACATCCCTGATTTCTACTATCAGAGAGAAGTAATAATATTATCCTCTATAGCACAATTTAGGCTCTGTCCAAATTTCAGTCATTCTGCTGTTGCTTTACAAGGTTGATTTGCAATTTGTTTACACTTCCTTTGAAGGTCAAAGTTTACAACCAATCTGGCAAAGTTCAGAGGTCAATCTCCATTTTAAGAAAGTTAGCATCAATCAGGTCTCTAAGTGTCTATATTTCAAGACTCTCATATAACAGATGTGGAGGCTGCCTCTGAGTAATGAAACAGTCCACCTAGAGCATCATGTAATGCACGTTGACAACACTGTACAGCACTGAACCCTCCTCCTCTCTCTGATTCAGATACAGCTCGTATATTTAACAAATAACTGAAATAGACAATATATAAAGGATGGATTATTTCACTGACACATGTATACATTTTTTTTAATCTTAATACAGTACAGTATCAGATGATATGTACAGTGCAGGTACACCAATACCCTAGAAAACGGATGGCCGAATTTTGCCAGCACCCGTATCTCATGTATTCACTTCTACGATTTTCTTCTATATCAATCATTCCACACCATACAGGACACCTCATTTAATCACAACCTTCTTTATTATTGTTCATGACTTACCCATTAAGTTTTATTTCTTCCTCTGTAGGATATTCTGGTCCAATTCTCTCTAAATCAAAACCTTGATAAGAATAAACAGGGTTTACTTCTGTTACTGGCATAGGGATGAATCCAGTTCCTTGACCCTGGAAATACAAACATTTATTATTATATCTAAGCATTAGGCATGATCGCTCGTAAGTCCTGGCCTGTAGTCTCGAAACAATCTTAGCACTAGGATGTCCTAGGTTCTTATCTTCTAACATTGATTCTAGGACATCTTAGCGCTAGGATAGAAGATTGATTCTAGGATATCCTTGCGCTAAGATCGTTTCGAGAATACAGGGCCAGGTGCCAAAAGTCAGAAAGATTATTTCAATCATTAATTTTAAAATATTTGTTAGGTTTACTTGGATATGTTAGAATTTCACAAATATATACTCATGCATTGAAATATTTAGTTCATACTGAATTAGATTTCTTTGTGTAAATTTGGATAAGTCCAGGCAATCCTTTCGAAAATATGATGTTTATTTAAACATTCTCATAGCATGGATACAAAACAATCATTTTAGGTAATTGTATAAAAGAGACAAAATTAGAGTCAGAAAAGACATGGGAGCAATAAAAAAGAAACAAAATAAGTCAACTAACCCTCTGTATACCAGTAGAATAAATGGTGGTCTGAGATGGTTGGGTTGTGATGTCTGATTCTACCTCCATAGCAGTATTCACTGAAGATTTGTGCATGTTGAGTATATCATTAGCTGACATGTCAGAAAACATCTGAAATACAATTAAAAATCTAAATATCTCCTTCATTAGCAACATTATCACATTCCACATTTCCAAAACAGCATCCATATCACCCAATTTACCCTATCCCTTGGACTTTCCACAACCAGAATATTAATGATATTGAAATAATACATCATAAAATCAGCACAAAACACAATTGGATAGTAAAATTTGGTTAAACGAACTATGGGTAATCACTCTCATATTACAAGGTCCTTAAAATTTACAACCTCATACCAAACTATTTAAATAAAGTGAACTACAGACCAATTAATTTCTTGATGAGGGAAAAATTAACTGAACTTTTGTCCACAAGACTTTTGACTTGGACCCGAAGTTCATCAATTTAAAAAAAATGTCAAGAAAATTAATCTTAATATTTTGTGACTTTACTTACCAAATCATCAATAAGAGCCTCTTTTTCCCTGCGTTTTTTATTTTTTTCGTTCAGTTCTGACTCATGGATCATCTGTTTGCGAATAGTAGAGTTCTGTTGTTCTTCTTCTATTAACATTTCTATATATTCTTCATCTTTACTCTGTTAGGATAAAATAGAATATTTTGAGAATGAGAAACAAACAAGAGACATTGCAAAAATGTCTTCATCATGAGCTACATGGACTCTAAGAAAGGTATGCAGAGATGACAAACCATGTAGTAAAGTGGCATTAGGAGTTCTCACAGATCGAGCATCTATACCTACCATTGGATTCCTGATTTACACTACTTTACATGACACAAATCATTCTATCAAAGATTATAGTGGTGAGTGCCAACTTAAAAGGATGTTGACCATCATGCAGGAGTCAAGTATAGGGGAAGATGAGGTAAGAAACCAGACGGAAAAAAGAGACACACCTTGATTATTTATTCAAGACTGTTTGTAGCTTTCCCTAGTTTTTCGTTACATCACAACAACTATAAAATTCATCATGGAAGCCTTGAAAACAATGTAGGCAAGTTTTTTTTCAATTATCTCAGGTGTAATACCAGAAATAAAAGAAGAAAGAAGGAAGCTTTACTGTTACTTACAAGTTTTGAATAATTTTTACGTATTGAATCTTTATTTTCCTTTCTGTACGTTTCTACTTGTTTTTTCGTTGATTCTACATCAATATTATTAGCTAAATTATAAACTGAAATGAAAAGATGTTTTTCATCAAAGAAATACAAGCACCTGCAAATTTCCTTTCATTTTCAACTTCAAAGTCTGATACAGAAAATGTATGAATAAGGAAGCAAATGTTTAACATATTAGAAACTAATTTGAAAAGAATTTCAGATACCCTTCAAGACCTGAAAGAATTAACATGACATAAGTATGTCTATCAAATTAATACTAAAACTAGCAAACAAACTTCAAATAGTGTTTGTTATTTTAAAAGCAAGGTGTCTGACCAATTAAAAACCTTCTTGGAGATGATTTATAAGGATCCTAGAACTTACTTATAGTCTCTATCATTTCTAAATAATCATTATATTCTCTTAAAGTATTAAAATCTTCTTCCTTCTTGTTATAACTGGAAAATATTATAAAATATAAACACTTGTTCACACACATTACTGTGGTCTTCATAGTGTCCATGTCCATGTCCATTATGAAATCTTGTTTCTTTGCTCAGTGTAACATTTCTTATATGATTGATATACTTCCTCATATAAAAAATTCATTAGCAACAAACAATGTTTGCCAATATGTTTTGGATTTCTGGTTTGGTTTTGCTGTTCGGATCATTAATGCTTTGGTTTTTCTTTTTTTTTTATGACATATCCATGAGCTCTCCCTTGAATGATTTTATACTGTTCAGAATGTCAGTGCAAGATCAATACTTACTCTTTTAGAACTTTCCTTCTAATGTCAACTTCCTTTTCAACTTGTGGATCCTCAAAAATCTGATATCTAAAATTACTTCTTCGTATGGCAGTCCCACATTCTGGACATGCCCCTGATCCTTTTATAAATAACAAATCTACACAATTATCACATCTGAAAATAAATAGCAAGGTTCTTAATATGCTGTCAGGGGTGAAACCGAAATATTAAAGTATGCCAATCAAATCACTACATTAACATTAAATAGACATTCTCAGCTAACAACTTACAGTGTTGTCATCTAATTTAGGAATAAGAACAATACAGCTGTACGTTTTTCTATTTTGGTGGTGATTATTTTCACAAATCACTTTCTGTCAGAATGAAAAATTAACTGTGGTCTGGTTGGATTAGTCTATACAAGACTAAGAGTACCTTTGAAACCAACGAATACTTACAATGAATGGCCACAGACATTGACCATGAGTTTCAAAGACGGGTTTCTATATTTGGTTGTCTTACATCTTGGGCAACCCTGTTCATCCATTATTAACTCAATCCGTCTTCAATTGAAGTCACATTCACAGAAATGTCATTTCAAGCGAGAAAAACAACATGATGATTCCATTTAATACACCTTTCTAACCTCTAATGCCTCGATGAATGAAAAGCCCATCAAGGGGCGCAACTAGTAATCATGTAGACCACAGCTAACTTTGTTTCACTCTTCATACAAACAGTCGAAAGTTTTCCACTACAAGCAAGCCCAGTCTCCATTCGTGTCATAAATAAGCAGAATTACCTCTGTCATGTTTTCTCTGAAAGAATATCGACTTGACAGACTCAGTGACACACCTACATCAGGTAGTCAATAAAACAAGAAAATGCCCTCATTCTGTTGCACCAACTGTCACATTACTTTTCAGCTAAAATAGAGGTTTCAATCTTATTTAAAACTGTCCTGACTGGAGCTGTCCTGACATAATTTCCCTCGTTGTAGCCTACGTTTGCTAGCGTTACCGCCAAAGTTACCAAAATTAAATGAACGAATTTGCCCAATTGTGATATTCTTGCTTTTCAGCATATCTTCGGCTAAAATAAAAAGATTCTAGCAGATATATATTCCAATCCACTCTTCACATGATAAAGTGGAGAAAATAAATGGAATCGAAGATCTGGTACTAGTACGTACTCAGGGGAGGCTGACTGACGAATAATTCGTCAAAAAAGCAACAAATAAGAAACTACAAATTACTCATATAAATATCATTTCATTAAAAGCAAAATATAAAACATCATTCATTCGTTGATATACAACTTTTAACACAAAAATCCTCCGAACTATTGTCCATGAGACTTTTGACTTGGACCCGAAGTTCATCAATTGAAAAAAATGTCAAAGAAAGTTTATCACAGCACTGAAAAAATAGCAAAGTTCGGCAAATTTCAGTTACAATTCTCGAATGAAAACTGCTGTCCTGGAACGAAGCAGAAATCGTCAGTTCAGTGCACTTTTTAAGTCTTTGGGACAGAGCTTTAGCAGTATTGTCAAAGATGGGCAGCGATATCATATTTTGGTTCTCATTTTTTATGAGCGTTTGAGACAGGCACCGAGCCACAAGCCGAACGAAATATAGTTCATCTCTATAAGTATTCATCTCTCCTTTATCAAAAAGCCTCTCGTCTTCGAATTCTTCCTCCTCGTCACCCAGCAGCAATTTCAATAAAGTTTGCAAAACCTCATTTGGTCGAGTGGGAAAATGAATCTCGACCATTTTGCGTAGGAGTAGGTCCAAAGCATGCCCTGGTTGAACCTCTCCGGGTGAAGAAGCATCGAGTTTCAGATAAACTTTGGACGCTACTTCTTTCACGTCCAAGTCGTCCTCTTGAAGCAGATCGAAAAGAATAGTCCAAAAGTCCAAAGTCATATCTTTCAAAGTTCCCTTATCATCACGCAGTACGATGTCCGTATTGTCCAAGAGTGATTGGGCGACAGCTAACTGAAGATCTGCATCCTGTTCGGTTGAAGAATGTTCTTTCAGAACTGTATACCATTGCATCAACAGGTGTCCGTTTTGCTGTGTGTTATTGCCATGGTATAAATGATGAACTAATAAGGACACGAATCTGATGATACTACATTTGACTTCGTCTCGTCTCTCTGTTTCAAGCTTCTTCAAGCAAGTTGTAAAAATTCCCTTGATTGCATCTTCCTTTATGTTGTGTGTTATGTTTGGAATAGCTGTCAGAACTTCGAACGTTTTCCCGAGGCATTCAAAATGCCACTCATTATGAAGTGCAAGTTGTAAAAGTTCGTTAAGGATTTGGTCAACGTCCTTAAGTTTGGTGATGTGTTCAAGTAATTCATTCAATACCGAGAGTCGAACTTCGTAGCAATCCGAACGCATCAAACGAAGGGTTATACAAGTGTTCTCTTCATGGTATTTCAATACAAGTTTCGTCAGAACAGCTTGGCAATTCGCACCGCCTGGTAAACGTGTTATAGACCGAGAAGCTGCAGCTTTCAAATAATCCACATACTTTGGATAAAGTAAAGACACCTTAGCCGCTTCTGGAATAAGAGTAAATGTGCGGTCGAAAACTTCAAAAGAAACTTCAAGAACCATAGGACATCGGTTGTCTTCGGATAACAGCCACGTAACCTCTTCGAGGACCGGAGAAACATGGGCCAAGACAGAAGCTTTGATGGACAGGCTGAGTTCATGAGCTGCATCAAGCAGAAAGCGTATCTGGGTCAAAACACCATGGACACAGCTGTATGTTTTAGGATTGTCTGCCCTTGGAAGAATTTGAATCAGTTCCAAAATTACACTCGCAACTCTGTCCTTTTCTACCAAGGGTTGTATTGCTCTAGCAGCCATTACACGAGTCTTGTACACTGGACTAGAAGAACATTTAATGACTAGAGGAACAAAAGCTGCAAGATTCAAATTTGTGTCCGTTCCTTCCATTGCCGATGGGTAAAGTCTGCCCAGGACCATCAAGACTGGATACAAGCTCGGATGAAGATGGATGCCGTCTACTGATGATAAATTTTCAGTCGCCGATTTGAATTCACTCAACAAAAAGTCGTATAACTTGGGGAACTTCTGAAAAAATGCTCGTCCGGTAAGACAGTTCTTTCGGGACAAATCTGAGTCATCTCTGGACACTTTGACGCCAAATATTCTAGTCATCAAGGAGCTCAGCAACAAAGTGGATGAATTTCGAACAGACCAAAATTTAGATTTGAATCCCAAAATGGCAGCTATGAGACCATCAGATATGTAAGGCGAAACAAAATCACCAAGCTTGTTATCTTTGAATAGAACTTTTAGTATGTTCAGAGCATGAACTCGAGGCGGATTGTTGGTCGTACATGGAGAAGATTCGTTCATTGACAGTTTCAGTAAGATTGTCATCGCCTTTTGAAACGATTTGTGATCGTTGACTTCGGGTTCAGTGCCAAGTAATGCCTGTACGTAAAATGGGATACCAGCACTTCTCCGCGTTGAGCACAATCCAGTTGTACCATCATCCTGAGCAATATCTTCTAACAGCTTATCTAACCAAACTAAAGGCAACCGATTCAACTTGTCCAAAGGGCTCTTCCACAATCTTTCTGTCAACATCACAAATCCTGCATACGCCAGCTCAAAAGCTCCTCGATGTTTGGATTGCAGAAGCTGGGTGATGAAATAACTTCCAACGTCTTGAATCTGGTCAAATGACAGAAGTCCTTGCTCATTATGGATCTCGTTTTCAATACTGACTTTAAGACAGATTTCTCCAAGCAGTAAAGACACTTCTTTGATGCTTCTCCAGCAACATACTACCAGATATTCAGGCATCAAAGTAACGGTCTTCTCGCTTTTCTCCGCCTCCAGCATCAAATCCCTGTCTTCATCAGTTTGAGCAATAGCATCAAAGTTAAGACCTGGACCTCGTATAGCTTCAGCAGGGACATTGCCTTCTGGAGATGAATCCTGGACGACTGGTGAAACGATTTCAGCCACTTCGAGACAAACTTTCACTAAATTTTTGAAACAATGTTTCCAAGATGAGCTATTGCTGCAGGACTTGAGCTTGATATCGCCTAAAATGTATCTTATGCAATGGATCGTTGGGTAAATTGGTCGGTTAGCTGCAGCAAGCACAAGACCCTTCTTCGCAAATTCTGTCTGATCTTGTAATGAGAGCAAAAGCAACAAAACAAACTGAAGATAGTTTGAATGAGGTTCTGATGAGTCAATTCCATTCTTCGTACCATTTTTCAAAATTTTCAAATCCAATTTGTACCCCTTCATTACATCTGCGATTCCATCAATTTGCAGCAAGCAGCGAGCTAAATAAGCTGATGCTGTACTGTCCTGGGGTCTTGTACTAACAGACAACTTAACACAAGTATCAAACAGTTCTTTCAGTTGTTGATGGTCAATGACTGAGGAATCACTACACTTCACATAGTTGGTGAATATCTTTAAAGCTTCGATCTTGTTGTCTTCAAAGGTGTCAGCAATGCATTCCAGAAGAGTAACAAGATGTGAGGAAGTAAAATCAGCAAAGAAATGAAATGTTTGTTCACTACTTGGTGGATATAAGACATCCATCAGAGTCCTAAGCAATTTCAAGCAAGATGTCCTCATGGCAAAGGCCGCTCCTGGATAAAGACATTGAAAAAGACAGCTCTGAAGCCATTTAAGAAAGTTTTTGTATTTCAAAAGCTCTTCTTGGAGCTGTTTCTTCTCTTCAACTTTTCTTGATTTCTCCATTTGGCGGATCAATGAATTTTGACTGTCATTTATACGATTACAAAACTTTTTGGAGTAAGCGGTCATGTGCTGTCTAAAAGAAGGTGCTTGGTTATTTAAATTATTTGGAATGAAAAGTTTGACTAGTTCAAACTCTAAAGATTTGATAGGTTTGGATGTCTTTTTGTTTTCACACATCAAAGAGAAAGCATCTAATCGAATCTGTTCATCCAAAGAACACAAAGCATACTTCAAAACATCCATGTGGACAACACCACACCACATTTTCTCATCACTTTTCTGATCATCGAGAAGTCCCAGGGAGCGCCCACGACGCAAGCACATGATCAATGCACCAAGAGTGCCTTGCGATTGGGAGTCACGGTTCGATAGGTATTCTATCATATATTGAAGAATGTCATTACTGAAAGACATCAGTTTTGGAAGAAGATATTGAAGAATATGATTCTTTGTGCTCTTACAGTTTAAACAAAGTCCTTCTATCACTGGATTCACCCAAATTTTAAACCACTCGAAAGATTTTTCAGGTGAAAGTTCTAATTTATGGCTTGTGTAAAGTTTTTCATAAAATTCACTGCAATAGCAAGCTAGAGTGTGATCTGCTAATTGGTGTATGATATAATTAGTTATGTTCGGACAATGTTGAATAAGTCGCGAAGCACCTAAATTCCCTACAAGACAGGATAATGGAGCATATTTTCCTCTCTTGCACCAAGGTATATCCAGAACTTCTTTAATCAATTTTGAAATCCAAGGATCTGTTTCAATGTCACTGCCTTTCGAAAGGAGAATATGAGTCTTTAATATTTGGTCGAAAGCGATTCGAGCATTTTGTCTGACTGCATCCAAAGAGTCATCCACAGAATTCCATATGTATTCTAAAATATTTTGAACTAATTCGCTTCCACCAATAAATCGCGCTTGAAGACCTTGTGGAAGCTTTGGATCTTTAGACAGATTCAAAGCTTTCTCTGTCCATAAACTAATCAGTTTGGAAAGGATCACTTTACTGGCTGGGTTGCTCACTAACTGTACAAGCTGTAGAATCTCTGGTAAGAACAGCTCTGTAAGAAGAAACCTATCTGATCCACATTGAAACATCAAGTCATTTGAGTTCAGCATTGATAAAGATCCAAACAGAAAACACAGATAGCTTGGAGTGGACAGTTTTGATTGTTTAACACATTCCAAAGCTGTTTTCAACCACATAGGAACATATTCAGGAATATTACTATTTTTAAGGATTGAAACAAATAAAGGTCCCATATTTTCATTACAGCAGAGACGTGAAACTAAAGTCAATGTAATAGCTGCATTACAACGGCACTCCATCAAAATGTCCTCCATTTTTAACAAAATTTTCACATTTGTGACGACTAATTTTAACAAAACCCCTTCAATGTCCTCTGAATTGACTGAAAGTTTTTCTTGAAGTGTGTTGAAACATTTCTGAATCATTCTGTTGACTAATTGCTCTGTAACCAGACAATGATGCATGGACAAGTTCAATAAGACTGGAGAAGTAGCTGATTCAGTTTTGGTTAAAAAATGTTGATGAGCATCTGATAAATAGTTTGTGTATGGCACAACAGCAGAAATAACACATGTTTCACCAAAAGGAAAATTTTCTAATAAATTTGCTAAAATATCCACATTGTGTCTTATTCTACTGCTCGGGATCTCATCATCAGTTCTTGAAGATGTTTTGGATAAGATGCATCCTTGGAAAATGACTGATAAAAATGTTTTTGAATCAATGTTCAGGTTATTGATAAAACTGGCAATGAGTCTTCGAACTGAGCCTTTTGTGTCGATTGTTTTGGTGAAATATAACTCAGTCAAACACTGAAGTATGACTTTACAATTTTTCAAATCTTCTTTACATTTGATTTCTAGGATCACCTCTCTAGTTTTGCGTAAGTATTCTTTATGGTCTTCTACTCCAAACAACTGGCTGAGTTTATCATAGACTGGCTCAGTTGCTGTCTGTTCTTTACATTTTGTTATCAATTCCTCCATTTTTGTCTGAAATAATAATAAAATTAGGTTATGTTAAGAGGTTAAGTTGAAATATCATAGGTCTAGTCTAGTCTGATCCATTATTCAATTAACTCAAAATTGTTACATCAATTGAAATGAAATCTAAATGTGGGTTTTTCATTTCTTAACTAAACTTGCATTCATTAAAGTTTATAGCAGCCACAGAATGGCGCTAAGAGCTGTAAGTGTTCCAGATACACATAGCTGGCTTACTTACAATAGCACATTGTATTGTATAGGGCGACAGGCTATGCATAGGCCTATCATGAAATTAAAAATTTAAATTTAGTTACTGACTCTTACTTACAATTCTGATCGTTTCTGTTTCAGTTTATTTGAAGCAATGGAAATTTCAATTTCGGTTTTAAGGTTTTCTCTTATACTCCATTAACGAATCGTTTGCTATTTTCTGTAGCAAATAAGATGTTACTTCTAATCAGTGCTACGATTTGTTTACCATGTACCGTTAACCACGTGTCACAACCGGTTTCGGTTTATAATAAAGCCTAATGTTAGGATCTGGATAATTAATTATGAGCTGGCGCAAACGTTAGAATTATTTTGACATCATCTTTGTCAAATCTATATCAACTAAATGTTGAATATTTCAGAGTGTCTTAAAATTCCTATTTTTCTTGTCAGTATTGTTAAAAATCCCTTGAAATTTGGGAACTACATATTTCATTTTTAGACACTACCAAATAAAGGTCTATTCTTAAACCAGTTTGCTTATTCTTGTTACGGTAACCAATAAAATCTCATGCTGAATAATAAACACAGCAATGGCTGTCTCATGCCTGTTGAAATTTGGCAAAAATGTTATAAAGCCTTGCAACCTCTCTAAAGGTCATTTTAAATTCCCCACCTCCCCCACCTTTCCTACCTCCCCCACCTTTCCTCTCTCAACTAGCCCTAGAGGTATTTTCCCCTCCTAATGCATTCTTGATGCTGCAAAATCTGACTGTCTGTGTATTGATCAACTGAAAGGAAAGCCTACCGGTACTCCTCTTTTGGGAATCGGCTCCTTTTAATCTTGTTTATTCAAGTGATTCATTATTGAGTAGGGATGGATATGACTTTGGTTTTTTAACAAACATTAAGTTGATCTGTGAGGATGGAAATATTGCAGCGAAAGAATAGACATAGACCTAAATTAACTATACTGGACATCAAACTAAACCCCTATTCCTAAAGGCAATTTTCCCCAGACCACACTCAAAGTCACAAGAAATGTCATAAAGTATTTTATTAATGGTAAGATTGTTATGTTTTGTTTTCAGAAGGACTATTCTCCACCAGCCAATATCTTCCTGTGTCATATCAAAGTCATGTTCAATATTCAGTCTGGAGTAATGGAGACAGTTTATTGAAGACATGTACATCCAGTCAAGTAATTGTCACACGAAATTCTGGATTTTACAGAAAGTGTAAGAATTGAAGACATTTTGTCAAACATTAGTAGATAACTAATATCTACAGCATAGTTTTTGTGATTTAAACACAGCCGCAAAGGCTTGTTTTTCAAATATTCCTTTTTGGTGGAAATATTTCAACCCCTAAATCTCTACTCGATAGATTTCTTTAAATGAGTCTTTGATATTCATATTCTGAAATTTATTAACAAATGTTGGCACAATTTTATAGTTGGAGACAGGCAAGTAGCTAACCCGCATCAAAACATCTAAAGTTTTCAGGGGGGAGTTCTCCCCATTAGCTACTAGCCTGGTTGACTATTGTATACTGTTTATATCACATATAGGCTAGAAATAGGCATAGATAAGGAAGCACAAGATTTATATAGATATTCTGAAAAAAATTATCTCTAAATTGAGATCATCTGACAACAGTTTAAAGTTTAATTCTCTGAAGACAAGAAAAGACAGATATTCACTTTTTTTTTCAGTGCCTGCATCTAGAATGTGGGATGCCTTAACTACTGTCAGTAATCCTGGTAGGAAAAGAGGCAGAGCTAGGCATGTAAAAGGGTTAAGAATGGATTTAAATAAAGGCCAGAGACTTGGTGATGGTGAGTTTGTCTAAATATCGGTACAAGCAAGACAATTCCGTTAATCAAGAATCTCGTCCAAAGAATGGCAAAATCGAGAGTAATAGTTGTAAAGTCTTGGACTCTTCCAAAGAGAAGTACCATCAGGTGTTTCGAAAGGAGTAAGCATAGTCTGTTTCATAAGCAACACCAGCCACTACTATAATGGTCAACATCATTAGATACAACCAGATCAATTCATGTCTGACTAAACAAATGAGCCAAAATGCAAGAAGCTGGGGCCGGTTTCACAAAAGAGTTAAGACAGGTCGTAAGTTTGCAACCGATCGCAAGTCGTTCGTAAAACTTACGATGGATTTCACGAAATAAATACAGCCGCAACTTTGGTCGTTTTTTAGGATATAAGACTATTAGCTACGACATCTACTTAGATGTCGTAAGACCGATCTTTCGTTATCAAAATGGTGGGTTGCACGGGGATGTGTCCGTAACACAACAAGATTTAAGGGGTAGAGTTGTTAATACCGCTTTAACGCTTAAGAAACTGCAGAAAAAGGAAGTGAAATGAAGTACGAGTGTACTAGACTGCAAAGCAATTACAACAAGTGGCGGTTGTTCAAATCTCACATAGATTTAAAAGTGGGCCTAGGTGGGTGTGTCAAGTGCAAGTAAAAACAGTATGCCTGTCTCAGACACTCGAGTAAACATCTCCTACTGTCCTAGCTTTGCCGAAAGTAGGATATTTGAGTCTCTCAGTCTAAAATGGACAGGTCTAGGATGGAACATCTATTTTAAAATAATTGGTAAAATTGGAAGAGATGGTCTAGAGAGTTTCTTTTTACTGTCCCCACTGACGACGTACTCACACAGTAGGCTACAAAGTTTTGCCTGGACATTTTGTTTGACGTATTCTCTGCTTTGGAATCGTAGGTCTAAATGAAATGCTGCTATTACAGATATTGCCGAGATTTTTCGTTTGACCATGTCGTAACTAAGATCGTCGTACGATCATTTTGAGCAAGTGGTTTTATGATACTAGCTACGATCGTATATTTCTTCTACACTTAGTCGTAAACTTGCAACGATTGTAAGCTTTGTGAAACCTGCCCCAGAATGTTAAAATGGAAATTCATAGTACTTATAACATAGACCTAGGAATCAATGATATTATCAGAATAGTAAATACAAACTAAAATATTATTAGTATTTGATTAGTATATTATAAGTAATTATAAACTTTCATGTTAAAGGGACAGGTGCAGTATTTTGGGAGGTTGATTTTAGTCTTTAATATATGTTTATAGTCTTCAGAAGTACTAGAAATGTACTCACTATTACTATATATATATCTTTTCTATATATCACAGAGTATTTTAAAATGAGGTTCCTGTCCCGTTAAAGGTATATAGTTTTTTAAATAGTTACAGTACAACCCTTTACACACTGAATATTATTTTCACTTTTATTTTAGGAAAGGTTAGAATGTCATGGCCTGGTCTGAATACTGCAACATCTACTGGAGAAAGTAGACAAATTATTCAGGAATTAGAGGCTGATCCAGAACGGAAGGCTAAACTGGCAGGTGCTCGAATGAGGAGAAAAATGACTTCTCGTAGAGTGCCGGCATTACAGAGAGGATGGTCTGGAAATAGCCTTCCAGGAACCAGCATTGGACCACCTGACCCGATTAACGACTGTAAGTAGAACTTTTTGACGATCTAATTTACTACATAGTAAGGCCATCAGTGTTAATATTGTCTGAGCAAAGTTTTTGGAATATCAGCCTCAAGATAGCGCTGCTTGTCTTAAAATGTCTTAGAATTACGTTGATGAAATTATAAGCATGAGCACACATTATTTGTTTTTATAGAGGACAATTTTCAGCCAAAATTTCTGACCTCTTTTTGGTTGAAATTTCTACGAGAGAAATGTGTTTCTTTTCAATGTAGACTTACAAAAAATTATATTTTTTTCACCACAAAGACATTCTTAGACTCTCAGTACTATTTTGAGACTGATATTCCAATTCTCTTAAAGACATAGAAAAATTCAAAAATAATTTTGCTTTGCTCAGCCAATGTTTCTGACATCTTGATTGATGAGGAATCTGTGCTCAACCCTTGAATACAGTGTTGTTGATGATTCCGAAATGGATCAGATTCTTTACAAAATCATAAAGATACTTTGACGCATTAAAAGCATTGTCTGAAAAGGTCAATACTCTGCACACACATGGATTTGATGGCTCAAATTTTGAGGGTGAGCTGTAGACACTAATACTGATAAGATGAGCTAAAAGAATTTCTTTTGTGAAACTTAAGTACAATTGGTCAAACGGATGATGAACTTGTCCCTTTTAAACTGCATCACAGCAGGGGAAAGCTGGAAATCTGAACAAAATTCATATTTCACAATTGAAAAATCATTTACTTTTATTTCTGTATTTTCTATTGTCAGATAAGTTTGAAGGATTTGATTCTAGAGTTTTAGAGGTAAAACTTTATTTTTTGAACTGATTTTAATTATGAAGTAGGAAGTGATAGCGCAACACAAAGCAGAATCTTTGTAGGATGCGCTATCCCACAATTCCATATTTTGTCAAGAAACAGGTTCTACATGACATGCTTTGATTGGTTAAAGATACTACCTTTGGAACAGACCTTTGGTAAAAAACTTGTTAGATTGCAACGCAGGCTAAAGAGTTGAAATTGTGATCTCATTTTAATTAGATTGTATACAGACAAGATTATAGTCAATGAAACACTGTTATTTACGAAAAAATACAGAAAACTTTATGTGGAATTTTGTAATTTCAGCTGAAAAGGGTATCGAATGTTACAGCTAATTTAGGAAAAATTTATACAACCAGTGCTTTTGTTGCTACTGGTAACGGTAATGGATTGGCAGGTTAGTGAATTATTATAAATTCTTATTTACCTTTTCTTCTTTGTTTCATATTTAATTTTTGATTTTAAATATATTATATCTAAATTTGTCGACTATTCAGTAAAGGGAAGATTGAGGCTGTCTAATTAAAATTAGACCAATCTTTCATTCTGTTTTTTATTAGTTTTTATTTTTAATATAGCCACTTCAGTTAGGGTCTAAGTAATTTATCTGTTTGATGACACCACTAGCTTATCAAATTTGTTAACTCTCCAACACTGGGATTTTGTGACGCAAACTAAAGGTATATTCTGTGAAGCATTAGACACTGAATGAACCTATAGTTCACGTCATAAAATCCCAGCCTTGGAACAGCAGGAATTAGGAAGCTAACAAAAAAAACACAACCAAAGTTTGGTCTAATTTTACGTCATAAGAATGGGACTGTGGTAGAAAGTTTGTAAGATTACAATCTTATGATAATTTGATTTTATCACACCAAATTGCTCCATACCTAGGCCCATGCTTTCTATGAGTTGTATTCTCATTTCTCATTTCACAAAAAAAAAATGTTGATAGCTGACATAGCTATATAAAGCAGTGAAATGGACAGATAATTGAAATAGTCTATATGTTACTCTATATATTATTCTATATAATATTCTATATATTATTCTATATATTCTATATATTGTTCTATATATTGTTCTATATATTACTCTATATATTATTCTATATATTATTCTATATATTGTTCTATATATTATTCTATATATTATTCTATATATTATTCTATATATTATTCTATATATTATCCTATATATTATTCTATATATTATTCTATATATTATTCTATATATTATTCTATATATTACTCTATATATTATTCTATATAATATTCTATATATTGTTCTATATATTATTCTATATATTATTCTATATAATATTCTATATATTGTTCTATATATTATTCTATATAATATTCTATATATTATTCTATATATTGTTCTATATATTGTTCTATATATTATTCTATATATTGTTCTATATATTATTCTATATATTATTCTATATAATATTCTATATAATATTCTATATATTATTCTATATAATATTCTATATATTGTTCTATATATTATTCTATATATTATTCTATATAATATTCTATATAATATTCTATATATTGTTCTATATATTATTCTATATAATATTCTATATATTGTTCTATATATTATTCTATATATTATTCTATATAATATTCTATATATTGTTCTATATATTATTCTATATATTATTCTATATAATATTCTATATATTGTTCTATATATTATTCTATATATTATTCTATATATTATTCTATATATTGTTCTATATATTATTCTATTAATTATTCTATATATTATTCTATATAATATTCTATATATTATTCTATATATTATTCTATATATGCAGGCTATGGTATAGCTAAAGCAGCTAATATGAAAGCAGCTTTGAGGATTGTAAGTATAATATTGTTGAACTTTAACAACCGAATAATATTTATTACTTATAGCAAATTTCTATTCAAAGTTTTAAAATTAGAATAAAATTCAAATGTATTCAAAGGAGGCCAATATGGTATGTGATGTGCTAAACCTAGTATGACTATTACTGTTGTATGTTATCTTATAGGCCAAGAATCGTGCAGCTCAACAGTTAGTTTTTATAGAGCGGTATAATGAAGCTACAGGTAAGTTTTATTAGGCATAGGTGTAACTTTCATGACAAGCAGGTCTGTTTCTAGGAAACATTAGCTGTGCAGGGGTGATAAAATTTTCCAGGGGGACGCAGGCTGACCCAGGATGTTTTTTCACTGTGTAAATTGATAGAAATTTTGAAAGTTGTGGGGCAAATGCCAAGCCAGCCTCTTTTCCAGGATCCCTGGTTTAATGCCCCTGTCTCAGGTGTTCCATGTACCAACCCCCCTGTCTAAGAATGGGCTGGGGAGCCGCAGTGGCTCAGTGAGTTAGACGCTTGCTCACTAACCTGAAGGTCCAGGGTTCAATCTCGGCATAGGTCGAGATAATACCTTTGGATTTTTCAACCCGGTTCCCCCCTGTCAGTGATGCAGGTACGAGGGGCTGACATGGAAAAAACGCTGTCCTGGCAAAATTTTCCTCACTGCACCCTGCATGGTGTTGCCCGTCTTCATTAGCCCACATGGTGCAGAAAAGTAGGACATATAACTCCATTCATTTCATTTTATTTAAGAATGGGCTAAAAAGAAGCAAAGTGTACTTTTGGCTGCAAATTTTGAATAAACGTTAACGCATATTTTCGTAGGCCAATATGCATGTTATACGAAGAAAAATAAGGGGAAAAGCTCATTTCATTTCTATTTTTCTTGTGTTCTATTTTCAGTTTATCATAATTTCCACTGTCAAGTAAATAAATCACAGATCTTTGTTCATAAAGCGGCAGAAGGTAAGGACATCTTTATTTTAGGACTAAAGCTAATATACCTGACCTGAAACCTGTCCTCAACCAGTGTATTCGGAAGCTGACCGCATATTGAATTTGACCACTTTATCACCTATCCTCGCTATTAAATGGCTATATATACAGGTTATGTTATTGTAAAAGTTAAAAATTTATCTTTAATGTTGAATTTCAGTATTTCTTGGCATCACCATTCAAATTGATGTTGTTTATGAGATTTTGGTCAAGTTCAAATTTGACAATTTTTCATTGAAGGGTGTTTGAGTTATTACCCTTGACTTATGAAAATATCTTAAAAGGTTTAAGACATGAGACATGCCAGCGAGCGTATGTTACCTTGCTTGGCAAGCTATCTTCATCAAAATTTCATCGTTCATTGAAAGTCTGAAGTGTAGGTGTATTTTACTGCGCCTTGCAATCATGCTTTAACCTCTCGCCATTTATTTACAACAGGTTCTGGAGTGAAAGCCCATCGTTGTATTAAAACTTTATGCCAGTTAATTGGTATCACAGATTTACGAACTAGAACTGAGGGCTCCACTAGGAACATACAAAATATAACTAAAGCTTTTTTTAATGGATTGATCAAGCAGGTAAGAAAACTAGAAATTATAAAAGTGAGATATCTATTTGTAAGGTGCTTTGAAGTCTTTTTGGGCTATTCACTGTGCATTGAGGAAATATTGACTATTTAAGAATGCAGAAACATTAATATTGTGTTTATCAGGTATCTGTTAAGAGTCAATGATATATGATATGAATGTGTTTTTTTTTATAAATAGGTTGTTATTCTTTGAATATTTGTCAATATTTTATGAAAACGTAAAATGCGTTTTTAATAGAAATACAGCTCTAATTTTTTTATTTGGATATTTTTTATGCGATACTACAAGTACAAAATTGCCATCTTGATCCTAATTGGAATGCTTTAGCAGAAGACTGAAAGAATAGGCTAATGACTCTGTCCAGGCAAGGTTTGCTCATTTCACACTGCATGGTGTTGCACATAAGCCAAAACAGTTGCAGAAAAGTGAGACTAATTTTCATTTCAATACATGCAGCAAAATTAAATTTCCTTTTTTTCTTTGACCTTTTTCTTTGTCTGTTCATTTTAGGAAACCCATCAACAACTAGCTGAAAGAATGGGATTGAATGTTGTTGAGATTCGAAGAGGAGTTCCAACTATTGTTGCCAGACCTCAGAACAGACCGTCCGTTAAGAAGGAAGACAAGCCAAAAAGCACTGATTTGATATTCGCTAACCTGTACTTTGATGGAAAAGTGCCGTTAAAGAAACGAATCGTTGAGCCCTTTTATCATAAAATGCGACCCTATAAATTGAAACAGTTTTTTTTGTATAAAAATCGCAATCAACGTCAAATTCAAAGGGAGAGAGCTGTTTATGGTTTGGAACCAAATAAAGAAGAACGTAAAATCCGATGTTTACCATTGAAATAGACCATTGATTCTTGTTAATGAAAAAATGAAAGTAATATCATCCTCACAAGCCATGTTGTTAGAATTCCTGTGTGTGTGAAGATGATGTATAAAATATAATGTGTTTGTACCATGAATATCACTCTAATTAAAGTTAAAGTTAGATTGCTCTTTTATTTCTTTTTTTTCTGATTTCTGATTGGTTAAGAATAACATCATTAGAACAGGACTGTGGTAAAGAACTTATTAGACTAGAATGCAGACATGAATATGAAAAAGAACTAAAATTGTAATAAGATTGCATGAATATCAGCCTCAAAGATCTAGGCACAATTGATAATTATGTGCTGGAAGATATTGAATAGTTTGTATATTGTTTAATTTCTGTGTTATACTCTGGGAATATCATCTTCACACGACTATTTTCTTGTCCTTGGGAAGATGTTAAATACTTTTTAGGTTGTTGTATTTCTGTATATGCAAGGAATATCATCTTCACATATCATGGGATTGGTTGTGTTAGAAAATGTCAGTTCATTCTTGTATTTGGGAAGATGTTGAATGGTTATTGATGTGTTGTATTTTGGCAATGGATATCATTTTCACAAGTCAAGGATTGTATTGGGAAGAATATAATCCTGTCATTAGGCTTGTGAAGATGAATGACTATCAGTGTGATATGTGTAACAGGGAAAAGAAATTTAGGGACTATGAACTTTGCATATTGCTTAGATAATCAAATTTTGCTGATTTTTTAAAGTAAATTTGAATATCAGCCTCATTTAATTCTAAAGTTTAGATTGAATAAACACACACTTCTCTCCCAGACGTTTCAAAGATAAAATATTAATATATTTGCCTTCCTACGTAATCTGGATATTTAGACAGTGTAAATATGATGCCCTAGAGCTATGTTTTATTGTTATTGTATTATGCAGGCTTTAGATGTCACAAATACATCTCAATTTATCAAAAACAATCAATTTTTTGTTTTGTTTTTTTTTTCTAAATAGATACTAGTGCTATTGATAACAATTTTCAAACTTTTTATTTTTCTTATATACTTTAACAATTCTCAGAAAATTCACCAAAAAATGGAAGATGGTCTGGGTCTCCAAGTTTTATATTTCCTACCATTGAGTTCTTAAAGTGATACCGGTCTTAGAGTGAACAAGTTCTCAAGAATAGTCAATATGCGTATATATTCATCAGTGACTTACCTGGTGTCATAAAGTTGCAACAGAATCCCTGGAAAATTGGAAAATTCACAAAACTAAGTAATTATTGAAAAACGCTTAATCATTTTTCAATAGTTAATTGTATATTTGTGGATAATTAATTGGTTTTTTGGATTTATCGGATTATATAAGGATCCTGTTATGTTTTTTATGACACCAGGTATATCTGCTGATGAATATGCTCTTAGTTTAAAATTCTTAAATTTTATGTTCATTCTAAGACGTAGTATTCCTTTAAATGTCGGTTCCTTAAATGAACAAATGAGCGAATACATGAAGTGCAATGCTATAAATATTCATTGATTTACTGAATATTCATTAACATATTAACTTTCAACTTCAGCTCGTTCAATAGCTATATGAATTAGAACAAATATGTACAATAGAAAAGTTTTCGTATGAATGTTATCCAGTTTCATCATGGTCCCTTGGCGTCAAGTTTTGCTAAAATATCTTTGATGAGTTTATTCACTTCTGTATGATATTGTAAGATCAGTCCAAATAATTCGTCTTGTTTAGAAATTAAGTTCTCAATGGATACGACTTTAGCCGTTGTCGGAGGCGCAGGGTCGGTGCTTTTAACATTTACAGTTGTTTGCGATTGCATGTTCTGCTTTGTCTCCACTTCGTTATCGTAAGCTGGGATTTGATCCACCGGTCTAGAAACAATCGGCAAGTTATAAATTGATAATGGACCTGCCAAGGTTGCTGGTTTTGCTATTTTTGATGCAACGGATGTCTGTTCAATCTTCTTCTCCACTACGGGTCTCGGCATCCCAAATCCTGAATTCATGCTCTCTTCATTGTCACTCTTTCTCGGAGCAGGTCTATTAAAAATGGAAAGGATGTCTTTGCTTATTTCAGGTCGCATGTAGGTTGTTTTCCTTCTCGGCGGGGGAGGGATCTTTTCACCATTTTTGGGACGACTGAACATCGACGCCAGATCCGTATTTATAAACGGGTTGGAAGACTGTTTGCTGATCAAATCGTTTCCAGGTTGTGGCAGGATTTCAAAAGCCCTGCTGGTGATCAGCGTGCGATTTGTTGTCCCATTTGCTTGCTGGAGTCTCATTTGAGCATCTCGATCCATTCGTTCTCTCAAGCCTCCCACTTTAACTTTATTCAGAAAGAAATCAGAACTGACTTGTGACAACCGTTCTAAGGATTTCAGCCTCTCAACTAAAGACAGAGTCGGTTGGAAACATGTTGCCAAGGTTACCAATATCAGAATAATTCCAAAGCGAGTCATTGATATTTTTGTCTGAAATGAAAAGGTAAATATTATTTTTGTGGAAATGTTCTTTGTAAAAACAAACAAATTTTATTTCGATTAATAAGTAAAGACGTGTAAAAGGTTTTTTCCAATTGGAATCTAAAAATAAAAACATAAAATATGTAACAGGTATTGATGCAGCTAGTCGATATTCGCATCACTAAATATTGCTCATATAGAGTTCTTGATTATGAGAAGGGGATGTGACATGTATTTTGTAAACCTTTTATTGATCAGAGTCGGCCTATCTGACTGGCTGAAAAAATTATTAACCCAGAACAAATGTTGCATCAGATCACGGTTGACAAAGAGTCATACACTGAATAACACGAAACATCTCCTTTTACAGTTTAATCCGAGTAGAAGTCATCCTCCCGGCATGCTTAATCAGAAATCGAATCTGACTTTGATAAGAAAATCCTTACTTACCTGTATCCCAAATATCCGTTGTTGATTTTCAAAATATTTTCTACATTTTACAATATTTCTGTCATCTTTTTTTTCAAAATTGAAATTTACTGCTTTCAATATACAATCGCAACTCGTGTTTTTTTAATCATACGTTATCTCCAATAATGGTGAATATCAAGGCGGCAAACGCAATGAAGATCGCCTCGAAAACGTTCCATGAAAGAAACTGCAATGAGAAATCACTAATCTATCCACGAGACCAGCTATTCCAAAAAGGGAAAACTAATATCCTTTGTTGAAATGAATATTATCATTTCAGAGGTATTGTTTAATATATTAAAATTCATTTTTTTGTACCAGAATCAGGTGTCTGTAAATCGTTCGGAAAAACTCCGTCAAGTTGGGCCTATGGTGACTTTCACGTTTGGCTGTTTGTATTTTATTTCTGTGCCCGATAAATTCAGCAAGCATAAACATGTACAATGACAGACGGTTAACAGAATGCTAATCGCGTTTCTTCTCTGAACGTGGCTAGAGTGTTTCGAATGTTACAAGTCTTATAGTTGTCGGAACATGGTGCAAGAAAAATGATAAATCTGTCACATTTCGTATTATTTCTAGACTCTATATTTTGACTTGATGTAAATCATTTGACATTTTAAGACTTAAAGGGACAGAATCGCAATCCGCTTAACCAATCATACCTTGGTATCAGAAACGCGATTTTTTTTTAGCTAAGCTAATCGGTATCCATAGCTCACCTTCAAAATCTTAGCTCTCAAATCCACGTGTGATCAGAATTATCAACGTCTGAATGTTAAAATGATCGCTCATCTAAATAACTCTTTACATGTAACACCCACGAGGAATGCCCATTTACTGGGTTGATAGACAAGTTACCGTCCGCTCCTAGTCAAATTCGCAAACGCCACCGTCGACTTTGACCCCAACGATTTGTCTATAGTAAGACTATCTACACTGCGTAGACAAGATTTATGGTCAAATTTTGAACTTACTGTGCGTTGAAAACGAAACCTGCACAAAATCATCATGGACTGCTGGTGGACTGTGAATACGTATATAGTAAAAGTCCATGACGTGGTCTATACGTCCGCTCTCATCTAAAGCCAATTCCCAGCGTATATAGTAAGCGGAAATAATCCAGATAAAACACAACTAGATCGTTATAGGAATTTGATTTTAACTAATCTAATCTAAATGGCTCAAAATAATATTTTTATATTACAAAATGTATTGTATAACCAAATCCTGCAACATTACACAAATCATCATTCAATGGAATATCAAAGGTACAATTTATAGATAAATAAGACAATTTTACAGATAAATATTTCTAGAATATTAATTATTGCTTTCAACGTTTCGATGTGAGAACCACATAACCAGAAATATAATGATTGATAGTTTCTCATTTTTTTCACAAATCGTTTTCATCTTTGCTGATAAAAAGTTTCTTGTCATATATTATTAGGCGATACGAAGTCCTTTTTGAAAACTACCGAAAGCAGCATCTTTTATAATTCAATTCTTCTAGGAGAGTATCTTCCGTATATTAGTAATGTCTTATACTACTGGTATCTAAATCCTTTCTCTAATATGAACCAAGTTCTTCTAAGCTATTGCAATCAACGGACCTTCTGTCGGATATGCCGGAATGGATTCAACGGGAGATTGAGACGTCGTTGGTTTCAGATGCCGTATGAAATCTTTAAGAAGTTTATCCATTTCTGCAATATGTTGATGTAATGCCAGAAATTGGATGTTGGCTTCTTCCAGACGAGATGAGAAATTCTTCAACGAGTATTCAGGTGTGGTGGTTTTGTGTGGAGCGGTCTCAGCTAGATAAGGCATACCACAAACTACCAGTAAAACTACAACTCTAATCATACTTCTGTTCATTTTAAAACCTAAAATATGTAAATATTAATAAAGCTTAGTCCACACGAGCAAGTTTTCATTGACAAGGAAAATTGTTCAATGTTTGAGCAAGGATTTGTCACTTCGTCTCGTGTGGACGCACCCAACAATTTTTGTTGGGGAGTGCTGCCATCTGGCGACCCTAGTGAAAATCACAACAAAATGGCCGTTGTTATTTTTAGTTTATAGTGACGACTTCGGCATTTTCGTTTATAGTGTGGCAAGTTTTCCTTGCTGGTGCGTTTACACGAGCAATTCTTCATTGCTGGGTCATTAAGGGTCAGCAAATCGCATGCACAGTTTTCCAACAAGTGAAATTTTGGCTTGTTCAACCAGTGGATTTCGAGCAAGTTTTCCTTGTCAAGGAAAAATTGTCAACGAAAACTTGCTCGTGTGGACTAACCTTAAGAGTTTGAAAGAGCGCCCATGTCTTCTGCTATAAACTGTTAAATGATACTTCTTATTACGGAGCCCCTGAGGCGCAATTTTCCATACTTTTATAAAATATTTCGTTTTAACGAAATAATTAATTCGTTTGAACGAAATAATTAATTTGTTTAAACTAAATAATATCATATATTTCGTTTAAACGAAAAATCATTTCGTTTAAACGAAAAATCATTTCGTTTAAACGGATTAGTTATTTCGTTTAAACGAAATATATTACGTTATTTCGTTTAAACGAAATATATTACGTTATTTCGTTTAAACGGATTAGTTATTTCGTTTTAACGAATTAGTTATTTCGTTTAAACGAATTAGTTATTTCGTTTAAACGAATTAGTTATTTCGTTTAATCGAATAACTTATTTCGTTTAATCGAATAACTTATTTCGTTTAAACGAAATATTTGATAAAAGTATGGATAATTGCGCCTAAGGGGCTCCGTAAATAAGCCTATCTAGAGATCCAGCACAGCTTGTGGAGCCATCAAAAGAACAACAGACTCGCTTTTAAAAAAAACTTCTCACATTTGACCATTGATAGCAATTAATGTGCCTAAATTATTTTTGTCTTACCTTAGAATAATTGAACTGTGCCTCTTGTGTCTAAAATGAATTAGTTGATGATCTGTATTCGACAAAGAGTCGCTTCTCATAACCCAATCTGGACCTACCGGCTTTGAAGTTGTCGCAATAAATGATCTCGGGCACAACTGGCCAACATTATATTGTCTCGATCAGCAGCGATAGACCTTGTGAATACCCTTTTGTGTATATTTGCTGTTTAAGTTGCTTTATGAGAAAGGCGCTAGTGTGTGCAAGAACATGGTAGATCAGAAAAATGTAAAAAAAAACTGTCACAATTCTTTGGCTTACTCGATCAAAAATGTCTGTCTTTAGTGTCAGAGATCAATATTTTGGTAGATCTAAGTCGCAATTTTAATGTTGAAATGATCGATTATCTACGTATTATTTTATGATTGATTTGGTATTTTGTCTTGACGTACATTTTATATACACGAACAATGACATTAAATACATGTATAATAAATAAAATGAATAGAAGTTTTGTGTCTTTTCTTAGAACAGCAAAGCTATGGAAGACGGTGTTAGTCATTTAGATGGTGGAGTAAAACAGAGTGTAATACATGGCAGTTATATCCTTTAAGCTAATGTGTAATGGTCACTGCGACAACAACCCTCAACATTTCCATATTACCGTTCGTGTGCTTTCAGACGCTCCACAAGAGGCTAGAGAATTTAGCCACGTTATACAAAGTACCTGGGCCGAGTCTGCATGAGTACGGTTTACATCAAGCGGACCAGTTTTTATGGTAGTGTAAATACGGCTAATGACGCCTCCGAGGAGGTGCCACACTTCGACAGTGGTCCCCATTGACTATTGTGTCAGTCTGCTCCCTACCCCCGAGCTCGGGACACTGGCCACTGGTGCTTTAAGGTCCACCAGGGTTCAGGATAAAGAAGTCCACTTTCTCTTAGAATGCAATAGTATTTCCATTTATAAAAACTCAGAACAAATTGGTTCATATGAGTGAGCACAATTCAGGAATTGTTGTTCAATCTGTTGCCTGGTGTTAATCTTTTTTTTAACTATCATTTATTCTTCAAAATTGATTTATCTCAGTTTTGATTTCTTTATTTAAGTCAATAGAAGAAATATTACTAGTAATAAGTGTCTCTTCAACATGCCTTATCTTTTGTCATCAATGGATATACATACAATTATTTATTTTGACTATGATATAGATTTTTCTAAATATACCCTGTCAATTGGCACAGACTGCAACTTTAATAAAGGTCTAAAGGAAAGTACCAATTCAATGGTTATCATTTATTTTTATTAGTAGCTAAGAAAATGTACAACATAGTTTAAGAATGAATTTTAGTATTTTTCAATCCTTTTCAGGAGAATCACTGTAACCTTAGCTCTGACAACTGATCCAGACAAGCCTCAGATACCACTGAAACATCTTCACAATGTCAGGTTATTACGACCTTGACCTTGACAAACTTATACCTTGACTTCAATGGCTGCCTTTTTTGAATTACAGAATGCATTGAATTGATTGGATTGTATGCTAGAGAATACAGCCAATCAGAGCATTTGACAAAAAGGCAAGGCTAATTGTATCTAGATTTTTGTTGAGGCCTGATTGGCTGTATTTTCTAGTACAATCCAAACAATCACTGCATTTACAGAGTGGGACTTCATGGTTATAACTTTTTCAATAACTGTCTTATTTTTTACAAATCATTCACTTAAAACTTACTTGGCAATACTACCTAACGATATTAAAATTCAACAAAAAAAAAAAAATGCCCCAAGAAAGAAACAAAAAAGTAAGAACACATCTGAAAACTACCTCTAAAAATAACAAACCAAGCTCTGACCACTCCCAACACATCAATAAATCCCTACCCCATCAATAAATTTCTTACCCCCAATCACAAGATCCCCTTCCCCCTAATCAATAAATCTTCCATCCCTATTAATAAATCCCCATGCCCCCATCAATAAATCCCCTTACCCCCATCAATAAATCTTCCACCCCCATTCATCACAGCCACATTAGTTATTAAGGACATAAAATATATTACAACATTAAATCTTGTACACATAAAGTAAGTATTGATTGATATAATCTCTGTTCTATTGTAAAATGTAACCAAAAATACTATTTTCACATAACTTCAGGCTAGGTTATGCAAATACAATCCATGGTAGAATAAACTACACTGTTGTTTTCTTATGCACCATATTGTGTAACGAAAGAAGGTTGTTCTACTGTGTTTCTGTACAAGTACACATTATTGAAATACAATGGTAGATTCAACGACAAATTCAAAATAGTGTTTTGAAATTATTAAATGTTGAAAATTAGACATACAATAAAAAACAAGTTCCTACTTATTTGTTCTGAAATTTGCTGATTTTTATTAGCCTCTAACAACTAGATGAAAGTTAACCAAGATAAGCTTTGAAATTCTTATCTAATTCGCTCATAAAACTAAATTCAAAATGAAATATGCAGCATTAAAACTATCTTAAATAAGTTATTGTGAAATAGGCCCCAAAATACAAGTACATGTATATAAATTAAAAATTTCTTCTGTTTTCGTTATTTTCTTTCTTTTAACTGTATTTTTTGTTCAGTAAAATGATGTGATTATATCAATCTATATTCACGAAGTTGACCAGTAAGTCGGTTCATTTCATATTTAATTCGTACATATTGTACTGAGCCTCGGATAAATAACAAAAACCCTGCAAATATAACATAGAAATTTTCAAAATAAAAGACAATGAGAATACTAATTAAATTTATTTGCTATTTGGGTGTTGAGTGAGCTTTGAATAAACAAATAAAGCACTTGGACATTACTCAAAATAGTAAAAAAGTACAATCTCAGTTCCATGTTGAGTATTGAAGGGCTAGGATATATGTACTTAAAGCTAAATCTCAAGATGACACAACCACTGGCACCCAAGATAGTTCTAATTGTAGTTAAGCTCAAATTCAAGTAGGCTCAAGAGCTTAATCTCAGGTTAAAAATGATATTTTGATGGACCAGACAAACAAAGAAAGTTGAAATCAAAGTTCACATTTGATATTGAATTTCTTGTCTGGTTTCTCCAAATATCAAAATGTCAAAATCATTTGGCCATAGCTGAATGAACAATCTTCCACCAAAGGATTAACTATCACAGTAAAAATTGTACAAATAATAATCTTACCACAAACAACCAGCATCCACCATAACCAGGAATCTCCGCCAGCAAAATCAACAGCCCAATTATTGTGCTAAAAATACAAAACATAACCCCTTTTAATGTCAGACCAGGGACATCTTAAAATATCTTGATGGACTGGTTAATGGTTCAGATTTGAAATCAAAATTCTCAAAAGCTAGCATTGAGATAACTCAATGGTTTACTTTTCCTTTGTTGCTTTGTATACAATATTTACATGCCTCTCAAGTGAAATTATTTCACTGGTAATGACTATGTATGACTAGTATATACCTGATGACAATAATGTAAGTTGTTGAAACATTGTGTTCAATAAATATAAGCATACCATGTGAAATTTCGTTTTGTTATTAAGTGTGATTTCTACCCTTAATATCATTGAGGATTATATAGGATTCAAATGAATCGATATACTAGTTCAAGTGTACATTATCATTTAAATTTTTTTAATTCTGTGTGACTGATGCAATGTTTGGCCTGTTATTCTTACCTTAACTATGGCCACCCATTTAACAATAGATAAACCTAATCCAGATAACGCCCCACACCGTCCTGCAACTGTATTTGATATACACAGAGACAAGAGGAATCCAACCCAGTTGAATAAAAATGCAACTGAAAATAAAACAAAAGAATAAAACTTAATATCTAGAGCTATAACAACATCGGAATTTGAAACGTTTTCAAAACTTTCCTAAAATTCACAAGTCCAAAGCAAGCAAGAACAACAATTGAAGATTTCGGAAATAAGCTGGACAATTTTACCACAGCTTTGAGAAAAACAGTTATTAATGATATACCAGTACATTTTAATATGTGATATTGCATACTGCTCATATCTGAATATATACTCGTCTTTGGCATATACATTTGGATTAACATTTTATATTCTACTTTTCTGCGGGAGAACCCCCTCCCCCTCATACCTCCATAAGCATCTTAAACCTCACAGTTGTCCCTCTATTAAGTCAGTCTGCCCGCTATATAGTTCTCAAATAGTGGACCACAGGCATATACGCCCACCACAGCATGCGGATGGTAAATAAGGCAATAAGGGCAATAACTCTGCTTCTAACGGTTGAAATTAGCTCAAATTCGAAATTGATCTTCGTTTCAAAAATAAGTATACACATATCAAATTTCATTTCATTCCATCAAAAAAGTTTTTAGAGCGTTTACAAGCAAATGTTGACGGACGGACAGACCAACGGATGGACAGGGGTGCCGACAATATACGTCAACATAGAGAGATGTGGGCAATATAAAAAGGCTAACCCAACCACTCGCCCCAACCACTGCTGGTAGTATAAGCTCTTACTTGATAAATTAAATTGTTCTTTAGTTTGTCTGATCAAACAATAACTTACCAACAAAAGTACAGATAAACATCCCATCTGTACCAATAGCCAATCCTGTCAATCTTTCAGCATTGCTTGCAGACTGTAAAAGACATGTTATATAGTATTTAAAGTGTAATAAGACGAAGCTGAAATATATAACATTTTACGTAGAGTAATAACAGATAATCTCTGAGTGCCAATATTCTCTTTTACTTTTGGAATTTTATGTTGCAGAAATGGCATGTACATAGATTTCAAAGATATAAACAATATAATATATTCCATTCTTTATCTCACTGAGTCTGATAACAAACCCTGTTTTCTAAACTTTTTATGTGTATCAGAGACACTGGCAGCAACGATTTGCATTCGAATTTTCAGTCAGACGTCCATATGGAAACATTTTTATTATCTTTTTTTTATAATAAATACCTGAGAAGGGCCGTCCTCTATTTGTGATTCCTCATCATGAAGTCTTTGTAATTCTTCTATTTTACTGCGTTCAGCCTCGTCATATGACGGGAGATTGGTAGCATCATCATAGGTTGGTAACTTTGGTCCTTGAAACATTGCTGTATTTTCTAGAAAAGGAAATTATATCTTACAGAAATAACAAGCGTTTCACATTCAAAATAGTACCGTACGTTAACTATGTAGTGATTAATCAAAACAGAAATATCGTTTTTAGACAAATTGAAGTTAGAATGTCAATCATATAAGTAAGAAATTCACGTTTTCGTCAATTATTTCAGTTTTCCTGGTCGTTGTTTCCTGTACAAGAATGCACAGCCAGGTCAAGTTGCCCATCCAATTTTGACATTGCTTAAAGAAGAAAAATCCGTACCCGTTTGTACAGGGTTGACTGGTGCGTACGGGGGAGGGGGTGGGACTACCATTGCCATAGCAACAGGTTGCGCAGGTACATCTTGTTCTTCTTCTCTCAACTGAAATGGCATGAAAAATTGGGAAGTGATTTCAATTCTTGAAAATGATGACAGAAAAGGTAGAGGTTATTTGTTTGCTTTTTAATTAGTGTTAGCCATCTATTTTATTCTGTGTCTGAGACATCAAACCAATATTTGTATCACAGGATTCGACTTTGACTGTGACCGTTGATGACAATATAATATTGTGATATTTTAATTTATTTGTTTATGATTTGTAATTGTTGACAAGATTGCGATTTTGTTCGTAAAATTCTTGCAATATTACCGGCAAATTTGGCCATTAAATACATTGATAGATGTTTTGTTTAACTTACCACTTCATATCTAACTGAACTGTGCTCCATTTTAAAGGAGAATCTTGTTGAAGCCGAGCTTCAAACCGTTTTAATTCGTTGATAAAAATTTACACCAGTTTGTCATTTGACAGGAAAATGGCGATTGTGATTATCGTCTACGCGTACTAAAACTTCGTGAAAATAAGCGAATAAGAGCATTGACGATTCGCACAGACGTATCGTACAAATACGAAGTTCAACATCAAAGGGAGGTAAGTATATAATTTATATAAAAACAAAAGTTCTATTACTGGGATTTTAAATAGAATGGAACTTTACGCTCTAGTTGAATGAAACGAACGGAGTTTTACGTCCTACTTTTTTGCACCATGAATGCGGTCCTAGTTTTCAAGATCTAATGAAGAGGGGTGACAAACTGTACAATAGTTAAATGGTCATGCTGGAGGACAAGGTAATCGTCACTGACAGTGGCTTGAATACCAACGCTCAATTTATTTCTAAATTAAATGTAATGATAATTTGATTGAAATCGGGCCGATATAGCCTTATATCAGAGCGTTATTATCCAGGGCCGATATAGTATCATATAAGAGCATTATTACCCAGGGCCGATATAGCCTCATATCAGAGCGTTATTATCCAGGGCCGATATAGCATTATATCAGAGAGTTATTACTCAGGGCCAATATATTGTGATAGGGTGTATTTTTAAAGAAACTTGGTTGTTTTATTTATTTGTTATCTTCTCTAAATACACCACTACTGTTTTTATAAACACCTAATTACATTACACTGGCCTTATACTATTAACTAATTATTGCCCTCTCTTAGTCTCTTTAACTTAACTGATATCACTGGACCTTGTCACCTTCTGTCATTGGCCAACTAGGTGAGTTTTTAGTGAGTTTCATCACCTGTCCAGTCAGAAACTTTACTTTTACCTAAGTCTTTAAAGAAGAAGGAAGTATATTTCAACCTCATTGAAATACTGAATATCTACTTCTTTATTCTTTTTCATCACCAGTTATTGTCTTCTGATAACTTCACATGTATGTGTGTTTTGGTATTTTATTGGGTAATTGTCTTTCTGGGAAACTATATTTTGTATGAGAGGTGTATAAATGTAACCATGGTATTTTAAGCAACAGCAGCCATCTTGAATTTTTATGCTTTGGGATCCTTTGTGTTCAATATGTTCATAGTCTGTTATTTAATTCCTAAGTTTTATAATTACCTTTTAATTATAATTACATTCACAGATTTAGTTATAGACAGATATAGTTTTCCATATAACAGCTTTATATAAAACCCCATCTTTGGGTTAGTTTTACTTTTATATATTTAATCTTATTTCATCTAGTCCCTGGCATAAGTTTCCCTCATTGCATATTAAGTTTAACATATTAAGATATAGTATTTTATTATTGTATTATATATCTAATTGTATCATATTATTATTAAAGGGTTTTATTATTAAAGTTATCAACTGAGAACATCGTTTTTTTTTATATAACAACTGAGCTCGCTTACCCCCTGAACTAGCCCGGCCTTATATATCAGAGCGATATAACTCAAGGCCGCTATAGCCTTATAACAGAACGTTATTACCCAAAGGCAACCCTTACAAAGTTTGTAAGTTTAAACATAGAACTGTATACTGGCAGTTCTCTGGTTAACAGTTTTGTGGTTTAAAGGAGTAGTCTATGCAAAATTTTCATTATCACAATGGAAATTGCATGTGAAAAAATTACTAAAATATGTTAATTACTTCAATGTGCCTGTTTGATCAAACTGAATTTGTTTTAAAGGGATGATTAAAAAATGAGGTTTTGCCGAAAAAAACCTTTTAAATAACGTAGTTTTTTTTAGTTCTAAAAATTAACAGAAAGTAAGGGGCACATTTCTCTTGACTTCGGTCTATAGCTATTTCGAAAACAATTTTCCTAATTAATTTAAAAAAAATCAGACCGCCCCTTTAATTTACATAACAGAATTCGGTCACACAAGTTACTAACAGACGGAGTTTGGACTGCCATGTGTTGGTAGCATGATAGCTTCTTGACCGTGTTGTCAGTGCATAAACATTGCCTTCCTTAGAATTGGCAGCCTGATTGTAATAGGAACTCTTATCTGAATATATGTCAGTTCCATTCCAGAGAGTAGTGCGTCGAATTTTGGGAGAATTCTGGAGTGAAAAGGTTTTAAAAAAAAATTAAAATTTATTTATGCACATTGTTGTCAGTCAGAAATAGGACAGGTCAAGTTTGCTTTATTTCAACCGGTAAATAGTTCTTGATTATCAAGTCTTATGTAGTGATGATGATAATTATGTAGATTAGAACATCCAGTATTGTTTAACGGTTGAAACTAATCAAATATTGCCTTCGACCTCAAGGTCGTTGAAAATGGAGTCGAATCAATCAGCTGATTTGAGAGTGACATGAAAATGAACAGAGAATGCAGATCTGAAGGCCAAAAGTCGACTTTAGAGCTTCCATTTTGACTTTTACACATTCTGTAAGTGTGCATTCTATTTGATTATGGATCTTAATGTGTATTATTGAGGGTAATTCAAGATTTGCAATATAAAGGAACCTCACTGCTTTGAAATAAGTGAAGAAAGCTTTGCAATTCAAAGCCTTACTAAAGGCATAGTATTTTGTCAGTTTTTATAACAAAAACGGATTTTGCCAGTCATTTTCATATGATTTGAAACGGCAAATTAGTACTACTAATGAGAGTCTAAGATTGCCTTGGGTTGATGAAAATGCAACCCACTGGAAGAGTTATCATTTGTAAAATGTGATTTTAGTAAAGTAGGCCTAGGCCTAGTTATGTAAATACAGGTATTTAAATTTTAAATCTTCCTCTCTTAGTATCAGATCCCTATCCTTTCAAGTCTGTACATTTATATGCGCTAATTATGTTTGAAAAGTTTGCAGTCTGATGCTGTGTTAAAAAACATTAAGAAACCTTGTATTGGTGATGAATGCTAACATAACATTTCTCTTAAGAGAGCTATATTACTGTTTAAGAAAAAAAAAATAAAGCCCTTTTCTTACCATTATTTTATTTTTTTCAGTGAGATGTAGTTAGATTTGGAACAAACTCACAAAATGACTGGACCAAACGAAGAGAATGAAGACTTGAAAAATCTGTGTGATGCCATAACAAACGAAGATTTGGAGCTGGTTCAGTTGTTATTGAACAGCTCCGCAAAATCCTGTGTCAATCAAGAATTGGAGGAGGGTATCTTCCCACTAAATATCGCATGCTCAAAATTAAACCCTGATATTATTCGTCTGTTAATTCAATATGGTGCTGACGTCAACATCCTAGGGGCTGATGGGAAATGTCCGTTGCATTACTGTTGCCGTGCCAATGATCAGCGCTCAGATAATTCAAACAACACCTATTCCGAATTATTGGAAATAATTGATATTTTAGTGGAATCTGGTGCTAATGTGGATTTAGCTGACAATATTGGTTGCACGCCGATATTCCTAGCATGTGATAATGACGACATCAAAGCTGTTACTCGATTAATCAAATATGGCTGCTCTGTAAATATCCAATCAGTAAGCGGAGAGTCTCCGCTGCAACTTTCATGCCGTAACGCAGAATTTTGGTTTTTCTGGAATGGACGTGATTCTCCAGCTGGTCATGTCATTCCTGATAACTTTCCTCCAGTGAGAATTACAAAACATTTGCTACAAGCCGGTGCCGATCCTAAACAAGCCACGTTTCTGCCAGCCGCAGTGCAATTTGGATTTAATGAGCTAGTCATAGAATTGTTAGAACTTGGTATGGATATTAACATGTTGGATGATCATCAGAGAACGCCACTGGGACTAGCGTGTTCGTCTGCTAGCGTGAATACAGACGTGGTCAAACTTTTATTAAAATACGGTGCAGACGTGAACCGTGGCGGTGGATGGAAACGACACAAGCCTGTGATATTCGCGTACGTTCACAACTCTGTGGAGAAATTAAAACTGTTGCTATCTTATGGTGCTCACATTACTGAGGAAGAGATGACTGAGCTGGTGTCAGTGACTCTTTCAAAGTCAATCCTAGAAAATCCTGAAGTGGTGAACTTATACAGTAAAGAATTAATGTCATGGAAACTATTAATTTCTGCAGGTTTCCAACCCGCATCTGGACCACTAACGCCAAAAGTGCATCAAATGTCTATGTGCAGTAGTTATCACAAAATTGAACCTTGGATAAAAACATTATTATGTCCATTGCGATCTTTGAAAGATCACTGCCGAATAACTATCAGAACATCTTTGCCTATCAGTATTGATAAAAATATTGAGCATTTACCGTTGCCTTCCAAACTTAAAGACTATCTCATGTTTAAGGAATTCTCTTTGAGAGAGTGAAATGATACTGTCACTGTTATAATCTTTTGACAGACAAATTCTCAGAGATCTCTCTTTGTAAGCATGGCCATCTAAGAGTTGAACTTTTTTTTTTCATATATCAGTTTAAAATCATGTAACTATTTGCCTTAATACTAGCTCATTTTTTGAAGAAGCTTATTAAACCTCACATACAGATATAACAATTTATCCTATATTATTCTAAACAACCTTTGAGAATGTTAAGTCTTAACTTTTATGGTAGATATTTTTTAATTTGTCCTAGACATTTAACCTGAACAATGTCATTGCATGCTGAAATTGAGCTCTTTCATAGCTCTGAAAAATCAAATATATGTATGTCTATACCCCCTTTTAGTTTGAGAATCACAGATGTATGTGTGGGATATTATATATACAAATTTTCCAAATCTATCAGTGAAAAAGATGAATTATCAGAAAGATTTTAGAACACTGAGCCAATTTGTTTATTGCCTGTCTTTCCTGTTAATTGATATTAAATGTTTGTTAATTTTATGTATGTTTATATCGAATCAGCTTTAAATTGGAATTAAATTCTTACATTATATTTGTGACTGATTCTTTTGTAACTGTAGCTTCATTCTGTGTGGTGAAAATTTCTAATGCCCTACCTACACAGGCCTTAGTGTCCAGCAAGCAGAGAAATGAAGTAACTTATTGTGCTCTGTGAAGTAAACTGTATACCCAATAGATTCTAAGTTATATGGATAGAACTTGGTAAAGAAACATTCAGATGATATTTAAGAAAAAAGACACATTGGCAGTAAAGAATAACTTCATTCATAGCCCCTTAAGTCGAAATGAATGACTTTACTCACATATACCTCTAGATTCCTACTAGAAAGTTGAATGACAAAGGCCCACTAGGCTATAACCAACGTAGGACATGTATAAGCCACCTGGCCCCGGTTTCTCAAAATTCTTACGATATTAGTTTCTAAGTGTATTATTTTACATTGAGGAATACCCATATTTACGACAAAATTGATCCAGGGGCCCTTTACAATAATTAGCTCTTTCAGTCTCCTGGAAAGTTAACCCCTTTACAAGCTGTTATAAAGAGAGTCTAAACCTGTCATCTACAACATGCAATGCCCAGTTTATAATTCTAGGTAGAGCTTGAACAGGTTTCATTTGTCTCAATTCTGGCCTTAATCAAACGGTACAGAACAAAGATAATGTCGCATCACAATTTTCCCTTCTATTCCTTTTTCTGCCATTGTTTATTCTGTCTGCATCTACTATTTATGTGGAACTCGTTCTGAACTTGTTTTATTGATGGTCCAGTTGATTTCATGAATCCTGAACGTCCAGAGCTCCCTAATCCAGCTGTCCCGAAATAAAATAAACTTAATGGATGAAAAAGTATAACAAGTTTACAATAAAATATTTATTTCATATAGAATGTAGACCACTCTGTTTATGATAATCTTCATAAAACTGTATTGATTGTTGACTGGTTCTAGGCGTAACAGACTTCAAGGCTTGTTGAAAATGTTTCAGTGTTATAAATTTTCCAGTGATGTCTTCTTGTAAAGCTGCTAGTGCTGCCTCATGACATACTGCTGTCACCTATAAAATAGAACAGTGTCCATATAAATAGTTCTGAAACTTTATGCCAAATTCTTGATGTTCTAAATACTATTTCATGATCAGCTTTTAAAAATTTAAACATTTTATTATCATTTTACTCTTTTGGCTGATAAATGTTTGTACTACCCAAATCAATTGATCATGTAGCCAACTTCTTATAGGTAGTATGTGTATAAATGGCTACAGTAACAATTATCATGATTTACTGCAGACCACCAGTACAAATTTCACTTTGAATGGATTTCCCATTTCATATAGTCTGACTCACCTCGGCTCCTGAGTAATATTGTGTTTGATCAATAAGAGACTGGATATTAACATCTTCTGATACTGGCATGGTTTTAAATTTGATACGGAATATAGCTTGTCTTGTTTCAGGTGGAGGTAATGGAACATACAAGATTCTGTCTATTCTACCAGGTCGTAGTAAGGCCTGGAAATAAAAAAAAAACTCGATTTTAAATAATAAACTTTGAGTTTACATGAGAGTAAGAAAATGTAAATTTTAAATCTCTCTTTCATTTTTCTTCAATTATGAACTGTACATGAATCTTAAAAATTGCATAATAGGAAGTAAAAATATTGGAATTTTTGCACTCAAAGGACTAGAACTTGATCCAAATAAATTTTCACTTTTCTCACAAAAATGCTTCCAGCCAAGAAGGTTAATTGGGGCCCTGATTCACAAGATTTTAACCAAAATAAATTTCTGATTTTAATAACGGTAAAGTGAATGGTTAATAAAACCAAATTTCAAATCAATTTTAGTGTCTGACCAATCAGATGAATGAAACACTCAAACTAAATTTATCAGATATATACATAAACACTACCATCTTAAGAATTGATGAAGATGGCCCCAGGTAAAACCCTTAAAACTGTGAAATCAAACCTTGTCTATCATATCTGGTCTATTGGTAGCAGCTACTATAGTTACATCTTTTAAATTCTCTACACCATCTATTTCTGTTAATAACTGAGCTAATACTCTGTCAGCTACATTACTACTCCCTCCTGAACTACAATACATATCATGACTGATAACTTCCTTAAGTGGCATTTAGTAATTAGACAATAAATAACTGGACATAATTTTATGAATAACAATTACTTTAATAAATAACTTGAGACGTTACGACAAAGGTTCTTCTGTCATTTGCTTGATAAAGACGAAAGAATATTTTAATAAAGTAATTGTTATCCATATAATTGGGTCCAGTTATCAATCATGACTGGTTTTATTTCATTCACATGTAGAAATTTCCAAATTTTTGTTTAAGATATAGTTATATATATTTTCCTTAGCTCTTATAAGATAAGTCTTATCTAAATCAAATCACAAAGTTACATAATCACCTGCAACCATACAGTGGAATTTTAATGCTGGTTAGGTTCAGGCAATTTTCATGGTGTACTTTGCTGACAGTGTCATCATACATGGCATATCTGCATGGGTTCGTTACATCTTAGAACACTAATCAACAGTATGTAAGTGAATATGACACAGTCAGCTAGTCAATATGACACTGTCAAGTAGTCAATATGATGACACTGTCAGCCAGTCAATATGATGGCACTGTCAGCTAGTCAAGATGACACTGTCAGCTAGTCAATATGACACTGTCAACTAGTCAAGATGACACTGTCAGCTAGTCAATATGACACTGTCAAGTAGTCAATATGATGACACTGTCAGCCAGTCAATATGATGGCACTGTCAGCTAGTCAATATGACAATGTCAAGTAGTCAATATGACACTGTCAACTAGTCAATATGATGACACTGTCAGCTAGTCAATATGATGACACTGTCAGCTAGTCAATATGATGACACTGTCAGCTAGTCAATATGGAGACACTGTCAGCTAGTCAATATGATGACACTGTCAGTTAGTCAATATGATGACACTGTCAGCTAGTCAATATGATGACACTGTCAGCTGTCAAATTGTGTCATTGATGTGACACTGATAAAATATCCATAGAAACACTCAGTAATCAGTACCATGGGTGATATAAACTCCCACACTGGTATATAAGCAAATTTACAGTCCTAGTACACACCTCTTCCCTACCCAATTTTCTTATTACCTTCCTCTCTCCACAGCTAGAGCATCAATTTCATCAAAGAATATAATAGAGGGTGCTGCCGACCTGGCTTTACGAAAGACTTCTCGTACAGCTCGTTCTGATTCACCTACCCACTTACTGAATAATTCTGGACCCTGTCAAAGAGAACATGAATATCACAACTTAAGTAATTAAATATAATGGGTGATCACTTGAAATCTCGTATATGCCATATTTGACTTTTTGGTACAGAAAGCTCATAAAAGCGTGGATCTTGTGATCAAAACCTATTATTCTTAGCTTGATTGTAAAAAACCCAAAAAGAACCAATTAAATAACACATATATACACAGTCAGATTTAAAACCTTGTAAAAAATATACAAGGTCCAATCTTCCTTTTTCTGCGGATGAGAACGAAAAACCTTGTATACTGTACTATTATACGAGTTATTGGTTGATAGGTTGGATTACTCAAAGTGTTATACAAGGTTTAAATTTTCAAAGAATGAAAACCATGTACAGCGAAATAAAAAATAATAAAGATTTTAACAAAATATGCCTACAAATAGTTTTTTGTGTTTTTCTTGAAAAGTAATTTCGTGTCATATATCATTATACAAGGTTTCAAGCAGTCACCCATGATATACATGCCACCCTTGCTGAGAATTGTGTTTTTGGAATAAATCATTACTTAATTAGCTCTGGAATAACACATGATAATTGTTTGTTGAATATACCTTGATACTAACCCGCATGTAGAGTGCACTGAGAGAACATTTTGACAGCTGTTTTTCTCACTTTTGAATGGTAAAGGGATCCTTGAACTTGTAGCACACAGTTTTTTTGTCCGGTGGATATATATAAATAAATAAATAAAGTGGACTCTTCGTGTGTATATTTTGAATCAGATTCAGATGTGCAAAAATTAATGTGGCTGTGCATTATTTTCTTACCTTTACAGCAATAAAATTCAAACCACTTTCAGTAGCTAATGCCTTGGCTATCAATGTTTTTGAACATCCAGGAGGTCCATACATTAATAAGCCTCGTGGTGGTTGAACTCCCAAGCGTAGAAAGGCTTCAGGATGTTGCAATGGCCACTCTATTGCCTGTTTTAATTTCAATTTTAAGTCGTCCTGTCCTCCCACATCTGACCAATATACCTGTAACAATGATTCATTGATTTAAAAGTGAATAATTTAATACAACAGCACCAATTTGAAACTAATCAAAATGACATCTTGAACAATAATTCATCTATTTGAAAAATAAAACAAAACAAAAAAGACATAAATAGAGAAAAAAAAATGAAAATTGTTCAGTGCCTGAATTGCATATTGTGGTAGACTGATTTGCTATCAAAGATATCCATTATTTAAAAGAGAATAATTTAATAAAGCAATTTGAGGAAGGCAAAAATGACATTTTGAAAGAAAAAGAAAGAAAAATATTTCTCAATGTGAAGTGCATTAATTGATTATTGTAGCTGTTTATTATTGAAAATCGTAGATGTTTTAAGAACTGAGAAAAAAATTTATTTTATTTTATTTATTAATTTATTTGGAAATGGTCTTAGTCAATCTTTTTTATTAATTATTTATTTCAAATATATTTACTGATATAACCTACCTTTGGCACCTCTAACTGTATTTCTCTCATTGCACTGGGTTTGACCAAGGTTAAAGCTTTCTGTATATGGTGTAGATTAATTCTCATATCTTTACATTGCTGTTTCTTCTCTTTTATACATATCATGCCAGCTTTAAGGATGAATTATAAACAAAAGTTGAGCATATGAAGGGCAAAGGTCATATGAGGGATTATGCGGAAAATCACGTTGTTTTCAACTGTTTGCATGATACAAAAGAACACTATTCTTGTTAATTCCCAATTTGCGTGTACAGGAGAAAGAAACCAAAAGTCAGCAAATATTCAGATATATTAAATTATATCACAAATTCCCAAAAAGGGGAAAACAATTTAAACTATATTATTTAGAAATAACAGGACAATAATATAGTTCAGATATATTGACTGATACAGTATCTGCTCATATGTTTTATTTTTAATATTCTAAAATAACCAAAACATACTTTGGATACAAAATCTCATTTAACATTAAAGCTAACCTGAAAAAAGAAAAATAACGAATTTCAATATTTTCAACCTACCTTCTTTAAAAACAGCTGATAAATCAGCCCCAACAAAACCATGAGTAGTGTTAGCTAAGTTAGTGATATCTTCTGCTAGTAAACTATGTGGTACATTACATAACATTTTCTTTATTATCTGAAACATTATCAATAAATCATGAACAAATCTAACAATATGTTACCAGTTGCAAAATAAATATGGCTGTACAACAGTACTTGTCTTACATAAGCAGTCAAAAAATTTCCATTATTGTAAATACAAATGGGCAATTAAGAAAGACATTTCCTTTCAATAAGCAGTATTGTTTGGTCTCTTCTAAATTGTCAATGCAAAAATAATGGAAATACAGTGGAAAAAATGAAAAGATAGATTTATTATTATATGTCTCTAAGATACTTCCATTTGCAAAATTAAATTGCCATACAGCATGGAGTCTCAAACAGCAACCACTGACCCTCTACAAATAATGTAGCATGAAAATGGAAGTAAACTCTTACATCCAGTCTGTCTATAGCATTAGGTACGCCAATCTCTATTTCACGATCAAATCTACCAGGTCGACGAAGTGATGTGTCTATAGAATCTAGTTTACTAGTTATACCTATAACTATAACATAACTATTATCTTCAGACTGAAAATACAAAATATTCAACAATACTGAATAAGAATTGACAAAAGTGGTAATAAAATATTAAAACATCATTTTTATCCTTCAAGGATGTTTTCTTGTTGTATGATGCAGGAAATTTGTAGTATTCCTATATTGTGAATGAACAATGCAAGATAGTTTCCTAAGGAAGATCTGAGGCCTAGTACAGCTTGACCAAAATCTTAGACAAGAGCAACATGTAGTACAGAGGTATAGAGATTTAACATTAACATTTTCTAAACATGGAACCACAAAACTGAGTTAGGAATAATTAAGAAACTTACAGAACTAATACTGTCTATCAAAGTAAGTAATGAAGCTACAACTCTCTTTTCTAATTCTGATTGACTAGATTCACGTTTTGGACATAAAGCATCTAATTCATCTATTACTATCAAACTAGGAGAACTGAAATATAAGAACATATTTTCTTAAAACATTAGAATAAGCAAGCTACATCATATCATTACATAAATTATCAAAAACAAGAGCAAATACAAAGAAATACAATCTCCAGATTCAGAATATTGCAATCATTTCTTTCATGTTTTGATTTTGCAAATTTTAGACTGTGATTGCAGTTTAGATATCTATTTGATATCATCTATATTTCCTCTGACCTTTTCATTGTATAAACGAGTGGACGATGTTTATCTTAACTAGGGTTTAAAACTATGCTTTAAATATCAATTCTTCTTTTATCAAAAACTCACTTTTCTTTTGCTTTCTGGAAAATATTTCTCAGTTTGGCCTCAGTTTCACCAAAATATCTGAAATATACAGCACAATATTCTGAATTGTTATGGTATAATGAGTGACAGATTTGCATCTTTGGCTAAAAATTTGTAGCAGCGAACTTACCAGTTTCAAAAACATTATTTATATTCTGTAAAATTTACAATAGTAAAATATTGCACGTCAAAGTAGTGCTCAATACATCAATTGTAGAGCGGTGTAGAAATAGAAATATTAAAACAGAACTTGAAAAGTTTATATGTATATATAGATAGTTGTTTATACCCTGATATAAGCAAATAGCTTACTTGCTCCAAACTTGTGGTCCTGTAACATGTATTGTGTTGATATCTATTTCATTAACTATAGCTTGTGATAGCAGAGTTTTTCCTGTCCCAGATGGACCAAATAACAATACACCATGAGGGGCAGATAGGCCTGGAAAATATCAAACATGTATTTCTAAAATAGCTAACAAGTACATTGACATAGTTTGGCAAGTTCTATACACAATTTTGGAGTTTTTTCTAAAATCCAATTGGTAAGGTGATGCTTCAATCAGCCCAACAGTAGATTACCATGTGGAATATAGTTAGGTGCTGTCTGGTGTTTATAAAAATACACCATAACAACAGTGGACCACAATTTCGAGTATATGTATAACCCAGATTTAAGGATATCTGGTTTTCTAAAAAACGACAATTTGGGTGATATCTGATGTTACTATAAGCACTAAGCAGACACCAATGCAACACTGGACTATACAGAATATAATCAAGAGTAAATGATGCATTGGGTTTATAAACAGACACAAATACAACCTGGTAGACCACCATAATAATATAACTAAGAGTCAGATGTTTCTATAAGCACACACCAATTCAACACTTATTAGATTATAACCCACAGTGAAGCTGTGCAATCTGTTACAGAAGGAGTAAGCTTGAACTTACCATAAGATTTCAGTAGGTCTGGTTGTTTCAGTGGTAATTCTAGCATTTCTTTAATAGAACCTATTTGTTTATCAAGACCACCTATATCCGATAACCTTAATTTCTTTTGTTGTCCATTTTGCTTTCTCTGATTGTTTGGATTGCAAATTATTATTTTCGTTCCTTTTGATATTTTCAGAAATTCTGATTTAGAAGGTTTATGTAATCTTGGCACAGGAGTGTGGAATTGACTCCAATCTATTTTCTTTTTAGGTGTTTTCATTGGTGAATCACAAGAATCTGCATCACTTTGTAGGGAACTTGCTGATTGGTTCATCACAGATTCACTATCCAATGAAATGTCAGATAAATCTAAAGAGGCTAGACTGTCTGACAAGTCTGTTTGAGATGAGGTATTTTTTACAAGTTCTGTTAGCTGTTTTTTCTGTAAACATGCTGTCACTTTGTCCACTGTAAACGAACAGATTTGACCAAAATAATGAATCTCTATTTTACTTCCAGTCTTCAAGAATTCACCCTCTGAAATACAAAGTACCACTTGGTTTTGATTGATTGAAGAATTCAACAAAATATAAACCTTACTTTTAATAACGATCAAGTCTGTGCAACCATCATTTAAAATTCATAAATGTGATAAAGCATGTGGCATAAGTAAGAAAGCTTGTAACACATTACATTGGTACAGTTTAACCCCACAGGCCTTGAATGAATGAACAGAAATACTCTTACAGTTTTTAAAATATAAGAAAATTGCACAAAAATGCACGAAGCTTGTTATTTTACCTAGTTTAAGCTTGTTGAAGTTACAGAATTCAGTTTGTCCAAAAAACTCTTTCCACTCACTGAAAAACACAAATATCCAATATTCTAAAATTTAAATGAAATGAGTGGAGTTTTACGTCCTACTTTTCTGCACTATGAGGGCTAATGAAGATGGTTCAAATTTAAAGGGATTAGATTAAATAGATAGATATGAATAACCAGTTGATACAGCTCAATTTTGTCTTTTGAATGAAAAAAAAAGGTTCCAAACAAAATGCATTTGCTTCCTCCTCTCTAATTAACTCCCTAAATTTAATATACTGGTACCAAAATTTAAAAATTCATTGCAATTCAGGTATGTCACTTACTTAGTTGAAAGGTGAACTTCTAAGGCTTCCTGACAATCGGACCACAATCTCTTTACTGAAACAATATCACCTTTTTTACATTCCAATCTCTCCAACAACTGACTGCTAACTGTTACAGCAGACACTGGGCCAGACTTAGATGGCCAGGCTGTCAACACCATGCAATCATTCACAATACAGGGTTTACCTATTGCTAGACCACAAAGCTGCATTGCACTTGGATGGATACAAATGATTTTGTCCTTATTGCATCTTGGAACAGCTACATCTGATAAAAAAAAAATGACATTTCATTTCTTGAAGTTCATGATAGCTTTAAGATTATTGATTTGTCTACTTTACAATAGGAAGGATATGTTTCACATTAAAATCAACATTATTTGAATATGACAAAATAACTCAATGTAATTTAGTCAGAGCAATAAACTAGACAATGTGATATGAAATTTCCATTTTTTTTAACTTCATGATAGCTTTAAACCAACCTTTTTCAGAATGAAGGGAGATTACTCCATTTAACGTTTCTTCAAAAATAAAACAACACTTCTCATCCGACTTTTGGCAAGCTTCTGAATGGCTTTCTAGGTCACGATCAGGAATGACATGGTGACATTTTGAGCACTCAAACCAGTCCTGTTTTTTCAATTTATTTTTAGGAGGCATGTTTAACATCAAGTCATTAAAAAACGAAAAACATTTTCAAAACATAAATATTTCTCTTTTCTCTTTAGAGCAGCCATGTGCTTCCGGTTTCCTAAAATAGAAATTATGCGAGATCTCCAAAATACCGATTTCACTAAATATGGAATTGAGTCATTTCATATCATAATAAAACACTTTATTTGAATCTTTGCATTATTCAGACTCAAACAGTACACTATAAACTTTTAGAATTCAAATAAAAAGTGTATTTACCTTGGACTAATATTATGTCACGTGACATAAGGACGAGAATTGACATTTGCTGCCATTTTGTTTTAGAAAAAGCAACGTTTGCAATCTGCTTCAACAATTTCTTCAAAAACCTTATTTATGTTACTAACCAGTTGAATGCAGCGCCGTTGTGAATGGATCTCAATTTTTTAATCTAACTGCTCAAGTTTGGCAACTAAGATTGTTATTTTAGTCTCCGAATCACTTTGTTTACATTGTCCAGACTCCAGCTTGAAAATACGAAAAAGGTCAACAACACAAACCACCCACTTCCCTAGCTCAGGGATTTAGATATTCTTGAACAGTTATTCTTACAATGATAATCGAAGACCCAGATTCTCTTAAAGCTTGGCTTGGCCAGTCTTTAACCCCATTGTAAGTAATTTATTGCATCTTTTTTATATTATCAATCAGAAAATGAAAGAAATATTGCTGATTTCAATGTAGCTTTGAATTTGAAGCTTTTTAGAAGCAGATTAGAAGAATATGTGAGGAAAAACCAGGAAGAGCTAAAAGTGAATACACTTGCATTCTTCAAGCTGTTCACTGTAAGGATATAACATTGTAGGTATCTAAACTGTCTTATTTTCAGATGTGATGCTGATCCATCAGCTCTTACAAACTATATTTATGCCCTAGTTAAAAAAGATAAACCAGAGTCAGAAATCAGAGAAAATTGTTTAGATCAGCTGGATGTCTTCCTTCAAAACAGTAAGTTATTGTTTATTTTGTAGAGCAGACAGTTTTATTGAAGTTCCTATGAAGTTCAATTCTCTAGCAACACTTTATTGCCAAAATACACTTATAAGACCATTTACTGATTTCAAGTAGGCATATTTGAGCAGCTGTTGGAACAAAAGCCTAGCATTGCTCATTGAATGACATTGCCAGTCTTCATTAGTTTCAGTTTCTGTCACTAATGGGGGAGGGATTGGATTTTTGATTTTAAACTGAGTAAGATATTTGATAAGTTGTTTAGCAGACAAAATTGATTTGAGTTAAAACCTTGCATGTCAAATTTTACCAATTTGTAGGTCAAAATGCTTGTATTGCCAGTGAAATATATTCTTGTAAAAATAATCTTATTTCTAACCCTTGATATTTTTCTTTTGCAGAAACTGTCACTTTTGTGGATTCCCTATTTAACACATTGAAAGATAAATCCTATGTGGGTCTAGTTAAACCTGCCCCTCCTAAAGCTCTGTCACCTGTGGTGTCAACCACGACTTCAGAAGGTCAACCCACTGTCCAGTTGAGCACCACAATCACACAAGTTGCCCCTGATACAACTAACACTGGGAAAGAACCAGTTAAACCAGAGGTGAAGGACAAGAAGAGACCTGACGAGGTTTGCGAAATGGTCATTTTGTACTGTAATATTGAAAAAATTAAATTTATGAAAATTTAGTAGTCTGATATGGCTGCTTAGCTTTGATGTTTTAAAAATCCCAGTGCCTGCTAAAATGTTTAAGCGTAATACAGAAAATGGTAAACTAGGAAGACAGGATTTCTTCAAACTTAAGCTTTCCTTATGATCAAGCTGATTTACTGGCAGATTGTCAGATGAATAATTTTTTGGGATAGGATACATTGACTAATTTTCAGGATCCAGATTTAATGTAATTGGCTATTCTTTAGAAATTTTGAAAATCTTATTTTCCAGGTATCAAGTGACAGAGATTGGCCTAGAGATTCTAGACGTAGAAGAACTAGGAGTAGGTCAAGATCTAGATCAGGTAGCCCTAGAAGACGTGACAGGTAAGAGTTTTTCATCATTAACTGTATGAAATCATATGTTTGTTGTCTTATCAATATAGGTGAATAGACTATACTTTGTTACATAGTTATGTCTTTAGTAAGGCTAACCTGATATTCTGCTTTGTTTTAGTGATGATCGTCGAAGAAGGTATGATAGATCTCGATATTCACCTCCCAGAAGATATGGGCGAAGAAGAAGTAGGTCACGATCTCCTAGGAGATGGTCACCTGATCGGAGGAGATCTCGAAGTCCTAGAAATAGGTCAAGAGATAGATCTAGGTCAAGGAGCCGGTCAAGATCCAGAGGTAAGCTATGTCAGGTTTTTTTTAATCATTGAAATTGATGTGAAATTATAAAACATATTTTAAGTTATTTTCTGGTAGGTTTAGAGTTTTTTTCCACAAGATGTTTTGAGTCTTGTTACTGCATATGTATCTTTGAAAATATTCCCTCCTGCACAATGGATGGGGCAGCCTGTTTTCATCAGCCCCTTCAGGATAATTTAATTTTTCTTACAAAATATTTCAGGTCGACAACCTGACAGTCGAGGGTCAACGCCCACTCAAGATAACGGTAACTATAGTAACATAGTAACAACCAATACAGGATCTAGGATACCAAGTTCGATAGCTGTGGTCACCAGTACTGATGATATTAGAAAAGATGGTGGAGGCGTGGCTAATAGATCTAATCAAAGATGTAGAGACTATGATGGTAGGTAGATTTATGGCTCACAGGTGAAATAGGATAACAAGATACCTTTCTTAGTCTTCACAACCTTGGAGTATAATGTGGACCTTTCACACCCCAAAAATTTGTTTCATCCACATTTCTAGCATGTGATGATGTGAGGTGCTCTCTCAATTCAAAACAAATTCTTCTCCTACACCAGTTGGCCACACCCTAGTCCCACACCCCCAGGTGGTGAAAACACTGCAGGTTGGGAACCGGGGGGTTTAAAATGTCCTTTTTTGATTTTGTCCTTTAAAGGAACCTAAAACATGATATAACAACTTTTCATGTTATATTTTTTCAGAAAAGGGATTCTGTATGCGAGGTGATCTATGTCCGTTTGATCATGGTGTAGATCCAGTAGTAGTAGAAGATAGTGGAATACCATGTGTTATTCCCTTTCCACCAACCACTTCAGGTATATTTTACTTCTCTGTAATATTCATCTCAATTTGCAATTTCCATGCAAATTATGCCCCCTATTCCATTCTCAATGTGATAGATTGATATTTGTTACTGCTATTGTTTATGTTTGGAATTGACTTGCCTGGACTGTATTATCATATTTTAGGTAACGTTTATTGTTATGTAGTCATATAATGTCAAGAAAGGTAACAAAGTATTGGGAATTCTTTACTTTATTAGTGTCAAGACCATCAATAATGGAAATTACATGAAAAGAAATGTAATGTTTTAAGTAACTAAGATTTGATTATTTTGCATTTTAGGGCCACCACCTGGACTACCACCACCAGGACTCCCCCCAATAGCTGCTGGACCCCCTCCTGATTTTTCTAAACCCCCTCCACCTATAGTTCATAGACCACCCCCACCCACAGGTTAGTATATAGTTCTTTCAAAAAAGTACATGATATGTAGGCCTATTTACTTATTATCTTGAGGATAACAAAAAATTTAAGTCAAGATAAGTTTGATCAGTCTGGTCCAGGATTGTTCTGATAAAAGAATGAAAAAGAATCCTTTTACAGTGTGTTTCTTATTGAATATGTTAAAGGTTGTTTAAAAAATATCAAAAGTCTGAAAAAAAATCCTCTATTATGTTTTAGAAGTTTATAATCCAGAAGCACCAGGACTGACTGGACCTCGCCCAACATTCTGGCCAGGTGGACCACGCCCACCTCGTCCCCCAGGGCCTTATTTCAGCCAGCCACCACCCAATATGAATCCTCTCTCTGGACCCAGGCAAAGAGATCTAGTTACTGTAAAGACATTGCCTGCTGAGGGTGAAAGTAAGTGATTATAAATCCCTCATGAATTTTTTTCACATTTTTTTAATCAAATTAATGAATATAAATCTGATTTGTTAATATGATTACTGAAATCAGTAATTGTAATTTTTGTCTAAATTTACTGAAAACTGTAATAGAAATGTCCAAAAAATTGTGAAATGTGACCAGAGCTTGAATCTCCAGACAGTATGAGATATGACTGGTACAAGTAGCGTAATCAATATATTGAATATCTAAATTCAACCTGATATATTTAATTTACAGAAGAGAACGAGAAAGGTGAATCAAGAGTTGTGGTACCGAGTAAAAGAACGTATGATATGATAGATCAATCCCATCAACAACAGCAACAACAACATGGTTCACAGCCTAAACGCCATTTTGATTTTGCCAGATTAGGAGGTAGGTTGATGCTCTGTTTTACTCTACTAGGTGATAAGGTTTTGTAGGTACCATTTCACTTAAGGCAAAGACTTGTTTCTAGGTTAAGCTCAGTGCATTTGAAGTCTGTTTGCTGTTTGGCTATTGATCATTTCCACTTCCATTTGCTGATGTATTTACTTGTGTGGGGGCCATATTCATTGTATTGGGTCTATTCGGAAAAGAGTTAGAAACAAAATATAATTTTGATAAAAACCCCTTTTGAAAAACATCATTTGAATTCATATAAAACACTTTGTTTTGTATTTTATCACAGGTTATAGAAAACCAAACCCAAATATGGAGAACTCGTGCCTAGAAGTTCGTAAAATTCCCAGAGAGTTGAACAATATAGCTAAATTAAATGAACACTTTGGAAAATTTGGTACCCTGGTTAATTTACAGGTAAGGAACAGTCATAGAAATTAGTAATTTAGTAGCAAAGTTTATTATCAAAAGCATAACTATAAGCAATGGAACTGCATTGTGTTTAATGCACTCAAGTATAATTTCATATATCAAACTAAGCCATGAAAAAAGTACTGTTTCTGTTCATTGAGTGAATGCTTTTGAAATTCCTGAGTAGAAAACTGAGAAATTGTGTATGTAGGGTAAAGAATATTGACCTCTCCCCTGTTGAAATGTTATATTTGTATTTTGTAGATCTGCTATGAAGGTGACCTTGAAGCAGCCTTAGTGACATATAGTGATAACCAATCAGCTTTCAGTGCCTATCGTAGTAGTGAGCCAGTATTTAATAATAGATTTATTAAAGTTTTCTGGCATAAAAAACAAGAGGCAGGGGATGGTCAGACTACAGACTTGACTGTACAGGTACCTTATTTATTATCATCTTATCTCATCAAGGCCATATACACTTTTAATAAACAACCTATTGTTTGGTCCTTCTATATTTGCCCAATAAGGTGCAGAAACGTAGGATGTAGAACTATCCAAAAAGAATATGCTCATGCTGCTGTCCTGACAAAATTAACCTCATTTGTAAGAATCTTTTGTAAGGCCTTGTAGCAAAGATATTTTCAAGGGCCATTATAGCACAGGCACAAGGTTTTTTTATTAATAATAATTGTTTTGTCAATATTTTGCTTGATAAGATTTAACAGAATTAACTTTATTCTCATCATTTTTCACGATTTCAGAAACCAATGGAATCGAAACCAGTTCAGCCCCGACTGGCCATCACCATTCCTCATCATAGTAAATTATCATTAAATAATAAAAACAAACAAGATAAGGTAAATAGAGTTGTTTTTGTTATAATGCCATCTTTTATTGATCTTTGTCGTCAGTTTGAATCATAGCGTAGTTTCAGATATACCTTCATATTTATCAAACCAATTTCCCTTGTCGGGATGTACGTCAGAGGGGCTAACATAGAAGCGTCAAGTAAAATTCTACACCTGTGTAGACTCTGCATGATAATTGACAGTTGGAAATAAAAAATGAATACACAAAGATGCTTCTGTCCTGGAAAATTTTCCCTTATTACACACTGCATTGCCTTGCTCATCTTCTTCTGATTTCACCTTTCTGTCTAACTCTGAGATAGAAACTCATTCAGACTATATCAGATTATTCAATTCTATTTTGCAGGAGATAGTTTATACATCTTCTATTGGTAATTTAAAGAAAACAGTCATTAATTCAGCTGCCATTAATAAAACACAATCTGCTATGACTAGTCCCACAGCTGTTGGATCAGCTGACTTTGTGAAAAGAATCGAAGAAATCAAAAAGAAAGAAGAAATAAAACAGGTAGAGTACTATTAGTTGGTTGATATATCTATCTAGTGTTTTGACTATTGGAGTGTTCATATGTTTCAGTCAGATATACCCAAATAACTGAATAGTGTTGGGTGTTATAGAAGATACTCACCTATAGAAGCACTGTCCAAGGTCACAAGAAGACAACTTTCATCTTTTATATCAATTTGAGCAATGGCCTTTTATTTCAGGAGGCGTTGAAGAAGAAAGTTGAAATTCAGAAACAGAAACAGAATTTATTAGAAAAAGAAATAGGGCATCAAAAGGTAAGCATACATGTGTACTATTTCAATTTTTTAGACAGATGTCTGTGGGTATTACAATTCCACCAAAACTATATTAAAGCAATATTCATGTCATATAGGGTTAATAATTTCTAAAAGGGTACCACAGACATTGGACAGAAAATTGGAATGGTAAAAAGAGTCATGAAAAAACTTAAAAAACCTCTTTACAGCCCTTGAGCAGTCTTTCATTCAGATTAACATAGTGTTTTTGTCTAAGTTAATACTAATCATCTATTGTTATATATTTGTAGGTATTAATAGAAAAGTTAGAGAATAATAAAACTATGAGTAGTGAAGAGAAAGGTGTTATTATGAAGGTAGGACTGGTATTATATCTTAATATTTCATTCATCATCTTCATATTGTATACTGACTGAATGCTTGTAAAACCTTCCATGATTCCAATGAAGAAGTGATCGTTCTGACAGAATGATATGATAGTTTTCTAGTCATTACAAATTTTGCCTTCTTTCTTTGAAATAGGAAACCTAAGGAATGGAATTTCCTGTTATCTTAAATCAGAAATTTTGAAAATTTGTATTTCATATATCATTTCAATTTAATATATTTCTAGACATTGAAGACCTTAACAGACAGTATAGATAAATTAAAACTGGAACTTTTACCACAAAAATCAACCAAAAACCCTGACGAGGTAAGATTGATTGTATTTAGTTCACTGTGTAGAGGAGGTAGTTCACATATTTAAAATCCCACAGTATGGTTAGGATTCCAAAAACAATAAAATATCTGTAGGATCCAGTAATATATTAAGTGGATAACTATTCAATATAATTTTTAGTCTATTATAGACTAAAAGAAGTAATTTTGATTTCAGAAAACAAGTTATTAAACCAAATTTGTGTATTAAAAATTGTTCTTAAAATATTGGCTAAGAATATAAGCCCCTAGTCCAATTTATAGCTTCCCTGTGATTGAGAATGTGTTATATTTTTAGACTCGTAAAGAAATTCTGGATACAGAGTTAGAACTGATCAATAAACAGAATGCTGGAGAAGATACAACAACTTTACGATTGAAGTTGACACAGCTTACTAAAGAGGTAGGTACCTGAAATATAAATACATTGTTTACAAGGATAACAACTTCAGTTCATGATGATCCTTTCTACTAGCATGTTCTTGGTCAAACCTCTTGCCATTGGCCTTTCCTACCCTTTGTCTGAGTCGTAATGCTTTTAAGTGAGTTGAACCCATTTGTATTTGTCATAAAGTAAAGTTCTCCTGCAAAAGCAAATTTTCAAGAAAGATATCTTATGTGTTTTTAAGCAAAAGTATCATTTACATTATCTTATGTTACAGGCACAGTCTTTAGGATTATTTGGGCGAGGTAGAGGAAGAGGTGCTAGAGGGCGTGGCAGTATGAGAGCTAGAGGTGTTCGTGGTAGGGGAGGTTACTCTGCATTTGGTAGGGGACGAGGAGGTGGGTCAATGACCCTTGATAACAGGCCCAAAGTTATAGAAGTCAGAAACTTTGATTTGGAAGAAAAAGAAGAAATCAAAAATCATTTTAATGTAAGTTTGTATTGTTTTAAAGATAGTTCATATTGATGTTGAGTTTGATATTAAACAATAAACAAAGCAAAAACTTTATAGATTTGCTTGGTTTTATATACCTTACTAAAAATTTCAGTTTCTCTGCCAGCTGTCAATTACTAAATGTTATCAAGGAAAACTGGCTAATTTTAATCTAAGGCTTGTCATCTAAGCTTGAAGTGGAAACTGTTGAAGCATTTAGAACCCTAATGGATGCTACCAACACCTCAGATAAAATAAAGTTCATTTTATTGGTATTTTTTTCTGTTTTCTAACTAATGTTGTGTTTTATTTTGAAGACAACTGGTCAAGTAGATAAATGTGAATTTATAGATTCGATCCCAAGTGCAATTATTACCTTTAAAACCAGAAAAAGTGCTGAATTGGTGAGTATACTCTGCTTTACTGCTATATTTATTACCCTTTTCAAGCATTCAAATCTAAGCATTTTTATAGTTTATACTCCTAGAGTGGCTAAGAATTTTTGTAACCAGTAAAACTCCAGATTTTTGCCATAGTTGTTATTAACAAGTATAGCAGTACAAGTCCTGTTTTTTTTTTTTTGCCCCAAGTAAAATCTTGTAGAAAGGAGTGGTTGTTGTGGTTATTAGAAATTTTTAACTAATCATGTATTTTTGCTGAAGAGTAATGTGAAGAGGTTATCAGTTTTGTTGTTATTATTCAGGCTATATCAAGAGGTAGTAAGTTTAAAAATAAAGTATTAAGTATAAAATGGTACAGTGGTATTACTAGAACTATTAGTAGTGAAGAACCAGGAGGAGAGTCTGAAGAGGAAGAGGTAAGATCTAAAGCTTTCACAATATACAAGATCAGAATTTTTATTTGTTTCATTGTAGTCTTCTTCAAACCGGTTTACCCTCCCTGCCATGCATTTCCAAGTAGTTGACATGTTTGATTCTACTGATTGAAAAATTGAGGGAGGCCCTCTGTGGTAAAGTCCGTGCGAGTTAAAAAAAAATATCTTGTTAATTGGAAATTGAAAAAGAGTAAGCTAATGCAGGTGTCAAATTTCCCTAATTGCAAACTGCATGGAATTGGCCATCTTTCAAGACCTATCAGATGCACAAAAGTATTGGACTTGGAAGCTCAATTAGTTCTGATCTTCTTATAATTTATCATTTTCACTAATTAATGCTGTATTTACTTATAGTCTGCACTAACAGAAGAATTAGATGAAGATTCTCTGCTGGCTGGTGATGATGAGGAAGATGAAGATGAAGAAAGTAGATCCTGGAGAAGATAGAAATTACTACGCCTCAGCTCTTCATGAACCGTACACTAGAAAGTTCAACTTGATTTTCAAATTCATTTGAGTGCATTTATAGACAAGGCATTTAAAGTTAACATTTTTGTGGAAAGGCTCATGATGGCTGAATTAACAATGCCTGACATCGTTTTTCTTATACCTTATGTATTATTTCTTGTGGAAGGGGAGGGGGACAATTCTCGTTAAATATTTTCCCCTTGTCAATGTCTATATTACAAAAAAACAAATTGTATATTATTTTGGAGGGCTCAAAATTAAGGATCAATTGGGTTTGTTATTTAAGTAATGTAAAAAAAAAAATGCAAAGAATTTATTTGGCTTCAAACTATTTATAAAGGTATTAAGTGACAGACGGTGCCATATTTGGGGAATTAACACCTATCAAAATTGGTGTGGGTCCTGATACATGTATTATGCAATGTATTGTGTACTATTCTGTATATATATTAATTTGTTTTGTATATAATTGATCTGTTGGAATTGGTTTGTTGTGAAATTTTAGAACTGTCTTGACGTGATTTGAATTATTTGACATCCTTATAACTTGCAAATACTGGTAGAATATTCAAATAGTTTCAACTAGATAAGAAATGTTGCAGAAAAGTCTTTTTCTGATATAATTTTATACAAATTATAAAGAGCCTTGTCAAAGATTCTCCTAACTGTAGGACTTAAATATCTGTTGAAGGTCAGTTCTGTATTGATTGAGCCCATAAATAATAAGATAGATACAAAGTGATAACAAGTTTCTGGCTAGTTCCTCAATATATTTACTCTAAATCTGAAAACTAGGAATTGATTTGCGATATTAGTCTCCCAAATAAAAATTGGACTTGCATTTTAAAGGAAATTCAAAATGGACTTGCATTTTAAAGAAAATTCAAAATCGACTTGCATTTTAAAGAAAATTCAAAATGGACTTGCATTTTAAAGAGAATTCAAATTGGACTTGCATTTTAAAGAAAATTCAAATTGTGATATAAAATCTACATTTGTCAAGACTCAAGACAGTTCTATTTGTTGTATATTGTTACAGAATATTTTTGTTGTTAAATGCTAATTATTTTTGTCATCAATGTATATTTTCTATCAAAGTTCCATGAAGATCTAAACTCTGAACATAGTTTTTGAGTCTGGAGATTTTTGAATGAAATGGATTGAGGGTTTGCATCTGGGTTTATTGAGCGATTTTTGGTTCTTAGTTACATAATTTACAGTTTAGCTTAAAAATTTTGAATTTTTATATTTTTGAATACATTTTCTAAAAATTTCTGTTTATAAAAAAGTGAGCCTAAGTCACAGAAAGTGAAATTTATATTTTGAGGAGTCCAACTTTTTGCAATTATTCAGAAAAAAAATTGATAAAAATGTGTGTTAAAATGGCCAGATTGTAAATTTTATATTGAACATTTTAAACAAACGTGACTGACAAATATGACCAAATCAACATCCCTGATGTGATTTTGAGATATAAACACTATAAAGCCCTTATAGCATTCTATTGAGAAATGAAAGTCCAGCTTCAGAAACCATGTTCATTGTTCACAAGCTTGATAATTGTACATCTTAAATTATATTTTATTATTGTACAAACATGCAAAATTTTCACTTATTTCATGCTCAAAAAGATTTAAAAAAAAGAAAATTGAAAAAAAATAAAAGAGAATTGAAAAGATAAAGATCAGAAGATAAAATGAATAAAATCAAAAGAAAGAAATTGAGCATGAATTAAAAGAAAAAATAAGAAAAATGCTAATTTAATGGATAAAATATGGAATAAAAAATTTAGAAAAGATATGGCAGATGCCATCAAAAATATCACAAAAGAGGAATAAAGCTTTTCAAACCTTCCAGTGAACATTCACTGTAGAGTAGTGTATTACACTGCTGGATGACTGTGGTTTTGGTGTGAAAAACAAGTTAAAAGTGTTTAATATTGTGTGAGTGATAGTGTGTGTTTTGTATGTTTAGTTTTGCAAGCATGTGTAGATTGTGTGATTAGTGTAAGCATGTGTTTGTATGTGATGAGTGAATTCATGTGCCTCATAGACGTAATCTTGATGTGTGAAGGAACGTTTTTTGTATGTGATGGATGAAAACCTGTTTCGTATCTGTGTAATTATGTGATTTGTGAAGGAACGTGTTGTATCTGTGATTTGTGGAAGTATGTGTGTTGTATGTGGTTTGTGAAAGCATGTGTTTTGTATGTGATGTGTGTAAGCATGTGTTTTGTATGTGGTGTTCGATGGGATGTGTTTTGTATGTGATGTGTGAAAGTATATGTTGTGTGTGTGTGTGTGAGTGTGTGAAAGCATATGTTTTGACTGAAAGCTTGTGTTTTATATGTGATTTGTGGAAATGAAATGAAATGAATGGAGTTTTACGTCCTACTTTTCTGCACTATGTGGGCTAATGAAGACGGTGTGATTTGTGGAAGCATGTGTGATAGATGGTGGTGTTTGAAGGAATGTGATGAGTGAAAGCGTGTGTTTTGTATTTGATGTGTGAAAGCATGACATTGTGTTGTGTGAAGGAATGTGATGTGTGAAATCATGTGTTGTGTGAAGGAATGTGATGTGTGAAATCATGTGTTTTATATGTGATGTGTGAAATCATGTGTTTATATGTGGTGTGTTGTGTATGTGACGTTTGAAAGGAAACAAATACAAGGTATGTGATTTGAGAAATTCACTGTTGTATGCAGTATGTGTTTTTGTTTTTCGAAGGGAAGACAATTTATCATGGTGTGTGTGAAAGTTTGTGTGATGTGTGGAAGTATTTTCTCTTAGTGAATGTTGGCTGTGTGACGGAATGGTGCATTGTACACTGTATTCAGTTCTTAATTGTTATAAATCTCTGTATTTCAGGACAGTTTATTACAGAAAGAAGATATTACAGCTTGAGAATTTCGTATATTAGCTGGTTTTTATTTTGATTGACTGAAATTAACCTCCACTAATAATTGGTAAAGTAATATTGAAAAAAGTAACAGATAAAAATATTTTTTATTTACATTTTGAGTTTGAACCAAAAGGCATCTAAAACGTGCATGAGATGACATCCATTCCACCGCATTACACCCCAGAAGAATCTCGTCCACCTATTTAACGAATGTTATTGCACATAATTCTGCATTCCCTTTCTCTAAAATAGGTTTCTTATCATTTCTATTATGAACATGAACTTTTGATGTACCGAGCAGAAATAGAAATATCATTTAAGACAATGTCAGATATCAACAGTAGTCCAAATCATTGCTTATAAAAGGGGCCATCTTTCTTCCACCACAAAACACTAGAACATACATCATTGGCCTTTTATACAGTTGCTCTCTGTTCAGCCTCTCCACTGTAAAACATGCATGAAAAATTTGAAAGCTTCTCAATTCTCAAACAGCACTGTAACTTAATCTTCTATGTATAGGATATCTGAAATTGAAAAGGACAGGATTGATATAAATAAAGTGCTGACATGGAAATCACATAATTTTGGAATACCTCAACAGTTGGAGATCGAAAAAGAGTAGGCTAATGCCTTTTCATTTTGAGATATAACAGCATAGTCTCGTGTAAGTGCATCAGACCACAAAAGATAACACACTGACTTCGTTGTCACATTTGATATCCCCATCAGGTACAGAAGAGTAAGATGTAAAACGGAGTTACCTGATATAACGAGAGGTAGCAAGCCATTCCCTGACTAGAGGCACTAACAATCCTCCCAATAAGATCTGTACAGGATGGTATATTAATAATGATATAGTTATAACAGATAAACTATCATCATTACCAAATATTATCTTAATTATAGGAATACCTACAAAATAACTGATTTACAGGCCACATATTGTCGAAAACATCATAATGCTTGAATATCCCAGAAACAATGTTAAAAGATGAGATTCTAGGACATCCTAGAACCAAGAATGTTTTGAAAATACGCAGCCAGATGATTAAATGATAGGAAGAATTTAATTTTAATAATATCTGGCGCTAGTTTCATGATTTTAGTGGTCAAACCATTTGATTGGTCAAATCACTCCAATTGATATTCAATCTGCCTATATCAACCAATCAGACTGCATCTTTACTTTAGTCTTGAAATCTTGATTGTTCTACCAAAACAATGCTTCATAACTCAGGCTAGTTTAGTGTCTGTACGTACCTAGTGTTAAAGATTTATGGGTACAGCAGTATAACAGAGCCACTGTATCTTGAGGATGGAATGAAATAGCTGGATGAGTTGTTGTATAAAACACTAATAACATTAACAACACCTGGATTAAAATTACTGAAAAAATACAAATAATTCATGCAAATCAAAACATCAATGACCCAAAAGACATTTCATGTATGTGTATAAAAACTAGCACGCTAATTACGGGTCAGAGCAACTGGAAAATAGACATTATATGTCTGACACAGTTACAATATCCCATCCGAATATCACATCGGGGAAAATCATTAGGGTCAGATCTCTCAGGCTAGATAACTCTATATCTAATTGGGCCAAATTCAAGAAAGGCTATTTGGCCTAATTTCTTACCCTAATAAAGTGATTATTATTATTGTTATAATTGTGACCAAGAAGCATGAAATTTCTATTAAATGAATGGTCTTAAAACTTACTGAGCAGTACTAATGAAACTAGACTAAACTGATCCACTTGTAAATCCTGATGACTGAAGGTATCACAGAAAGTTGTGTAAATTATCAACAATAATATACCACTGAAAACAAAAATGTCATTTCATTAATAAATGTCAGAACTTGTACTAGCAGTTTCCGTACAGCTGTCGCAAAGCGATAGAAGTAGGATGTTTCAAATTGTACATCCATATATCTTGTGCTTGTCTGCATATCCATTAGTTAAATATTTTCCATTATCAACTGGTCCAAGGCTTTCCAATTTCTACTGCAGTTCTAATGACTTTATTTCAACAAATCAAAGCATGTCATGTAGGACCTGTTTCTTGATACCACTGATAAAGTATGGGAAGGGGGACCAAAAGACGCTGCCATATTGCTTTTTTGGGAGGAGGGGAGGGGTATTTTGCTTTCCCACAAAAAAAATAAAAAAACAAAATTGTAATCTTATCTTTATCATATTGGACCTTATCCTACTCACCTGCCTATTTCTCCCAGAGGTAAATGCAGCTGTTCTAACCATAATTTATGATTTCTCCGTACTATTTGACCCAGTACTATTGGTAAGACAACAGTAGATGATAGCTGTATAAGGATTTTATTAGCAGGAACATGAGCTGTGGATCCAACCTGAAAAATAGAACCCAAGGTGGATACATTGATCTCCTATCTTTATTTCAATGCTACTCCCTCTCAGGCTAACTAACCCACACAAGTAAAATCCAGATTTATCTTCCAGGCATCGCAACAGCAGGCCAAAATTATCTTCAGGGCATGGCAACACCACAACAGCCACTTGAAATTATCTTCCAGGCATGGCAACAGCAGGCCAACATTATCTTCAGGGCATGACAACCTCACAACAGCAGCACAAAATTATCTTTTCAGGCATGACAACCCCACAACAGCAGCACAAAATTGTTTTCAGGGCATGACAACCCCAAAACAGCAGCACAAAATTGTCTTCAGGGCATGGCAACTCCACAAAATCAGCACAAAATTATCTTCCAAGGCATGACAACCCCACAACAGCAGCCCAAATTATCTGCCAGGCATGACAACCCCACAACAGCAGCACAAAATTATCTTCATGGCATGACAACCCCACAACAGCAGCCCAAATTTATTTGCCAGGCATGACATCCACACAACAGCAGCACAAAATTATCTTCCAGGCATGATAACCTCACAACAGCAGCACAAAATTATCTTTCAAAACATGTCAACCTCACAACAGCAGCACAAAATTATCTTCCAGGCATGATAACCTCACAACAGCAGCACAAAATTATCTTTCAAAACATGTCAACCTCACAACAGCAGCACAAAATTATCTTCCAGGCATGACAACCTCACAACAGTTAAACAAAATTATCTTCTAGGCATGACAACCTCACAACAGCTGCACAAAATTATCTTCCAGGCATGACAACCTCACAACAGCAGCACAAAATCATCTTTCAGGCATGACAACCCCACAACAGCAGCACAAAATTATCTTCCAGGCATAACAACCCCACAACAGCAGCACAAAATTATCTTCCAAGGCATGACAACCCCACAACAGCAGCACAAAATTGTTTTCAGGGCATGACAACCCCAAAACAGCAGCACAAAATTGTCTTCAGGGCATGGCAACTCCACAAAATCAGCAAAAAATTATCTTCCAAGGCATGACAATCCCACAACAGCAGCCCAAATTTATCTGCCAAGCATGACAACCCCACAATAGCAGCACAAAATTATCTTCCAGGCATGACAACCCCACAATAGCAGCACAAAATTATCTTCCAGGCATGACAACCTCACAACAGCAGCACAAAATTAATTTTCAAGGCATGACAACCCCACAATAGCAGCACAAAATTATCTTTCAGGCATGACAACCCCCAACAGCAGCACAAAATTATCTTCCAAGGCATGACAACCCCACAACAGCAGCACAAAATTGTTTTCAGGGCATGACAACCCAAAAACGGCAGCACAAAACTGTCTTCAGGGCATGGCAACCCCACAAAATTAGCACAAAATTATATTCCAAGGCATGACAACCCCACAACAGCAGCCCAAATTTATCTGCCAGGCATGACAACCCCACAACAGCAGCACAAAATTATCTGCAGGGCATGACAACCCCACAACAGCAGCCCAAATTCATCTGCCAGGCATGACAACCCCACAACAGCAGCACAAAATTATCTTCAGGACATGAAAACCCCACAACAGCAGCACAAAATCATCTTTATAGCTTGGCAACCCCACAATAGCAGCACAAAATTATCTTCCAGGTACAAAATTGTCTTCCAGGCATGACAACCCCACAACAGAAGCACAAATTTATCTTCCAGGCATGACAACCCCACAACAGCAGCACAAAATTATCTTCATAGTATGGCAAGCCAACAACAGCAGCTTGAAATTATCTTCACACCACGGCAACCCCACAACAACATCTCAAAATTATCTTCATAGCATGACAACCCAACAACAGCAGCACAAAATTATCTCCATAGCATGGCAACCCCACAACAGCATCTCCAATTATCTTCAAAGCATGGCAACCCCACAACAGCAGCCAGAAATTATCTTCATAGCATCCACAACAGGGGATTTTTAAAAAAAAACTAAGGTAGGACATGTATCATGTCGACAAGTGGACACAAAGCTCATATAAATTCCCCCACCCCTCCCCTCCCTGCTAAATTTTACAAAATTATGCCAAGGATTCTTTTGACTTTCTTGTTATGCAGTCATTAGCAAATTTAAAGAAAGACTGACAATTATTTGTCTAAGCTATAAACCATATTCAATCCTCCTGTATAAAAGAATTTCAGAGTGGTATGGGCCAGCAATTTATATCTCATTTAATACCACTGATACTTTTTCATTTTCACACAAAAACTCACAACTGCTTTCAGAGCTAGGCCAGTGCTTTCATTGAGATTCTTCTCATTAATTTTCATCTCACCAACCTTTTAACACAATGTTCTGCTAAATCTGTCCATAAGTCAACAGTTACTCCGTAATATATTCAACTTCCTGTTTCATTTGTCACATTCAATCCCAAGCAAAAGTTATAATCTATCATGGAAAAAAACTTGGAAAAATGTCACCAATGTGATGTTTGTATGATGAAGTTTACTATGGCACGAGGTCTAAAATATCACATGAGAACACATACTACAGAGAAACCATATGCATGTGATGTATGTAAAGAGCGTTTTACTCAGGCAAGTGGTTTGGCTGATCACAAGAGACTACATACTGGAATCAGTGCAGAGAAACCTTTCAAATGTGATGTTTGTAATGAGTGTTTTACTCAAGCAAATGGTTTAGCTGACCACATGAAAATACATACTGGAGTTAGTGTAGTAAAACCTTACAAGTGTGATGTTTGTAAAGAGTGTTTTACTCAGGCAAGAGGTTTAGCTGACCACATGAAAATACATACTGGAGTTAGTGGAGAGAAACCTTATAAATGTGATGTTTGTAAAAAGGGTTTTACTTATTGCAGTAGTCTAGATGTTCACTTGAGAATTCATACAGAAATGAAACCATATATATGTGATGTTTGTAAAGAGTGTTTTACTCAGGCAAGTGGTTTAGCTGACCACATGAAAATACATACTGGATTCAGTGGAGAGAAACCTTATAAATGTGATGTTTGTAAAAAGTGTTTTACTTATTGCAGTATGCTAGATGTTCACATGAGAACACATACAGGAGAGAAACCATACAAATGTGATGTATGTAAAAAGTGTTTTACTACGGGCAGTAATCTGGATGTTCACATGAGAAGACATAATGGAGAGAAACCTTTCGAATGTGATGTTTGTAAAATGTGTTTCACTCAATATAGTGATCTTAAAACTCACAGAAGAATACATACTGGAGAGAAACCTTATAAATGTGAAGTTTGTAAAAAGAGTTTTACTCAGAGCACTAGTCTAGGAGTTCACATGAGATCACATACTGGAGAGAAACCTTTTGAATGTGATGTTTGTAAAAAATGTTTCATACACGCTGGCAGTCTTAAAACTCACTTGAGAACACATACAGGAGAGAAGCCTTACATATGTTTTGTTTGTAAAAAGTTTTTTACTGCAGGCAGTAGTCTAGCTAGTCACATGAATATACATACTCGAGAGAAACCTTATAAATGTGATGTGTGTAGGAAGTGTTTTACTCAAGCCAGCACTCTAAGAGTTCATATGAAATTACACAATCGGGAATAACCTTACAAAAAAGACAGAGACATACCAGGAGAATCCTTATTAATATGATGTCTGTAAAAATATTTTATTTGTGTTATATAAATGTTCAGCTTGTACATTGTATTAAATAACATTTAAGTGGAAAGCATATATAACAAAAACACAAGGAAATATATTCTGGTATAACTTTTCATCTGATGACGATGCATGTAAATTTTGTTTTAACATTATATACTTTGTTATTAAAGAAGTGTGTTGTTCCATAATATATTGCCTTGTATTTTTTGTTGTATATAGTTGTAAGATATATTAAACTAAGATTTAAATATGAGTTGTCTTCCTTAGTTTTTAAAATAACAGACTTGTCAAACCTTTAATTACATAATGAGCATATATTACCAATGGTTATATTAATTCATAAATATTTTCTGGATAGCAGATTTTTTTATAACAGTAGATTGTATAAAATCCATAGGGACAGGTTGAACCAAGTTCACAGGACCCCCACCACTTAGGGAGCCCCACCCCTAGAAAAAAATATGTTAAACATATGAAAAAAAAAACATCAAAGGGGAGGGCCCCTACCTGAATTCCCTGTGCCCCCACTCATCAAGTTTAGCCACTGGTAGTAATAACTGCATAGAGAAATCTAACGGACAGTTTGATTCTTTAGACAGATTAAGAAATAACAACCTACCAGTTCTAATACTAAAGCTGGAGTTATAAATATTCCCTGAAAAACAAACACAATTTTAAGCTGTCAAGAATATGTGAAAGACAAAAAAGTTGATTTAATTTTAGGCATAAATTTTGCCAATATTTGAAAGATAAAAAAATTACTTTTGATTCTGAAGACCAGGGATTCTGATTTTTCTGCTTTTTATAGTCTGACCTGAATTATTTACAGGGGAAACCACCAGTTTGAATAGTCAGAAAGAATTGATTAAACCGATTCAACTCTCCGAGTCAATCCAGGCACAGTGGCTCTACTACCATAGGGACTGCTTGAACCAAGTTCATCTGCCCCTATCACTTAGTTTATTAAGTCTTTATTAATTATATATTAAAAAACAAAAACTTACGAGAAAACTTCCTAAGGCTGAGTTAAAAATGGCAGCAGCTTCATTTCCACCTACAGCCCTTGTGAGTATTACTGCTGAAGACACTGGCGGGGGCATACAACTTAATATAAGTAATCTGTAAATATATAAACATGGTCTTTTCTGGTCACAAGCTATAACATTTTCTTCAATTTGGAGAATATTAGAAATGTCAATATAAGAGTTTGGGGATCCTTGGTTGAATTTTCTTATTGAGTTTAATAATTCTAATCATTTTTTATTAATTAGAGCTCATCTCATGCTCGTAACAATTGTTTTGGATGAACAACTGTCACCGGGACAGCTTTTCAAAATGGGGGTTGACTTTCCTAAAGTGTTCTATAGTTGTATGAGCAAAGTAAGCAGATTCACTAAACAGAACAATGAGGACTCTCCAAAATGAATTCCAATGTCACAGAGTGGTGACAGGTGCTCCCAAAGAGGGAATGAATAGGTTGAATATTTAAAGAAACATTTCAAGTTATTTCCGTAGTGATGAAGAATCATTCAAAAAAACACTGTTATTTATTCAAGTGGAAGCTATAAGTAATAAAGTGAAAGTTAAAACTTACCCATCAAGTAATAACTTTTCAAACGGTACCAAAGACTCTAACAACAGTACCAGACATTTTATAATGAATGGAAAGAAACAATAGGTAAAAAATTGAACAAACACATGGATTTTAACTTGAGACACTGCTTTTGCCAACTCCTGAAAATGAAGCAAGTTCTAATTCAGGCATTAACTCAGCATATATTTACAGCTTTTCAAGTAGCACAGCAGAAAAAAGCTATAAAATGTGGGGTGTCATGTTAATCAATCTGTCACTAGCTAAAGGGATTGTAAAGATGTTTCTAAAATTTTCACGGATAGCATCAATTTGCACCTTTCCATTTTTCAGTCAGACGTCTGTGATTCCTGCAGTTTCACCCAAAATAAATGTTTGTTGATGTCACAACTTGCAAAATACGTTTTATATGACATAAGGCCCTTTCGCAACTAGTGATGCCATCAAACACTTAATGAAATTGCGGGAACCACAATTACAATGTTGGAGTATCATCCCCTGGGCTATTTCATGCTGTGGGTACAGGTAATTAGGTACCATGGGTTTGAGCCCTCTTAAGGTACGAGAAATTCTGATGACAGAGTGCTTTCAATAGTTTTTCCTATCCATCTACATTTATATAATTACAAGATGAAATAAATTCAACATTAAAAAACCACTTGAATTCTTATTATAATGTTATAAAATATATAGGCTTACTATTTATATTTCATAAAACACACACTGAGATAAACGCCAAATGAGACAATGTCTTGATGTTGACTTCGTAATGTCATTAATGTCTGCATATCTAACTTGCAAATGCAGGTTGCTTTATTACTTAGTAAATGACACAGACCCAGAAAAAAAAAAAAATTGAAATGAATGGAGTTTTACGAACTACAGTAGGACTCCTACTTTTCTGCACCATGTGCTACAGACCCAGAAAAAGTGCTAAGGATAAACAAAATTGAGCTCTTAATCTGGTGAAGAAGACACCTTTATCCATTTAACATTAGCATCAAAATAATATTCAAAATAAATATTTTCTTCTCACCTCTGTTTTTAAAGAGATTCCACTATTAAAGAAAATAATAAACACTGCACAATATTTTACTGTGATCTCCGGATATAGAATACCTACAACATAATAAGTAGGAAGTGACTATTGTTACAGCATATTGTTACAGCAGTTAACTATATAAAACATCAGATATGTTTATATAACTATGGAAATATCTCAAAATACGGCTTTAAAACAGAATGACTTACTGTTTGATATGAACAGAATATGTTTTTGTTATATTTTGTACACTTGACAATGACCGGTGGAATCTTGTCAAAACTTTGTGTTTAAGAATTAAAGTGATTGTTATCTATAAAGACTCGTATTCTAACAGAATGACTTGGTTAGGGCAAGGTAGGGATGACCATACCTTGACCACATTTTGTTGAATTGACTACAGCTATCTTTTACTTTCAGGATCTCCGTTAAGTTTTAGTATTTGGAGAGTTTTTACTGTATAAAACAAAAGATATGTTTATTCTGCCGTAACTATAGAAAACTTATTTTAAATTACAGCTGCCTTAACTCTAATCTGTTCATAAAAAATAAGCTATTTAGTCTACTATTCAAAAGCATAATGATACTATTATTATAGTCAGGATATTGTGCACAACAGAGACCATTCAAAACATATATGTCCATGTCAACTCCATTTTTAAGAAGTCTTAGTTGTCATGCACACATCACACAGTTTTGATTGAAAGCTCTTACTCTTTCTCAAAACAAACTTAACTGCTTTGCTTGTTTGTGTCTATGTTTTTATTAATACACAACAAATACTCTGATTGCATCCCTTCAGAACTTAAATTACCTCCTTTGGAACCAATACCCGGTGCAAATTTGGCAAGAATAATGACAGCAACTATCCCAAATAGAAACCAGTTCTTCCTTAGTATGGGAATTATCATCCTGTCATATCAATAGATTCCATTTTCATGCAGACGCTTTTTTTTCCACGTTGGCCATTGAAATGTAAGACATTTGAATCGAGACTACACTATGAAGAAAAGACAACTCTCATGTGGATAACCTTTTTGGACTTTTTTTTCGGAAGAGTGCAACCATTTCTACCTCCAATATTAAAGAAACTGGAAATTTTCTTTGTTTTCATCACAAATCTTTGAATTTTTTCAATAAAAGAGCATTCGTATCAAAAACGTCAACAAGATATTGTTATCCAAGTACTGCTACATTCGTTGCTAACCATTATAAGTCAGTTTTTGCAGTGTTGCATTGACATATTAGCAATTTTGATTTGGAATTTTGGTTTGTTTACAAAACAAATATGGCGGCTGAATCAAAAACAAGATTTGACAAGCAGAGTACGATATCTTTCACCTTGCCCATTTCGTGTCAAATTTGTCTTGGAAAGGTAATTTTTAACTTGCTGTTTAAATTTCTGATCCATTGATCCAATATCTTTCAAACTATTTCTAGACAATTTAAAAGTGAAGTTTCTATATAGTGGTATTTTAAGTAGCCTAGAAATGATTTATATTTATCCTCTCTTCTTTGTAGGTTAAGCAGCCAGTTTTATGCCCCAATAATCATGTATTTTGTGGTAGTTGTATGGAGGTTTGGTTGAGTAGAAATCAGCAATGCCCCTCTTGTAGGGTGGATATCAATCCAGGCAATCCAATTCAACAAATCAGAGGTTTGTATGCTTAAATAATATGCTTCTTTTAGAATTTTATTTTTTCTGACTATGCATTATTAGGGGGCAACCATTAAAAATTTGTCATTCATTCATTGATATTGAACAAAATAATTATATAATAATAATAAAATATTATTAGGTCAGTTCTCACTGTCTGCTAGAATTGTTTACTGTAGTACCTCCACCTTAACTCTCCCTTAAATCAACATTATGGCCTCACTATACTTTCAGGTGGTTTAAATCATTTTGATGAGGAAAATGAAAGATTGAACACCAACCCACAGATGAGGAAAGCTCGGTTTGAATTGTTGTATAAAGAGTATGAGGTAAATAATTAATATCAAGTCAACATAGTAAATTGTTATAATGTTGTTATTAGAATGAGGAAAGAAATAAATCATATTGTTCCCTATCATTTAATGAAAGGAAAATTTTTGAATGACACACTTTCTAGATTGACAGATCTTCTCAAACTAAGAACTAGCTTTCTTAATTCTTCATGTACAAACCAGATCTGGAAGATGTTTCAAATAGATGAGAAAGCAACTTTCTTGGTTACTAATGATAACCATGTATTATTTAAAAATGACCAAACTATGTATGAAATTTCCAATACCACAGTTTACCGGTGAACAGAATTGCAAAAATCAATACAAAAAACAGATTTGGAACAGTACAATGTCGAAATTGGCATGCAATTTTGTTAGATGATTAAGAGAAGACTGTGTGTGTTAGTACTACAATTACACCTACCAAGAAGTTTTTATTTTAGACTAAAATCTTTTTTGATTTTGTAGGATGAATTTGAAAGACTTGAAGCAGAAATTCAAATATTAAAGTCAGAAAATGATGTATTGAGGAGTCAAGTTAAGAGAGAAAATGGTTATGATAAATCTAAAGAATTCACTCATCCAAGTTCTGTTGATGGGGGACAAGTTTTGGCTTTAACTCGTAAACTACAAGATGCACAGAAACAATATGACAGACTTAAACAGGAGGCAAATCGAAATAAACAGGTATACTTTATTTCTAACATTATAACATCCCCTGGGACCTTATTCTCAAAAACTTAACTTAAGATATTTTTAGTGTTAAAGTAATCTGATTGGTCAATCACTTAAATTGATTTTATATTTAGTTTAATATTATACAATCAGATTACTGTATATATTGGATTTTATCTTAGTAAAGTTTTTTTGCTCCTGGTATGAGGCCTCAAAATCAGATTCACGACAATTATAATTGTTATTGTCATGTAATGAAATAGTGCAAATTGCTGACTTTCTCTCCTAAGAGACCATCTTCATTAAGAGACCACTTTGGATTCATCCCTTGAGTGGTCTCTTAATGCAGGTTTTCTTGTACTTAAATTCTTATTCTTGGAACTATTAGTCTGGAAAATAAGACAGATTTGTAATATCTCTCACCTTCATATATAATGAATATTATTCCATGGAGTAGAGCAAATGCTAAGTATATTGTAGATGTGGTAACAATAGAAATAAGATATATATTTTTATCTTCTGTAGGAAAATAATGAATTAAAAGATGAAAATGTTAATTTAAACAGAGAAAATGAAAGACTCAGACTTGAAATTGTCAGTAGATCCCCTCACAGGTATGATTATTACAGTTATAGACACAGGACAAAACTTTGCTTGAAACCTAAGGAATCAGCCACATTTCTGTGAAATCATTACTCAGAGCTCAATATTAGTGGATCTCATTGGTCAGCCAATCCATGAATCCATGTCTTGTTGCAATAGTTCACAAAATATGATGAATATAATTAATGCCACAGTATGCACAGTATGTATATACCTTCTTAGTCTTTTATCTTATAGAGAGGATTTTTCCATTGACTATGTTAATAATTTTAATCAGTTTGAAGAAGAATAATTGTTGTTAATACTGTCTTTTTTCTTGACAGGTATGGTAGATTCACTGTTGCCACCCTGGAATCGAAGGTTGAGGGGTATGAGAAAGAGATTAAACAGCTGAACAAAGCTTTAGAAAGAAGTGATAAGTATATAGAAGACTTACAGAAACAACTGGAACTCTATGGTCATAAACAGCCAACAGACAAACCCAAATTATCCAAAGACTACAGTGATTTTAATGGATCAATCCTAGACACGAAATCAGAAGTTGATGCTTCCAAAAGACGCTTATTCACTGGTGATGGTAATTTCAGTCAAAAAAGTGCCTATGATAAAACAGACCCTGTACAATTTGCTCTGGATTTGTATAGAAACAGTACTAAGAGCATCAATAGTGAAAATGATGTTGCAACAGCTAGCCAAATCAAAGACAAGGCATATCCTAATCCTGAATCACCTGGTCAGAGAAAGTGGAAGAAGTCAGCACTATCAGGAAACTCGCCACAGAAAGACAGAACTCCTAAAAAGGTTCAATTTGATTTGAAAAAGGAAAATGATTCAGCATCATCATTTGATCTAGATAGACCAAGTCCATTAACTCCGTCCACGTACATGGGAAAACTGTCTCTTTTAGACAAAAAATCTCCTTCATCAGCTAGAAAAAATCTAAATTTTGCTGAATTTGACCGAACAAGTTCTTCCAAGTCAGCAAGAAACCTGGAATTAGGGTCTCAAGAAAGTTTGGACGACACTGGTCAAATTAAATCCGAGTTGGATGAGCTGAACATATCAATGACTCCTGAGTTATCAGATTGTATGAAGCTGATGAATAGAGCCGAAAAGAATGTGCATGTTAGCAAATACAACGAGGAATCTGTTAAATCGAAAGGTATTGCCAATTTTGTAGCTCCTGTTGGTTCTTTGGTTCCTGGCATGACTTTCAATACCATTATGAATGAATATCCTCTAAGCGTTTATCACCTTTCTTGTAACAATGATGTTTCTTTGTCTGAAAATCAGGCACCAGAATCAAGACATTCTGTGTCTTTGAGTTCTTCTAACCCCAACTATCTTTCCAGCACTACTGCACAAAATGATAACTATCAGAACCAAAATTTTAGAAATGATGGGTCACGTCACATGCAAATTAATAGAGATGCTCAAATTGGTCAGGTTCATCTCTCTGCTTCGTCAAGCTCTTTTCCTTTCAATCCTCCCTTGGGAAGCAGGTCACACCCCATCACTAGCCACTTAACCTCTCAACAGCCATCTTATCATTCCTTGCCTTTGTCTTCCTCCATGATGCTTGCTTATTCACAATCTAATAACACACCCCTAGTCTCCCAATCTAATATACCACCCCTATCAAATAAGCAGACGGACATAAATCAAAATTTTTCGACTTTGGGATTGTCAGACATGGTTAGACGTGGCCAAGATATTTTGAAAACGATGGATTTGAAGCACAATGATGTTCGATCTTTGACACCAGTAGTTTCAGCACAACCCCATTCTTCTTACACATCCAGTGTGAGCCAATTTCAACCAATATTAAGCACCAGAGCAGAAACCAAATCCAATTTTTATGATGCTTTGATATCTAAAAGTAAAGTCATAAATGGAATAGAAGCACCCAATTTTACAAAGGGGAATAACTTTGCAAATTTGCCAAAATTTGATATCCCACAATCTCTTATCATTCCATCACCAAACTTGAGTGCTGAATTTGCAGCAGATAAACAATCTAATGGGTCTCAACCAAAACCTCAAAATGGTACTCTCCATTATCAATCAAAACCCAGTGTAGACTGTCAATCAAAGAATGTACCTCCCCCTTCTCTACCATCATATCAATCATCCAATCAAAATTTAGCATTGGCTAATGGTTTTTCAAAATCATTGCATCTGTCTGCTGCCAAGCCACCTGCTTCCATCCCTCCCACCACCATTTCATCTCATTTCTTCTCATCCACAGGTTTCTCCAGTTCTGATTCTCTTCCGTCCACAAATCCTGAAAGTCATGCCAGTACCTCCCAGCAACAACCACAAAAACCTACAGAGCTATTCCAAAATAGCAGCCAAATGAACGGAAATCAGCAGCAGACATCGAAGTCTGCAAAGGGAGATAACTCCATGAACAGTCTGGATTTTTCTGGAACTGGAAACAGTGATTCATTTAGATTGGAAGCACCAACTGGTAACTATAGTTACGTTTCCAATGACTTGTCATCACGAGGGTCAGACTCTTTTCTCCCTGAACCCAAAAAGCGTTTATTTCAAACAGACGATAGTTTGGATATTTCAATGAGTCCAATCAAAACTTCCAGGCATTATTGATTTTAAAAATAAAATCTAATCTAAACCCCAACAAATCTCGCCCTACCATACGAGATATATAGATGAGATGTTTTCTCCTAGCCTTGATGACATTACATCTGTATATAGTTATATCTTAGGAACTGGCAGGTGTGATATATGGGATGTGATCTCTACCTCTTAATGTTAAATCCGTATATTAAGGTGGAATGGCAAGATTTATTGAGATAGCTAATCTTAAATATGATGCTGAGTTGAAAATATGAAGGACAAAGTGTCATTCTGATTTAATTTCAATTTAATGGCATTATTCATGTCATTTGGGTAATTTTAATTTATACATATTATTAATTGTTAATCTATTTATTTTATTTCTCATTCAATAAAATATAATTGAAATCAAGAAAACTGTTATTTTTCTTTTTCTTGACATATAGACCTAGCCTAGAAGCTGTCAGTCAAACTGTGTGTTCAGTGTACACAATATCTAGTTGGAACTTCTGACATGGTTAAAGTTACCAGTTGCTCTGATGGGTCCTGTAATCAACAGGTTTTGCATGTTAATAAAACATGATAATGCACACAGAAACGAAATGGCCGCCGACATCTTTATTGGCAAATTAAGATACAGAAGGATTGAATGTTTACAGGAAAAGCAGTTTAGCTATAGAAAAATATCTTTGCAATTGCCTAGACAAACTTATTAAAAATATTAAACTATGAATGAGTAATATTTGTCAATATTTCAACAACAAAAACCTTTTACAAATCTTATTCAAAAGTTTAACAAAAACGTTATGTGTTGGTGAAGGTTTCCTTTTGTGATCAATGACTGTTTTGTCTGACAAGATATACTGTTTTTGAAAACGTTCCAATCTCGAGTTTTCTTTTTGATGAATTAAAGTGACCATACCAATCCATAGCTTTTCCAATCTTTCTGAATATTTACAACTAATGACGTCATATAAGTCAATCAATGACGTAAACTTTTCAAAATTTCCATTTCCTGCCAAGTATGCTGTTTGGATGAGATCTTGTTTATTACCAATTAAACATACCACTGAATATTCATGAGATTTCTTTTGAATTTCGTTTAACCAGTATGAAACTCCGATGTGCCAAGATGGATCAGTGACGTCATAGACAATGATGACAGCGTCAACTTTTGCGAAATAAAGATTGGTTAAATTTTGGTTAGCAGTGGAGCTAGGTGCGTCAAATATGTTCAACAATACTACTTTCTCCTCAACTTTAATTTTCCGATAGAAAAAGTTAATACACGGAGAGCTTAGAACATCCGAACTGAATATGTCTTCTGTAAATTTTCTTATGAAAGAAGTTTTTCCAACTGATTTGTCTCCAACTACTAATACCTTGAACTTCTCATCAGCAAGGCTGTCCTCCATAATTATTGAAGAAATAGACCTGCAAATAAAATTATAACATGTATGCATTGATAATCTTTGTAAGACATATAGAAGTAGAAAGGTAGAAATGAAGAACATAAGATAATATAGATATACATATATACATTTATGTATACTCTAAATTATAACATACATAGGGCCTTATGTATATGTGTATTTATGTTTAGTAAGGACGTTTAACGAATGCTAACAAAACCCCGGGCTTCTGTCAAGCATGAATAGATTTGGTTGTTTCTCATGATTTTACCATAAACCCGGAAACTGAATGGTCATTAAATTAATTGTATTATCTCAGATTGCGCGAGCGAATCCTACCGTGTTTCTGAATACATTGACCATTTTTTACTTCCATTAGCGTGTAAGCATCCGTCATATCTTAAGGATACCACCGATTTTGTTGAAAAAATTAAAAGCTTGAATGTTCCTCCAAACGCAAGATTTATCTCATTAGCTGTTACGAGTATGTATACCAATATTGATAATAAAACCGGTTTAGACGCTGTCCGAAAGGCCTTTCTTCGAAATCCCTGCGTAGATAGACCCGACAAAGAAATATTAGAACTTTTGGAATTATGTCTAACGCGAAATGACTTTGCCTTTAATGAAAAAATTTATCTCCAGACTTCAGGCACCGCCATGGGCAAAAGATTTGCGCCGAGTTATGCAAATATCTTTATGGCTGAGTGGGAACTGGAAATTTCTTCCATTTCCCCTTTTGAACCTTTCTTCTATGGAAGGTTTCTTGACGATATTTTTATTATTTGGACCGAGTCTTTAACAAATTTTTGGCAATATTTTGAAATTTTAAATAATCACCACCCTTCTGTAAAACTAACTGCGAATATTTCTGAACAAAGTATGGATTTTTTGGATACTACGGTATTCAAAGGACTAAGTTTCTCTCAAACAAATAAATTAGACATCAAAGTATTTTTTAAACCAAGGATACTCACCAACTTTTATATAAAAACTCTTTTCACCCAAAACATACTTTTACGGGAATAATCAAATCACAAATTTTGCGTTTTTTTAGAATTTGCACTCAAAAAGTAGATTTATATTCTAATCCTTATATATAGATGTTTATCTTTTCAGAACCTATAAATACTCTTTTCTTTTAGAACTGGTAACAAGAAAACTTTCATATTATAGACTTTTGTTTATTGTAGCTTACTCGTGGTTGTTTTTTTAACTTAATACTAACTATGCTAACTTCACCTTATCTTGTATTGAACATTTATCTCTTTATTTGTGACCTTGGCCAGTGCTTTACATAGAAGTTTTTAGGAACTTCTTCACTCTTAACACCATTATAGTAGTGGTGGGCATCGTGCTAAACAGACCATGCTTACTCTTTTAGAAACACCTGATGGTATTTGTCCTTGGAGACCTCTACTATACTACCTTTACTACCGATTTTGCCATTCTTTGAACAGAATTGTCTAGCTTGTACGGATTTTTATTTCAAACCCTCAAAAGCTTATCATTTTACAATAAAATGTATTTCAAAATTTTATTCATATTGAAATTTTTCGGCTGTTCTATTATTTGCAGTAATTCCGAGGGATTTTAATCAAACTTTCAATTTCTTTTTTAAAAAAAAACAAACCTACCTAATTCAGTTGTATCTAGACACTTCCTCGGGCAGACAATGGTTTTAAATAATGTGACTTTTACCATAACACTTGGATAAATAACTGTTTCCTTATCCCAACTTAAGGTATACGAACCTCTAAATATCCTTTAGTTTATAATAGTATTAACATATCACTTTGGTATTAGAAATGAAGGTGCTGTGAAACAAATTCATTACATGTTAGGTGTTTTGAGTGAAGCTTCCGACACCACAAAAATAGCCCATGTTTTGGTGTACATCTCGGGCAGATTATTGGTACTTTTTGGAAAAAATTCTGAATATAAAAATAAAGATATGTGCTCCTATTTCTCCATAGGATAAATCTTGTAGTAACCTTAAATGAATCTTATCTGGATTTCCTTGAACAAGTCTGTGAATCCAGTGTATCAATTATTCAATGGACACCTTTTCGGAAAAATAAACTTTAATTCATATTAAGTTAATACAGACGACAATGACTTCCAATTTCATCAATTGAGTTGAGTTTTAGTTGAATGCTAAAACCGAATAATTATGAGCCTACATCACTTGAAATTTGGAAGCCTATTCTTCCTGTTGACCAACAGTATTCAATATGCAATAACAATGTACAATTGTATAACAGGTAATTGTCAATTGGCTTTTAGCATTTTAATCTATTTGACTTTTAAAGGTAAAATCCCAGTTAAAAAAAGATTTAAATGAAAATCCCCACTGTCCTATATACATGTACTATCACTTGGGGACTGTCCCATATGTTACACTCCCGCCCTTTTGTAAAGAATCGAATGCAGAACTGGGGAGATACCCTTGGGAACAATATTCCTTGGGAACATGCGGAAAAAGTTAGAAGTGGATCTTAGAACCTCACAGGAGACGGTAAGTCAACGATGTCCGGCTCGTTTGTCGGCGGTTAGCTCATCGTTTATATCCTGTGAAATTGGATCTATATATTATTATACACTTGCCTTAGCTTATCTTAATCGAGACTAGTGTGTAACTTTCAGTGTACTTGTAATCTAATGTAAATGAATGTTTATTTTGATGTTTTCTACTAGCAAGAACTTTTTATCAATGGTCTGGGTAGGGTCGTGACACAATGAATTTAGAAGAAAATTTTTGAATTTCTTTTCACTTCATCCAGTCGAACTGGTGTGTTGATAATCCAGGCTACATAATATGAATAATTCATAAGGAATTACTGTGATGATAAAGTAGACTTGAATAAAAAGACACTTTTAACTGTTATTGCTGGCTTTTATAGCTAACGATTAACAAATTGATTTTTACACTGTTTGACGAGAATTATACCGTTTCTTGCTTAGAAATTCTTGGTACACATTCTTGGTGTATAAAATCAAATACCTTATTATACCTTAATTCTGACATCAGATCTATACGGAAGGTTTCTTTAATCTTTCACCCATAACATTAAACAAGGAGAAAAACGTAATAAATACTGATTTAATAATTTCAAGAAATAAAATATAGATTTTTATACAATCACATAGATTAACAATCAAAATATAATTAAAACAATTCAATATTAGAACTAAATTATTGAAATCACATGAAATAATATGTGGTGTGAAAGGACCATTAGTTTAGTAATTAAAGACGACAACAGCATAAAGAGATGCACAGGATATGTGGCTATAGTTGTAGATCATTGTTCCAATGAGCAAATAGTTTTCAACAGATTCAAATGAGGTAACTGTTTATTTGAAATGACACAATAGTCGGATATTTCATATGAGCCATTTGGTGTTTGGATACCACAAATGAGTCTGTTGTACTCATACTATGAAAATGAAGAAGTAAATCTCTGGAGCATTTTAAAGCAGCAGTGCTAAAGAGAGTGGCTACCAGACTCAATAAAAAAGGGGTGCGTATTATACACATGCGCACTATCATCGCAATAATACTGTATCTGAACTGAAAACTAAAATATTTTTCATTTGCTCCAAAATATTGCAGGTAAATACACTAAAAGGTGAAATCTATGGGTGTTTTAGTTCGACGTACAGGTCGAAGGTCATTTCTAGGGGATACAGGATTATCTACATGATGATCATCATTAAAAGTGGAGGATGGATGAGGTTTTGAACCAATTCGTAATTCAGTGGTAGTGGTTGAAGTATTATGTTTTGACGTAGAGTTGTCTGAGGGTTGTACTGTGGTTTGATTGACAGGTAGTGGTTGTAAACGTACACTCTGAAAAAAAAATTCAGAATTAAATTACATTTATCCTGAGGTGTATTTCCATGAGCTTCTTCCACTTCAATGAACAAAAAAAAAATATCTGTTACATCATTCAAAAACAAGGGTAATAGCTTGCAGTTAACTATGATGATCGCATGCTTATTGGTATTTTATTTTGCTCTATAACATTGTTCAGGTCAAGAGTGAAGTTGAAATGAATGCAGTTTTACGTCTTATTTTTCTGCACCATGTGGGCTAATGAATTTGAAGGGCCAGATTATAATTAAGCACATTGAACATTATCCTCTGGGTCCTTCTTCTAAAAAACGTGACTAATTTTTGAAGAAATACAGTAACATACATGTATATCTTATGCTAAATTTTTTAGAATAATTTCATGAATAAACAAATCCCTTAAAAATATACATACCCTATCAACAGGAGTTTTGACGTTTTTTCGTAATGAATTATATTTGAGTGTTTTACTATAACTAGAGTCTTTAACTGTGGTATCTCGAGGTGAGGTATAGCTAGTTGTCTCCCCTTCTGTATCATCTATTCTATCTCCCAGACGTGAGAGTCGAGATGGAGGATTGTTATGAGGGACAGATGGAGAGTTCCGGCCATCGTTATCCATCTGACATAAAAAAGACAGTTGAAAATATTAAAATTACTTAATACATAAACAGGACATAACTAATATAAAATCACAATTTTTATACATACTTTAATCTGATTGGCTGATAAAATTAGAATTAGAATCAATTTTAGTGATTGACCAATGAGATGAATTTATCTTAAGTTTAGTTTGAAGAAACTGGCCCCTCTTCTGCACTGGACAGATTTAAACATTTCACACAAAGCCAAACAATATTTAAGGATATTTTCCCAGGATAGTGCCACAATTGAATTGCTCTTATCATATCTGATGATAGTGTATCTGAAATCTGTTTCACAGAAATATTTTGTTATCAAAATAAAGAGTTAAGTTTGATTCACATCCTTTTTATCATCATTTGATTTTGTGTGTAAAAGGGCTCTGAGCTCGGCCCCTTTCTCTAAACAAATGATCTTAGTTTGAACTTGTGAAAGATGTTCATTTTACCTGTAGAAATTTCGATCTTTTCTTTTTTCTGAAACCGAAACCAAGAGAATTTTGTTTTTCTGTTGAAGATGGATCAGCTCTCCTGCAATTTACATAATTAATATCATAATTAATCAAACAATTAAAATAAAATATGGAAAGAAAGAAGGAAGGAAGGAGGCATATAGAGACTGCTATTGTGTCACAATCAACTAGCTAGTTGAACAGGATGCTGTTGATTATACTTACCAAGCTGAGAAATGAAGATGTGATGAAGTTGAATCATTATTAGATTGATAAGGAGACTGGGCAGCCATCTTGGCAAATGATCTAGACTGAATAGCAACTTGTCTGTTGTCTCTTGTTAATTCACGTTGATAAGTAAAATCTACAATCAAAATGAATATGCACTGTTTTGTTTTTCTCTGTTATTAGAATACAATCCAAAAAATAAAGCCTGATTATTGATTGAAATTAAAACTTAAAAATATAATCAAAAATAATTATCTTCTTGAAATTACAAAACTATATGTTGTATTAGATGTCGTATCATTAACACCATGAGAAAGGTGAAACTTTATAATTTACTAATCAGAAATCATAAAAATAAAAAGACAAAATTTTGAAAAAAATTAGGTGCTCAAACAAAAGCTTGTGCAAATGTTAAGTGTGTTTTTTCAATATCTGAGCTTAACAGTTTACAGTGGCATTGAAGTAATAAAGATTAGAGAGGAGCTCAGATAAAGCACAGGGTTCAAATTTCAGGTAACATTGTGAGACACCTCTGAAATGAAGATGATTTTTTCATTTCTCTTATCTCTTCCAAATTAGGCAAATGAACAATATTAATCTGTGACCAGCATCACAGGATACTGTAATTGGCTGAAGCAATACTGTAACAGTTAAATGACTACAGTGCAAGATAACATTGTGATATTTACAACATAAAGAGAAGAAAAATATAAAACCTTGTAATGATGAGGAGGAGGTCGGTGAGGGAGAAGAATATGGAGATTCTTCAAAAAAAAAAAATAAAATAAAATAAGGGAAATAAAACATAATGTCAAAAATAAAACACAAAAATGAAATGAAAATATTCAAGCAGTGAAAGAGAAAATAATAACCACATGAATTGAAAAATTAAAGGCAATAAAGAAAGAGCATGTTGAAAAATATAGTCAATTTAGAAACAGATTTGATTAAAATCAACCATAAGAAATAAATGATGAAATTAAAGGCAAAACAGAAGATAAATCCTCAATAAATAATAGAAATAGAAAGCTCAAAAATGAATGCATAAAGTACACTGAACCAATCCAAGAACCAAATTTGAAAAATAATTGTAGTGGAAAGGAGAGGATAAATCCTTAGTAAATTAAAAAATTTAGAGGGCAATCATACATACCATTATAAAGTTGGTTCCTGATTTTTCTACTAGTATTATTATTATATATATTAGACATTGTGGATTCTCTAGTATTTTTATTATTGAGTAAATAACTTGGAATGTCTCCGCCCTGAAATTCAAAAATAAATAATTTGGTTTTTTATTGACAAAGACTCTGTCTCTGTTCTATAAGAAACAGTTCCATTGCTCCATTGTAGCTTGGATTTGTCTTTCTTTACAACAACTGATAACTGATACAGTCATAAATAATACTGACATTCTTATTTCCCTTATTCTTGCACAAAATTAATATAAATCTAAACACAGAAATAAATTGCTCCAGGAAAGCGAGTGCTACATTCTATAAACTGACTTTATACCTTAGATTCTGTGAGTTTGTCTGAGTTATAATAGCTTTGAGAATTATCAGGTTGTTTTTTCTTTCGAATTGTACTGGATTTTATTCTTCTTAATTCATTCTGAGTCGCTGTATCTAAAAACTGAAATAGAACCAAGGGAGAAATTAAAGTATGATTTAAGTCAAAAGTGTAGTGCAAAACTTGAAGTGCATCCATCATTATCTTCTAATCAACATTGGTGTGTGACAGACTGGTGACCTTGAATAAGTCATAAGTATTCCACTTGACCCAGCTATAACTGAGTACAGATAATCAGGGAAAGATCAACAATACGAGAAGGTTTGGACAAGGATCAGCAGGTAGACAGGATCCTTGTAAACCTAAAATTGTATCCTTGTAACAAAATAGCTGTTTCAGTGTTTAAAAATAAACTTTGACATCACAAAGAAGAATGTCAATTGCATGGGAATTGTTAGAAAGTATCATGTACGATTCTAGTTTATACCTATCACAAACTAAAAATATGACATGAAATATCACCTTTTTTCTCTCAGCTCTAGGACTAGTGGTTGCTTTTTTACTTTCTTTATTTTGACTGGCTGTTGAGTTTGGAGCTTGAACACTGACGGTATAAGTCTGACTACGATTTCCACCTTGTGAACTATTCGTTGTTTTCATATCACGTGACCCATGGTTATTTACTTCCCCCCTTTCATCAGCATTGTCATGGTAACTGTCTTTCTTTTTAATATATTTTGATTCACTGCGCGACCAGTCCATTTCCTCCCCGCGAACATCAGCACTAATATCACAAGAATTATCCCCCTTTGATGCATAATCAGGATCGTTATCTACTTTTCCTTTATCCAAAATATTCATATTACGAAAATCGGAAAATGTGCTTTGATGGCGTCCTTCAGTTCCATTAGTCTTTTTGGTCTCATATTTAGCAGGTGGTTTTTCCTCGACTTCCATGGGAGCATAATCCTTATCATCTAAACTATACGATTTCAAACTCTTCATCGAAGGAGGTTTCAATTGACCTTGACCTATGACTTGGTCAGAGTCTATCACAGTATTGTCATTATTTACAGGGGGTTTAGTCTGTTTGATGTATTTGCTATGAATTTGGCTGATCTGTACACCTCCCACTACATCTCCTTCATCTACAGCTTCCATTTTCTCTGGCAGTTCCTTTGCTTTCTCTAAAATAACTGAATTGTTTTTCATGTTTTCACTGAAAGATAAAATATTTTATTTTACACTATTTTACTGTCCCTCATGGGTTTCATGAAGAAAATCAAATCCAAGCATGGTGGAAAGTGAAAATTAGGCCTAGACACTGACAAATTTAAACCTTTAATAAGGGCAAATTTGAGCTCTAAATTTGGATTTTTTCATTTTCATCCCCAGTTGAACATTATCCTGTAAAGGAATAGATGGCATAACATTGAAATATTGAAGGAGAGAATGACTTAATACTAAAGAATATCTACCTTTCAATATTAGTAGAATATTCATTTCTACGTTTTTTATTGGGCGAGGGTTGTCGAACAGGTACTCGTGGTTTTTGAAATAATACTTTCTCCGTTTGAAAAGCGGGATGTTGTAAACAGTCATCAATTATTATTCTATCTCTCGCTTCTAATTGTAAGGTTTTCTGAAATAAATTCAAAAGAAAACGTAACAAAATATTCAAAATGAAGCTCTTTAATTGGTCACTTTAAAATTTTTTTACTTTTAGCAAAAAGTTAACCATACCAGTAAACATGCTTCATACTAAGATATCTGGAGTATAACAGCTATAATGGAATTCTGTTGGTAATTCTCTTCAAATTTAGCTAATTATGAATTAACTATGAACATGTGAGACAAACTGGTATATTTCCATGTCATTGAAACACATGTACTTTCTATTCATATAGGTATTAGCATTTAATCTATAAATGTGGTCAGGGCACCAAAATATTATTTGTAACAAAAACACATACCTGCATAAAATCTATGAGAGCACTATTCATAATACCTTGATATCTTTTACTCAGTTTCTGTTGATGAGATACAGACGGAAACTGAAATTCAAAAAGATGTCATTATACAAGAAACACATTTTTACAAATTTTAATCATTATTATCAAGCATTGAGTCAATTTCAAACACTGGTTTAAATTTGGTAAGCAAGCATAAATCATGACTTCAAACCAAGTGTTATACCACAAGTTTAAATCATAAATAAGTTGGAAGACAGGTTCCATGAGAACCTATGTAATTTTCCATGTATATATATGGCTGCTTCTTTGACAAGTTGAAATTAGGTTTGGCTAGATTTAAATGCCATATCTAGAGGTGTATTTTAATTGACTTGTTTCAGTACCTTGAGACAAGCTATGCAATATAACCTTTCTCAGTCTGCAGGTCCATTGATATCAATCTTACCTTTAATCCTGAGAATCTGGGATTTTTATAGAACATATTCATTTGTTCTGGAGGTAGAGGTCCGATGATTTTCTGAATGACGTAGAGTTGGTCTATTTCTGATTCTCCTGGAAATAATGGCTGGCCATCACTCAGTTCACCCATTATACAACCTATAGCCCAAATATCTACTGCTTTACCATATGGTGCTCTGAAATTATACTTGATTATTCAATAAAGGTTTTTTAAAATGTTAAAAATTTGCTAAATATTGTGGGAGCTCTATATAATTAAGATTTTTAATGTAAATATTCATGTTTCAAATACGTTAATGGCACAGGTGGGGATACAGCCTCTCAAACTCTCATTAAGATGCTTGTGACTATGATGTCTCTAGAGAATTTTAATTCTGCCTCTATAGTTGAGTCAGTCTTACTCCTATTCTCGAGAGGCTTGCGCCCCACTGAAATACATGCTAAATAAAAATAACCTTTCGAGCATAACACATGTGAATTATACAGATAAGATATGCCAAATGTTAAATTGCTTACCCTAGTAAGAGCTCTGGAGAACGGTACCATCTAGTAGCTACATAGTCAGTATAAATACCATTAGGATTAGTACTAATACTTCTAGCAAACCCAAAATCACACAGTTTTAATACATCATTCTTACCAATTAATAGATTCTCTGGTTTGATATCTGAAATAGATCAAATTAAATGAATTGACACTGACAATCTTTTACATGTATTCACTTACCCAGTATGATACTGATCAAAATCATGTTTAGCTACCTTTATCACTTTTCAGAATGGAGATTTTGTGTCATGCTATTCTATGATTGAGTTAAATTGAATTGATCCAACCTAGGATGCCACTCTATCAAATCATTACTATCATTTTCTTTATGAAAAGTTGTTAAAACATTAACAAACATACTTTTGAACAAACTTTTTAAGCAAACATCCCAGAGAAATATAAATTTTGTCAAAAACTTTTACAAACACGTTCGTAATCAACTTAAATAATCTTTAACAATGGGTTTAGATACTTCCACTTAGTAAAAAATAGAATACAAAAAATGGGAAACCACATTTAAATGAAACATAATCCAGATTAATGTTTTTTAAACATCAGACATTTGTAAACAACGTATATAGTGTTTAACAGTGCAGTTATAACTATATAACTATATAAATTATTTGATTGATGTGACAGTTAACATGATTTTATAATTTATAAATTATACACTGATCAATTTCTCTGTCAAAATAACAGATGACTTGTTAAATTAGCCACATAACTATCATTTTATCATGTAAAATAAAATTGGCTTAAATATCTGTTTAATTTGCATTGTAAAATTAAAGGTGGTATTCCAATAAAAAAATTTGTTTTAAGCGACCCCTATTTTTATTGCATAAGTTAACCCAAATTTGATTTGCATGTCAATCCAAAATTTTTGTGTATGTCTACCCGATTTTTATTTCGCATAATATCATGAATATTGTTAACATTGACTTTAAACAGCTTAATTTAAACTTGGTTGGAAATATTTTTGTATAGAATCAGTGAGTCTGTAACTTTTAAAGACAAAAGATTGATATAAAATTCATACCAAATGATTACAGATCTTCAAAATTCATTAATTTTATTCAAGAAAGTATTCAAGGGCTATCCATCTCAAAAAATGTAATTAAGGACAGTATGTAAGTTTATAATTTGGTTAAACATCAACTTCCAAGTTTCATCAGAATTTAAAAACAAATACAATCACACTCAAAAACGTAACCTATATGTAGTGTTGAATGTAAGTTTATAATTGGGCGATATTAAATGAATAAGTCTTAATTATTATAATTAACTATAATTATCCATTATTATAACCTACATTTTCTTTCATTACTGTTATTATATCAACTTATTTATCTTCATTATCATTTTATTGCCAAAAAAAACTATCAAAATAATTGGTATCGACATAGAATATTATGACTTGATGCAAAAGACAAAAAATTGGGCTAAAAAGAACTTAGTTTAGGTAAGTTTTTCCAAGTTCCATTTTGGCAGCTTTTGTTTCATAATCTGGAACTGGTAAGGGTCTGTTCAATTTACTTGACTGTGTTAACCTTTCAAGAATGACTGGCAGTGGCTTAAAAAGAGTGGGGGTGGGGAAGAATTGGTTGATTTTTTCTTACAAATACAAACCTCTATGTATGACACCATTAGAATGACACCAATAGATGGCGTTACACAGCTGGTAAATATAGCTTCGTACTTTCTCTAGAGCCACACCATGTGGTTGTTCTTCTAATAGTTCTAACATATTCTACAAAATAAATACATACAATATACTATCCTCTTACAGGATTTCCTTCAATATGCTGTGATTATTACCCACAATTCTCTCACAACTTGATACCATTTAGAGCTTTAAATAACGGACACCATTTTATGGTATACTACTCCTTAGTTTTATTACACAGTACGTTTCAACGTAGTGTCACTTCACCTGAAGATGACAATGTAGATTGTTGAAACCTAGTGTGTCACTTCACCTGAAGATGACAATGTAGATTGTTGAAACCTAGTGTGTCACTTCACCTGAAGATGACAATGTAGATTGTTGAAACCTAGTGTGTCACTTCACCTGAAGATGACAATGTAGATTGTTGAAACCTAGTGTGTCACTTCACCTGAAGATGACAATGTAGATTGTTGAAACCTAGTGTGTCACTTCACCTGAAGATGACAATGTAGATTGTTGAAACCTAGTGTGTCACTTCACCTGAAGATGACAATGTAGATTGTTGAAACCTAGTGTGTCACTTCACCTGAAGATGACAATGTAGATTGTTGAAACCTAGTGTGTCACTTCACCTGAAGATGACAATGTAGATTGTTGAAACCTAGTGTGTCACTTCACCTGAAGATGACAATGTAGATTGTTGAAACCTAGTGTGTCACTTCACCTGAAGATGACAATGTAGATTGTTGAAACCTAGTGTGTCACTTCACCTGAAGATGACAATGTAGATTGTTGAAACGTAGTGTGTAATAAAACTAAGGAGTAGTATACCATAAAATTATGTCGTTATTTAACGTGATCTCTACCCCTAAATGTCGCTTAAGGATCATTCAGAGCATATTTTAAAATGAACATGAATTTTGTGCAGACTGATGAAGATGACAAACTTTGGGAAATAATTAGACCAAAGTCCAGCATATTTCAAGAAAATCTTGGAAGAATTGAAGAAACAATGAACAAATCAATGTATTCATGAATACAATATAATAAGATTTTATAATCAATAACTAGGATTACAATAGGTCAAAAGAAATCAATAAATCAATATATCCTTGATTTTATCTCTTCTTATTTTGTCATAATCTTCTTGTTTCTAGTTGATCATTCATTCATTCAAACTATCATACATACATACCTTCACTCCGTCTTTCTTTCATTCATTCATTCAATCATACTATCTTACATTCCTACATACTTCCACTCTATCTTTCATTCATTCTTTATTTTCATATGGAAATTAATCTCCATGGATCATTCAAATCAATGTTCATTCAATTATCATGTTTATCTCAATTCATTCTTTCAATGTCTATATATTGCCAGGATTTTTAAACTGTAACATTTCTGTTAGTAATTCTACAAAAGCACTGGCACAGGCATATAGGCAAAACCTCTAGACATTCATTCAAAAATTCATACCACACTTAATCGCTAATAATTCATTTATTTGTTCATTCATTCTCTGGTTCATTCTCTCAATCCTATATGATTACAAGAGAACAGTTAAGAATAGCTAAGAATAGTTTTTATCAATGTTCAGAAATCAATCATTATTAATAATAATAAAAAGGTTAGATAGAGATAACTCTATATCAATATCTACAATGCTTACACAAATATTGGTTTTATATGATTTATTATTATCAATTTTCAATATTTTATATCAAATCACAGGGCTATCAGTTATCAGTTACTGGTAAGGTATGACACGCCTATATTTAGATGTTTTTTATTGTTTCAGGTTGTTTGTTGTAGATAAATACTGATCCTCTAATTGATATATTGATAGTTTTGATGAGTGGGAACTATGTGTATATTTCATAATTAGAAAATTTCCTTCAATTTTAATATTTCATAAGAAAAGGATGGATCAATCTAGAAATCTTGATGCTATAAACTTATTTCTTTACTGTTTTTTGGGTGTGGTTTTACATTACACATGTGCAACCCAAAATACCTCTACTAGTAATAAATTCAGTTATTTCATAAAGAAAAGGTATGAATGATCTAGATAACTGGATAATATAAACTATATCTATTGTATGTAAGAATTCAGATCTATTGAAGTCTACTTTATAGAGATTACCAATATGAAGTCTGTACAGATAAAGAATGAAGTGATTTTTACTTTTACCTATTATTACTGGACAATAAAGCTATAAAATTATTACTTTGTTAATATTCATACCGGGGTCATAATGGTCATGTTAAATTTAATAGCACGTAACAAGTTACAAGTTTCTAAATTTAGAATTGACTATCGACATCAGTTGTAATGGATAGAACCTGATGGCATAATACTTTAATATTTAACAAGTTTACCGTAGTTAACCTGTAAAATATTATATTCAAAATTCAATACTTACCCTGCTGAAACTAACTGCTCCATTATCATGAAGCAGATCTCTTTCTTTGAGGCTCTGGACAAATCTTTTAATAGCAGTTTTAATAAATTTCCTAACTTATACTACTAATACCAAACTCACCCTTTCCATGTATTCAAAGACTAAATATAATTTTCCTTTTCTTCTAAACGCCTCACGTAAATCAACAATATTCTCCTGTTTTAATGTTCGTAACATTTTTAACTCTCTTAATGTTGTTCTTCTTACGTCATCATTTTCTGTAAAATATCAAAAATTATTGTGATTCCACGATTCCAAATTTTACATGATTAAACCAACAACTGCTATCACTCGTCAAATATGATTCTTAATCCTGCATCTAAATTCTAGGTGGAGAGAATTGCAAACATGAAGCACTAAACTGCCTAATAGATGATGTGCTCCTACAAATATTCCTTACAAAATACAGATTTTCAGTCTCCCCAGATGTTTAGTGTAGGATCATCTGGATTTTTCTGAGAATGGAATCAAACTATCTTACCTTCACTGTCTTTAAATTTCTTTATTGCACACATTTCACCTGATTCCTGAAATATACAGAATTTCAAAAATGGATCCAAAATAATTTTGAACCTGTTACAGTCTACAGGTTAAATGGAAACAACATTTTCTTATGGCAAAAATCATCTCCCCCTCTGTTTTCAATCATTACAGATGTCTAGAGTTTTGTAGAGTTTATGCCCTTTTGTATATAAATTAATTCTAATCATACAACAGGGAGAAAAGGGCTGGTATTTATTAAAAGATCAATGTATATAATGATAACCTGGTATCAATATAATTAGATAAATAACAGGATTATTTTGTGATATTATTATATAGTAATATATTATATTGAAATACCTGTCTATATTATACCAATAATAGATGATTGATATTATTATCTACCCCAATAATTCAATATAATATCAACATTACATAGTACAAATATATCTCATTAAACAATGACATTGATTGGTGATATCTAACCTGGCTCTAGGATAGATCTAGTAGGGCTGTTGATTCCCTTATCATGAAAATCAGTTCAAGACTGCATTTTAGAAATTGAAGTCACAGACTCACTAACATTATTCTGTTATAAAAGGTTTGAAACAGATGTAAAAACTGATAAAAACAATGTTGACTCTTTTTTGACATTTTGCAAATATCCAATAAAAATTTCATGGCAAACCCTTAACCCTTATTAATTATGAAGTGTTTGTATATGTTATACCATCAATTTCATTCTAAACTAATGTTAATAATTGAATATAATATGTTATGAGTGCTACTCTCAGTCTCTATTTGATCTCCTTCAAGCCAGCTTTTGAGATCATGTCTAGAAACTTTATCTATATTTGAGCAATAAACAAGGCGTTTTTAAACTTCTATATCCTATGTTGATATTCAGATTTTTTAGGTTAATTTTATTTTAGTTCATAAAAAATACAAAGAGTCTTTGATCCTCTGAAATTGTACTGAGATATTTCAACTATCTAAATCTCTTATCCACTCGGTGGTTCTTATTCGTATGAAAATCATAAAATCTCTCTTGAATTTCCTTAAAGTGGTTGAGGAATAGCTCAGGCGGAAGCGACATGGATTGTTGTATTACTGTGGTTTTGAATCCCTTTCAAGGCAAGGGAAATTCTGAAGTCATGGCTAGTACTTCTTAAAGTTAGTGTGGTATTGGCTTTCAACCCTTATCACTTTAAGAAAGTTCATTACCCTATATTTGATATCAACTTGAAGATGTTAAAAGTCAATAATATTTTACAATCAATATCAATAAATAACTCTAAATAATTCTATTGTTGTGTTGTCATAACTTCATAAACAAAACAAAACTTGATATCAGATAGATACAGATCAATTCTTATATTAACAGGTCTGAATTTATATATTATCAAATAAAGATATTAATGTCCGTTGATCATATAAAATATAAACCTGAACAGTCTATATCATTTTCAGAAGGTTTATGTTCGTAACGAACACCTTATTCCAATTCATTTTGACACTGAAAGTGAGGTTCAAACGCAAATTACATCCTCCATTGATGAGATGACGATGTCTTATGAATGAATAGCCTCTGGAATGTCAACAGCGAGAAAATGGGCTTAAAACTGCCCTTTCTCATAAAAGTGTGATAGCAAACTTCAACTGAAAGTATCATTAAATAGCTTAATCAATTTCCAATTTGATGATGTAAAATATGATCAGTTTAGAGTTAGTAGGATTGGAGAATATGCTTTAAAGACACAAAGGTGTTGATGTTATTGCAGTGACACCTTGTTACCTTTTTTATTTGCGTTATGAGTCTCGTTCTGGATTCAATATGGCCTACACATGAATAAGGTCTTTAGACTTGCCTTGTGTTGAAACAACCTTGGTCAATGAATTAGTTACTCAGACACATGTTTTGATTTTGATTTGAATTTATTATTGAGTAAAATTTTATCATAAAAAATCTATTTTTATTCTTATCTAGACTTGTCTCAATCTATCTATTACACTTTGACATTTACTAAAAGCTTTTCTTCTAAAATTAACGTCTGTAACTTGGCATTGATCTGCCATGACAAATAAAATTTTTCAAACAATTTAATGCCCATTAAACATGCAATAATCAATAGCAAGAAATCAACATTCCAACTTCCATCAGGCCATGTTTCTTTTATTGTTAAAAATAAAGTAGCAACATGTTGTGATGGAAATATTTCCTGTGTTGCCGTGGACAACAAAATATTTTCTAATGGGGTTGTAAAGATGGATTATAACAGGCGAGTGGTTTTAATGTCAGAAAGATAAGAGAGGTTATCATTGAAGGCGAGAAATTAGCCCTCTATTAGCTGGCCTTATACAGCTAGTGTTTTATCTGACTCAGATAACAACATGAATGATATATGAACTTCCATGATACAAGTAAAGAGGCCAATGACGTCAAGGTATTAGATGGAGTTCGTAATAGCTTTATCTGACTAGAAAACACCATGAATGATCTAACCATTAGTTTTTAACTTTTTATTGTACAGTATTGTTATTTTATCTTGGTACGTCAATGGCATACTAGTCAAATACCGACACTAGTTGTAGGATGAATTAGTTTTTATCTTACAAAATTGTGAACAAAGATTGTTCATTGGGCATCTTATTCCTCTAATCATAATGCATGGAAGTCTACTTACCCTGTGTCTACAACGTAATACAACTCCATAGGCACCTACAAGACAAAGTATAGCATACACTATTTCATATATCATAAATCATTACATTACAGGTACTGTACTTATTAAAACAGAAAAATTAAAATGGATTTATACAAGGCTTCTTAAGAAAACTTTATGAGCACTTTCAGATCCACAATTATCACTTCATACAGTCACTTTCAAACAATCAAAAAACAAGATTTAAAACCTTGGTTTAACCTTAAGTACAACTGATTTTTAAATCAAAAACAAATAGGACTTACCTTCCCCAACAACTCCCAAAATTTCGTATTTGTTCATTACATAGCCGTTCACTGTTCACAGTCGTACATCAGTGTTCATAGTGGAGTTTAAATATAAATTCAGTTAGTAAAGGATTGTTTATAACGCACAATCATTGTTTTACTTTACATATTTAACACTTCCTTGTACATTCAGCTTCCTTAGCATTAACACTTAATGGTTCCTTAGAGTGTTCACACGATACAGGTCCTTAGCGTTCACACTCTATGGTTCCTTAGAATTAACACTTTATGGTTCTTCAGCGTTCACTTTTAGATCCTTAACGTTCACACTAACCTATCAGTTTCCTTAGAATTAAAACTAAAAGTTTACCTTGTTCCCTGTATTCACTGTTTTCTAATATTTATACAGTTAATCTGGAAAGAGAATAAAAGAATCATGATAATTGCTACTAATAAAATTCTCCTTAGCATAAACAGTATAGCTTCTGAATAAATATAATGTTTAAATTTCTTAGAGCTCTTCAAATTGAGAACAATTTTATATCATAAATGATTTCAAAAGAATTGAAAGTTTTTTTTTCGAAAATACTTGTATGGAACATGGATGTTCCAATACACTACCTTGCTGTTCCATCAATCAAGACAAGAAATCAGACTAGATGAAATAAACTGAAAATAATTTAATAATCAAGGTGTTAAAACATCTGTCAGTTTAATATTCTACTGTATTTTTACCTGTCTAGTTAATTATTGAAAACCCTGTCTACCTGCACAACACCTTTTATTATAACTTTACTATGATATAATATGTATATCATTTCACTTTAAAGCAGACACTAGAATTTCAAAAGCACTGGTCTGCTGTTCAGTTAAGTATTTTATTTCCTTTTACTAATAAGCTTATATCATACTGTAATACAAACACCTTACTTCTTATCACAGAGCAGGCAATAGAATCTCAATTTCTCTGGTGGCTGTATACAAAGCATATTGTATTTTTACCTGTCAAGATATTTATTATCCTGCACAATGCCTTATTGATATACCATAATATAATATAACATCTCATTTCACAGCTATACAGACACTTCAATCACAGATGTACTGGCAATGGCATCAAAACTAGATTGTTATCTTTATCCACTGAATAACTGATATGATATATCATAGTTATCTCTCAAAAGAATTCAAGTCCGATGAGAAATTTGCATTAAACTTGAAAACATAAAGAAATTAATCTACATTGTAACTAGTTTATTAACATTTGAAACGTATTTCAACCATTGTTGCCTCAGAAAAAATAGTCTCAAGTGAATCAAATCAGGTTGAAAACCTATGAAACTAATCCAAGTTAAGCCAAGTTTATTAAAATATGAATCCACTGTGTAAATCTATTGTATAGAGAGATCAATAGTCCCATATTATTGTTATTGAACAATACTATCAGATTCTCTCCAGATTTTCAACTTACAAAACAATACTATGCTTGACACCTCTTCTATTATAATTATTATCATTTCAAGAATTATTATCAGTATTCATGTTGACAGACAGCAGTATCAAATACTTTCCAGAAAGTGATTTCAAAACTTGAACTACACTGCACAGTAGTTTCTTCATTTAGTCACATGTCATCTTGCTCCTTCCATCCCCTGATAAATGAAACTGGAATCCACTTATATTTAACTAACGTTACTTTACCAAAAGAAGTTCGAGATGAGACGAAAGACAATATTATGAGAGAGAGAATGCCTTATAAAATGTAAAAGAGTTCTCTATTGACTGCTCAAATAAAGTCAAGAGATATCAATATGACTGATAGAATAGTTGAATAGAGATAAATAACCCCTGCTAGTCTGTAGGATTAGTTATATTATAGATTGATTGTTTCTATCAGGTCTTATCTATAGGTCATATTTACCTTACAGATTATCAGATTATATTACTATAATATTAACCTCTTAAACAATTTATATCATATCTCACATTCCTTCTACATGATTTTTTTAAAAAAATAATTACTGAAATTTGAGACATATTTTAAACAATTTGTAAGATATTATCTTGCATTTCATGGACGTGAATTAAAAAATTACTTAATTTAGAGGTATACCTCATGTAATATCATGCATTCCTTAGCAATGGCTTAGTCTTTATTTTCTTTTTTTTAATTAATTATTTAACCTTAGCGGTATATTTTAAAACAATCCTTTAAACATGGATAATATCTTACATTTATTGGACTTATACTATTCTTATATAGTTGCCAACACAGGATCAACTTTGTACATTATTGCCTAAGTTATTATCAAGCTAGTCATCTTCACCACAGACTTCACATCATAATGTGGTGGGTCACATCATTTTCATCTCTACAATTCTTTTAACCAATGATTGAGACTTACTGATTTAATAAGGTTTAAATCAATCTTCTAACTCTTTTAAAGTCATTATATACAGTACCATTTCTGAAACATACATTAATGTTAACCATCTCTACAGCTCATATAATTAGCCAAACAGTCCACCAGAACCTGCTTAATGAATTAACGTACTATTATCTTTATTCCCCACATTGACTAACTCATGTTGAAAACAGATATGTTATGACATCAAAATACAGAAATTAAAATGCAAACAAGACATGACTTATCACTTGCAATCTACCAACAGGAATTTAAAATATTCTCTCTATTCATGATCACACTTCAAATGTAAACTAAACTTTAACCTTTACTACACAAAAGATAATCTCAAAAAAAAACACACCTTAAAAAAAGTTCATGAATGTGAAGTCATACCAATAGAAAACTGATTTATTAAGTGTTTTACAAATAAAATTGGTCACCAATAAATTAAATGTTAAAAAAAGATAACGGTATTTACACACACCAGGGTACATTTGAAAACATTCCTGGATATTGGGATAAATCTTGAACATTTAGAAAGAGGCTACAAACCCAATCTAAAAATTCTATAAAGTAAGCTTAGAGAAGTATAAAAACATTGCTTTTCAACCAAATAATCATCAATATAATCCATTAAATATTGAAAAATTAAGGAAATGGTGCCATTCAGGAAATTACTAGTTATCACATCCATTTAAAAAGATGTTGAATATTAAGTGGATTTTCAAAGATGGCCTTCAGTCTAATAATACATTGTATTGTATCCTTTAGATGAAAAGTGGTCAATAATGAAATTAACCAGATAAAGTTTATATTAACCTTCACTAGAAAATAATAGAGTGTTAAATACTAAATAATAAATGATTGTTTACTTGTCGTTGACTACCATCAACCTGTCGTTACCTTCCCTTCGTTAGACAAAAACATCTATTTTTTATGAGAATCTCTATAGAACTCTATTTAGAACCAATTTCTCTATCAGTCTTCAGGTTAACTACAAGCATGGTTTATTCTCAGTAGACACCACAATTAGTACTTTGGGGATGGGGTTAAATAATTAAAACAGCTGTTGGGTGGGTATCTGGGGATGGGGTTAAAGATTTAAAACAGCTGTTGGGTGGGTATCTGGGGATGGGGTTAAATATTTAAAACAGCTGTTGGGTGGGTATCTGGGGATGGGGTTAAAGATTTAAAACAGCTGTTGGGTGGGTATCTGGGGATGGGGTTAAAGATTTAAAACAGCTGTTGGGTGGGTATCTGGGGATGGGGTTAAGATTTAAAACAGCTGTTGGGTGGGTATCTGGGGATGGGGTTAAGATTTAAAACAGCTGTTGGGTGGGTATCTGGGGATGGGGTTAAGATTTAAAACAGCTGTTGGGTGGGTACTTGGGAATGGGGTTAAAGATTTAAACCAGCTGTTGGGTGGGTATTAAGTATATGGGCGTTAGTGTTAGATCTAACACACGACACACGGTGAACTCACACACAATTCAGGTATTGCACTAGTTAGGTAGTCCGCCTCCATAAAATCTATCAAGTATTTATATGCACAGCTACAGAGAACTGTACGGTACTAGTTTTTAGCACAAATAGTTTTCTGTGGTCAGAATGAGGGTTGACTGGACTCGGACTTCAGTGCAAATAATGCATTATTAAGGCAAGGTATTATTAACAATAACTAAGGGTTTGATAGGTTTGTGATATTCAAAAAGTACGGTAAATTAAAAATCACTTATATAGTTGTGTTTCACATAAATTTAACTTTACAAAAAGATCTATTAATATCAGCTATAAAAACCTGCTTCTTCAGTTTTTCTATTATTGATGAAGGTATTTGAGTCATTAGATAGATTGGGAAAACTCATCAATAATTGGTAGATCAAAATGATGCAATGATCAAATGCCCCTAATTGGCCTAAACGCCCCAAAAATATTCTGTTAGGGCATAAAAAATACAAACATTCTATTCATTGTTTAACACAACATTGACTTGAACCGACTTGCTGAACTCTGTTTAACTTCGTCGCAAAAAGTTTATGAAGACGAAATTCGGAAAAAAAATAACGAACTAAAAATCAAACTGTTTTTCATTTAATTCACTCAAAATAAGAAAGAAAGGACCTAAAATGATAACAACCCTAAAAATTAAACTACCTTCATACGGTTTCTGGAGCTTGTTCGTGTTAATAAGAGCAAATAAATGAACAAAAGATTAAAATTTACCTCACTGCGAAAATAAATTGCTTGAGATCCGCCATAATATTTTCCTTGCCAACATACCCAGAATGCATCAACTTCCGTCTACTGCTTTTGATAAAGTGAAAGTAGAAAGAAACATGCCACACCCACAAATTACCAACTTAATATTTTGGCCTACTTTTAAATAAGATATCTATATTAGATATCTATCTATTGTGATCGGGCATGCAAAAAATGTATTCTAGTGCATGTGGGTGTGTGATCAGTGTCAGTCAGCGTTACTTTATTTTTCAGGGGAATAAAATCATGACTTGGTCTTTCAGTCAGATGCAATCCATGTTTAAATATTTCAAGATTTATAAAGGTATGCCAGGGCCAAAAGAGAACTATCTATCGGAAAACATGCAAACAACTTTTCTCTATTAACAGGAGTTCAATAACGCGACATGGAAATAAGCTAATTGGGATTATATAGGCCTGCTCAAGCTCTATGGGTCTTAAGACGAATTTCATCATGACTTCGATCATTTCATATTTCTACATATTTCGACTTTCTTTCTATGCTTTCCTGTTCTGTTTATAAATTGTATTTTCTATACATGTCATGAATGTTATTTTTCGTGGAATAAATAAACAAATAAAATAAAACAAATTGAATGTTAAATCAGTCGTGCGAAGGGAGCTAACCCACATAAGCCATATTTTATATCACCGTGAAAATGATTGATTGAAAATATCTTGGCTACCGCAATTTCACTAACAACAAACGCCAGAGTTTGCAACGAATACGACAATTTTGTTCGAAAATTTAGGTGTAGGCCACGGCCCACGGTCAGACTTGATTTTATGGAGGCAAGTAGTATATATATCCGGTGGGGCAATGGAGTGTGTAGTGTTGCAGAGATGATACTGGTCCGGACAGCGCAAACCTTTAGCGACTAATCAAAAAGGTTACACAACACATCCCAAGAAGCAAAGGAATTTATAAATCAAGATTATAGGTACAGATTATCGGGAAGTGAAAAACCACCGTATCACTTTTACGATAACCTGAAGTTTTCATATGCGTTGGTGGTCTTCTGTTCCATTGCTAACTGGTACTAACACAATAAATTTGCTACCTGTTCTTCAATGTACAAACTGAGCACCTGAATCGTATCACTGTCGCAGAAGTAGGGGTTGAAGGTCACCACTTTGGAGTGATTCAATCCTAAAAATGGGCACTTAGTCGTCTAGCATGTAATTTTCTACAGCAGATTGAGGTTTTTTACTACACAAAAACGGCATTATTCTAACCATCAGATTCGGGTGATAGGGCCGAGAGTCTGGCCATGGAATTCTTGCCTCGAGGCGGCTTGAACCCAATCGTCAACCCGCCACCGATCAAGCTACAGGCAAGAGAGGCAATAAGAGATATTCTGTCTGGTATAGGACGAGTCCCTTCTGATTGTGTTTTAAATTATGATAAGCTTTTGACTGCACCAGCGGATAAGCGTAAGAAAACGAGACAAATATATATCAGGGACTGGAAACATCAGCAAGTTTCGGATTGAGGTTGAAAATGTTAAACAGTAATTTGCCCAGTAGCCTACCAAAGCAGTATAATTACAGGCTGTAACTTAGTGTTATTCAAAACAGTATGTATCTACGCCATCAGTTCTGTCTGAATGAGGTTGGAGGTTTTTGTCGCCGTTTAAAGTCTTGAGTAAAATCTTGCGTGCTTCTTCGACAGGATTATTGCTCATTTCTGACAATTTTGAGTTGCCAAAAACGTATCGAAATCTATATAATATTTATCTTGTACAAAGATACTGTAAATTAATCAATCTCTGCTGAACTGAAAGGTTTTGCTGGGGCTTAATTCTCACTTGCTGGAGCCCAGTCCCCACCCTAACGACGAGGCTGTATGGACATGGTGGAAAACGATCGACTGGAGATTTTTGTCTCCTCGCGTGCCCCGCAGCCGGTCGGTAAAACTCTTGACAAAACTCTAGTTGGCGACCAAGACCGTTCGTGTTCCCGCACCTTAAAGGATGTTGCTGGTTATGCCGATTTTCAGTTTAAAGATCTGTATACAAAACATCACAAGCACGACTGACTGATTTCGGACCGTTCTCATTAAATTGTACGAAAACTCAGAGTCAGAGATCTATACTTATCTAGTAAAGAACATAAATGGTCATTATTAGCACACGGTCAAGCTCTATGCGTAGCTGGTATTCTGGTAAAGCAAGGAAGATTTTTTTCACTTTTAAAAACTCCTCTTCCATGAAGATAAGATATGGAAGAAATGACACTCCAATATACTGGATATTAAAATTTTATATACATATTATAAATAGTAGCATTATATAACTCTTATAACTTGAAACAGTTATATATTATAAATTATATACATGCAATTAAAATACTATAGCCTATATACATAATGGAATTCATAATCGCCTACAATAAATTAGATACATGACGTTATCCTGTCATGTTCGATCGTGTCCTTCTAGTTTACTGACCATGTACGATGGCAGAATAAAATATCAGAAATCATCATAATCATTTAAGGGCTGATGATAATATTATATACAGTCAAAAACAATCGTATTTAACTTGGACATATTGAATGTCCCAGAATTGTAAATTGTAAAATGAGTGGTTTTCAAAGCCTTCACTAGACAGAGCATTTGATTGGAGCAATAGTGGTTTAAAGGTTAACAACCATATAGCAATGTCAAAGGATTTACGTAAGGCACCAATAATTACGTCATTGAGCATGCGATGATTACACTAATAGTCTTTAAGGGAGAAAATAAGTGAGAATATTTCTCTACACATCCTTATTGAGCTCTCGTTCTACCAAATTCAATGGCTCTGTTTTAATATCAACTCTCTGGTCGGACCAGGCTACCATCGTCGCAGATCCTTTGGTTATCAAATGAATGCTGGAATATTTAGAATCATTTCCATCTTGATCTATTTGAACTTCCTTTAAAATTTTCACCATCTTACACTCCTCTTCCTCCAGAACGCCACCGGAAGCCTTACTTTGGAACGCACTCGCAAAGTCTTCAGAGTCCAATTCAACAAGATGCGACACACTTTTGTCTCCATGACGTTTGAACCAAACTGGAATCTTTCCTCGTGGTACAAAAAGTCCTGTGGTAATTTCAAAATCCATCACGTGGGTTTCTTCCAAGGCAAGAAGGTCACCAATGGCGCGCCATCCGGGTTTCACGTCAACGTGGGATCGTACTTCCCAGGTGAGAATGTCTCTGAAAACTTCACCCTTGATTTGCTGTACGTTCACACCGTTATCCCGTCCGGCACGATGCCTGGAGAAGTTACTCGGTAAATTAATGGAGATATTAACGTCTTTAGAAATAGTATAACACGTTTTCAGATCAACTCCTACCCATGAAGTCGTGTCACGCTTCCCTATGAACTCATGCGACTGTTTCGAGTCTGAATGATTTTCAAAATCACAAGAAAGGAGAGAAATCCACCTGGAACCTGTGGTCACTTTGCCAAACGGTGTAGTATACGTATTTTTAGTTGGTCTCAAAGAAAGTCTCTGGATGTTATGATCTACAGTCACGCCTTTCCAATCTACTTCAACGTAAAAGTCTTTTTCTTCCAGTAACCATTTTTTGAAGAAATTCGACTTGGTATAAATCCTATTGTATGCGTATCTTCGAAGAACTTCATTCAAATCGAGTACGTTTGCTGATACAGACATTTTCACTTCTCAATATTTATATATACCTGCAATAGACAATGAATAAAAATGATTATAATTATACCATGCAGATCATTATGTTAATTATATGCAAATTATTATGCTAATGATGTCATAATTGCTTTCAAATGCATTTTTCCTCAAATGAAGATGAATAAATACAAGTTATCTAAGGAAAATTCATTTGAAACTATTATGAAGTGAAGTTTTCCAAAGTAGCAAATATCAAGTTGTGGGTTTTTAACTCCCTTTACAGAAGAAGACAGTTGTGTCAGAACTTCAAGGTATCCAATCCTATACTTATTAACGAACCAGATTTAAACGAAGGCTATGACTTTCGAACTGCCATATCCAATAGACGAAATAAATAGAGAGATACTATTTATATGCCCGGTATACTGTATATTGACAAACACAGTTGCTATCAACAAGGCATCAAGAACTATCAGGGTGTATTCAAATCAACTTGATTTAACTCTTTGGCAGCAAAATAAACGCATACGTGCTCGCGAAAACAATTTGGACCACATTAGTCCACCTTGATAATTATAAACTTTTTTTTTAAGCTGTCCGATTATCATTATTATAGAACGCAATATCTCGATACAGATTTTGGCAGTCTTTTGCCTCCGTAGTCAGAATTCTTTTGTACGGGAGACCTTCACTGCCTAAATTCTAGATCTCCATCTCAGTTGACCAATAACCCGTTGACAGACAACCATCAAATATAGGAGAGCCCTGTTATGCTTAAAATGTCGTTTTTGGATAGTAATATAAATATGATAGTCAAATGCAACATTTCCGTGGATCCATTCATGGTCATGGATGATTGCAGAGTAACATCAGGTGTAAAATAAAATCGAATGGATCACCAGAAACTCATTGGTTTTTTTCAGGGGCCACAAAATTTTTCTAGGACAGGGAGGGGGGTGGGGGTGGTATATGCCATTCTTTTACTATGCAAAATAATAAAAACAAATTGAAAGGGGGGACAATGCCAGACCAGCCTCTTTTCACTCCCCCCCCCCCCCACCCCCGTACCCTTCGCCTGAAAAATGACGGAACGACCAATCAACAGGGAGGGATCTAAAGATCACTACATTGGAAAATGAAGAAATGAAATGAACAGTATCCACCCACCCACGATGGTTTAAAAACTGTCAGTATATTGATTTCACTTGACCTAATGTTCTACTGATTTGATATTTCACTGTCACAGCTGTAGATATAGCAAGATAAAAATATTACTGAATCGATATAAACTATGGTTAAAGTCATCACATTATTCATGCTACTATCCTTGTAATTGCACCAGTTAATAAAAAAATAAATTTGGTAATTCTTACATAACATTCGCCCAAACATAAAACAAAGGAGAGTCTGAAGAATTGAGGAGTCGACTTTTTAACTTCCAAATGTGGATAATTTTGGAAACACATTGGTATGGAGGTACTTTTGGTCAAATGGCTTGCAAAATTGTCCCTTTAAATGAAAATTAATTACAATATAAACGCGGTGTTCCGCTATATGAATTTATCGATGGTGTAAAAAAAAGAAATAAAAAAACCAATTTCATATTTTTCTGCATGAAAAAAGGAAGAGATGTAATTACATCAATGACATACTACCTTCCCGTAATTCACAATCCTGTGACTAGAACGCTAAAAATTACCATAAGCATTTTCTACCTAAACGCATTAACAAGGTGCATTGTGTAAGGCCTAATTTTTAATGAAACCCCAAAATCAATAAGATAGCTTTAGTAGGAAGACATCCCACAGAATCAAAGGAAGAGCAACATGGAGGCAACACATTGGTCTTTAATGCAATTAGATGAAAGAATGAAATTAGCCAGCTAGTGGATATAGAGAACGATGTTACATCGTAAAGGGAAACTGGTGACTTTAGTGGACTTAAGACAATTATACACAGACAGAAAGAAGCCACACAACTAACCCAATACGTCAACAAAGAGGATTCAAAGGTAGAAGATAGCATCTAAGCAAAATAAGTCAGAAATTCCTGAGGATAGAAGTATCTTTGAAGCTATTTACTAAATCTTAAGATAACAAACTTACTTCACAGAAGATTGGAATCCATGAGAAAATTACTAGTTCAACAAGTCAGTAATAGTCCTAGTCCATGTCCAACTAAAATAAAACAGTCTGTGATGGCCAGCAAGTGAGTCGTCTAATCTAGACCATTCCCAACACAGAGGTGAATCTCGTAACTTCAGATTGGCTTTTGATGCAATAGCGACTATGTGTGATTAACGAGGACATTAGGTACGTTTACCAAAGAAAATTATATTGAGATTAATTTAAGTCCATCTCAGGAGAAAATTTAGTGAAATTTTTAATGTTCAAGAAGATTTTATTCACCATTAGAGAGTGTTTGATAAGTTGATAGAAATAATATAGGGGTCTGTACTATTATGTGTGAGAAATCAGTGAATTCGGGACTTTTACTTTTACAGAATTATATTTACATATAAATTGCTTGCTTTTGGTGGATTTGTTGGCGTTTTCTAGACTTCGTAAGCTGTAAAATGGTGTATGCTACTAAATAATTAGTTTCTATGGCGTTACACTGTCAATGAGTCAATGACTATGTGATCACGTGATGTCCCGGGATGGTATATTATAATAGATGCAGTATTTGACATTATCAAAATGAATTAAGGGTAATAATTATTATATTATCGACATTACAATGTTAACCTGGCTTATAATTGACATTTACATTGGAATCCAACAGCTCAATGGGTAAAAATAACATCAGGGTACATTTCGATGGTGAACGACTCAGTCGACTGCGTCAGTTTAAAGGGTAATAATACAAAATAACGATGGAACTAAACCTTATTAATTAGTAAACCTGATCAGAATCTTTCCGAATCAAATTTTGAAAATATTGCTATGAAAAAAGGGCTCATCCGCACGGCGTCCTACGATAGTAATCTATTCCTATGTACGTATTAATGATTTCATATTCTCGTATTGCGTGTATGATTATACTAAAACCTTTAGCAATGAAATTAACGAAATCAAACATACAAGGGAAGTCACTCGAATTATCAGAAAACAGTTTTAACTGTTATATGTGTGCACACTGTAAAAGAGTTGTTTCAACAGTGGTAGTAGTCATGGCATCAAAATCCAAAAGTTGCTGTACGATATTTTCGTTTAAAGGGAGTTAAGAAGTAGGCTCTCAGTAATCTGCGATATCATGAAACTGGAAGTGTACCTTAACTTGTAATCAAAAATACACCAACCTACGTTTTCAAACGCTATAATCCTTGAGAGCATAATGAAACTTTGACGTAAAAAAAGCAACTTTTTACCTTACAAAAAGGAGTACAAATTCAAAGAAATTTCATAGAAAGCAGTATTTGAAAAATATCAATGCACATAACTTACCTTGTTACGTTGTCCCGCTTGAAAGAAATTATTAACTGATGGCTGTTGAACTGTTCTTACCATTATAAGTGTTCGGCTTTAATCCCCTACATGGAAACGCTTTGATCTTGATTACTTAATTCAGATCAGATTAAGCGCGTTCGATTAACAGTTCACTAACGACTAATTGTGTTCATTGTTTTAAAGTTGAAGACTGCTCAATGACAATAGATTGAAATTGTACCCATTGTTTAATGAAACGGTAGCCCTGGGGGAGGATTATCTGATTTAATTAGTAATTTTTAATTGGTAACTAGTGACCAGTCTATTGCTTAGTCAAGGCAGCAGCGGCGTATACGGTCGTTGGCGTCTTTGCTTTGATTTTATTATTTTGACACCCTTTCCTTGCTATGCGGTTAGTCCTAGTACATGGCGACAGTGGATTTACGACAGTTAAAACTGCAATCGTCGACGAACACTTGTAAGAATTTTAAACTTAACTCTCTTCCCTCTTTGAAACTTTCTGATGCTTCTACCCGTGTTTTCGAGTTTCACTTTCGCTCTGTTATGGACCAAGATCCAATCTGAGAAAGATGTAATCTTTCTTTGCTATAATTTTAAACCAAACAAATACTTCAAATATTTACGTTGCAGATAAAGCAGACCGTACCTTAAAACAATTCTTGGAACATAATTGAAATTAGGGCCTACTGTTCTTGGGACCTAACTTTTAGTCTTGGTACATAATATACTGATTTTGGTATATAATTAAAATTCTTGGTACTTGCTATGAATTTCTTGGTATATGATTACAGATTTTGGTATATAATATGAGTTTCTTGGTATAAAATTTCAACTTCTTGGTATAATTGTGATTTTTTTATGTTGGATTTTTCCGTTTTGGCATTCCATAGCCCACAGACTGAAATGGAGTTTTACACCATACAGTTTGTAATTGATATAGGTTATTGGGTATATTAAAACAGTGAATTGTGAATTATAGCAGTATACAAATATGACAGTAATAAATATTACTGATATAACATGTTTAATGTTGTACACAAGTTTTTATATTCAAAACTAAATACTAACTCTGTTTACTCCGTCCTTGTTTATATCTTACAGATCTCTTTGATTGTGACCTTGGCCAGTGCTTTACATAGGAGTTTTTTTCGGATCTTCTTCACTCTTTATAACACTCTTTATATATATATATATATATAAAGAGTCAACCTGCTATAGATATAGTTATATATAAGTAAACACATTGTAAATTTTATCAATAGATAGATTTTATAGTAATAAATAATGACAATATTTACACTGCACACTTCAAAAAGTCTTAATAGATTTAGACCCGTTGTTCAGAGAAATTTAAACGATCACTGAGCGAGGACCTTCCAATGATACATTTTAAACTTTTTCGAGATGAAATGGTTTTATGTCCTGATTGGGATAAAACAGTTGGTTAATGACATACTATATGCGACGATGCTAACTTTTCCAGGAGAATTATGGAAGCATACTCTATAAATATGTCGTTTTCGAATTATTGTGGTATATTTAACAAGAAAAAAGAGAATGCAATTAGAAATGTCCTGGCAACAATATCCCTCATATCACTGCCCTTCATAAGTTCAATCAGGAGTTGATGTAGGCAGTGAACCCCATTCAGGTAACTTTTTTGATTCGAAATTTTCAGCAACAGACCACCTTCGTTTGAATTAATACCAAAACCACAAGTTAGGGAAATTTATAGACGACCACAGTCTTACCGATCCCTTCCCTATTATTATTTGTTCATGACACACTTTGTCCCAATTGCTAAGATATATACAAACCGGATCTTAAATCTATATTCAATCAAGGGATCGATATGTCGATTTAAATCAGGAAGTTTTGGATCATAGTGATTTGAGTAAAAACGTTGGATTATATTACAATTTGTCAATTTTAAATGTATTTCGTTTTTCATTTAAAATTTGTGTGTTTGTTTTATTTTTGCTGTGTGTAGAGGAATCCTGTCTTAGGTCTTATTGTACGTAATTGATCTGGTTTTTTTCAAACAGTTTTCAAATTTGACGGAAAGTGATAAAGGGGTTTCAAAAAACCCATATCCTTTAAGAAGAGAATCATTCACCATTGTCCTAAACGAGCGAACAACATATATACACAATGTCAGCTTTATCATTTCCGCTTTTGGAATCTACAGAATCTGGTGATGACACCATCCTTATATCACCATGGAGAATTTATGATTCTCGGCCAACATCTTTATCAGGAATGTTAGGAAATGGAGGTCAGAAGAAAACTGAAAATCCTAATTCTGAAATTAACTTTTTGATGTATTCTGGCAGCTCAGACGCACGACTATCTGGACAATTGGACCAATTCTGCAATATGTGGTAAGAAACATAAGGATTTATGACTTTTGTGAAAATTTACACGCTAAAAATGTTCTACCAATCACATAGATGTTGTTCAAGAAATACTTAAAAAGGATCGTAGTTTTTCGTGTTAAGAATTAAACTAACAAAAACAACGAAGAAAATGAAACTCGACATCTTTTTTAATTCTTCTTTCGACAGTCAACAAGAATATCTACAATAGCAAAAACGCTAGCATTTGTTCTGGAAGAGTAAGCATGATTAGGATCTATGGGAAAACAACCAAACCAATGAATTATAAACAATAGGCCTATCAGTTAAGCGAAAAATCAATACAACAGAATGGGGGTAAGGCAGGGTCCTCTACTGTCACCAGTCCTGTTCTCTTACGTTGTCAATATGATTGATCTTATGTATTTTCAGGGTTATAAAATGTGAGAATAATAATGATATAGATATTTGTCTGGAGAAATTACAACTAAAATATTCATTACTTCATGTTAACTTGGTGGAGAGAAAAGTATTTAAAGATACTATCGAAAGTAATATGTTTTCTAAACTCTTAATGTGCTCTTCCATTAAAACATTTCAAAGGAGGTTATTCTGCTTTCTGTATGCATGAACATACAACTTATATATTAATTCCGATTTCCTATCCGTCTTTGCTTACTATAATGAAACCCCACAATCCCTAGGGTTATTCAAAAATAGCCAAATGGTCTTTGAAATAGTGACGTCATAATGTTGAGAAATATAATAGGTTAAAACCTTGAATTCTATGCCCAAAGTGTTTGGTTTAGTATCAGTTGTCAAATATTTCAGTTCCAATGTTAATTTTCATCAACAATGAATCAGAAGCGATAGAAACATTAAAAAATAACCTCAATATGGTGAAAGAGGCTGGACCAAATGGAAAACACTTTTCTTATGAGGTAAGAAAATAACGTTTGTAGATTTTATCAAGGCCTTTGATTTCAAATATCGTGTCCATCATCTGCTGACTGGAAACGTTTAATTCCTAGGTTGAGGACGTGAATATATTTATTTTCTATTTCATATTATCCTTTCAGATAGATTATGGACCAGCAGTAGAGAAATGGGCCTCTGATGTATTAAAGAGAGATTTTGTGTGTATTGGAGGAAGATTCTGTATCACCAACTCTGATAGTTTTAACCATGTACTAGACTGGAACAATATACTTGGATGTCTAGTCTGTTTACCCTGTGGTTTGATGGCTGGATCAGCTTATAGGGTAGGTTAGGATAAATTTTTGGTAATCGAAAAAGTGCCATCAATCAGACAAAATTTCGACTACAAGTCCTCACCGCTTGTCCGCATTCTCTAGCAAATCAGACGTAAAAAATATATTGTAAATCTTCAATATTCATTTCTCAGTTATATGATCAGATGATCCGATAACACAGTGTTTACATTTATATCTGCAACATATTGGCACGTCTGTTTTCAATTGAAAGTCTTTTGACTTTATCGGAACTTGTATCGTGTCTGTATTATTATGCTTACAGATAGGAAGAAAAGCTTGTTATCTAGAAAGCATGTGGACACCAAAACAAGATGTGATATTAGTTGGAGCTAAAGCTCGAGATGGTGATTCTCAGAGAGAAACACTTCTAAAATGTAAGTAAATGTGGAATATCTCAAATTGTTCTGAACTCGATTTTGAAATTCACATTTAAACATTTTAAAACAGCTCCTTCAAGCAAAAATGTTTTTATAACTTTGATTAGGCGGTGGACCAGCTTTCAAAAGAACTCAATAAGACGCGGCATCAACACTATTTGCCCATCTAATGTGTAGGTGTGTATAGTGTTCGATCTACTGCGCCTTTCACTTAAGCGGAAATTCAAATCGTTAATATCATTCGTTTGACTCTTAAATATTTTCGATAACCAATATTTGTCATATTGTCCTCTGACACTAGGTAAGGCAATGTCTTGATTTCATTCTAGTGATAGAATGGATGTCAGAGGATCCAGAAGCAGCCAAACCACCACAAGAACAGTCCCCGGCACCAGAGCTAACAACCATTACAGAAGAAAGTGAACAAAAGAATCATGGAATCAAAGGTGTACGAAATCAACCATCTACATCAGGCATGCCGGAAGTTGATAGCGACTCAAAATTCAAGAAAACCTTCCGATATGATCCACTCTCTTATCCACGTCTAATGAGCTTCCTTGCTGCAGACAAGACAACCGATGCGTCTAAAAACAAAGATACTAAAAAACTAAATGCTTCCAGAAAGATTTCAGTACGACCAACAGATCATGGCAAGAATAGACGGCCATTACTGAAAGTCAGAGATTCTGTTGGTGAATCTAAGGTGTAAAAATTTTGTTTAGAAACATAGACAGACGGTTGGCATAAAATCTAAACTACCCAACAACACAGACCACATCGAATCAATCATATAACCACACCCATCACACCAGCCGACAACCAACCGCCCATCCGCAGTAAAAACCCAGCGGTACCAATCTACACTAACCAGCCAACCAAATAAGACACCCAGCCGTACAAACCACATCAACCACACCAGCCAGCCGTTTAAAAACATAAGATACCCAGCCATACAAACCACATAAACCACACCAACCAGCTGGCCGTTTAGAAACATGACACCCAGTATGGAACGCCATTAATGCAAAAAGTCAGTTCACACATCCAAGCAACCAACCACCAACCGATCAATATTGCATGTTTATGTCAATTTAGTAAACAGTGCCAACATAGCGGAAATTATAGAGACACGGATCACCTTCATTCTTGTTATGTTATGTTATTTAGATTTAAATTATTTTATAAAAACTACGGCTCATACATTCAATGATCATTATCTCATTATTTCTCTAAACAAATTTGATTTTGATGGGTTTGGAAATAGAGATTGTGTTTGAGCAAATGGTCAGAATGAGACAAATATGAAGAAAATAGGGTGAAAACTATAGCATGGCCTCAACAGACCTAGATCGTTCAAAATAGGCCTGTGGTATGTTAATATCAACTTCCCAGTTGTATGAATGGGCAGTTATCAATAATCGTCTACGGTTATACAATTGGAGAATTGATAGCAGAAAAGTATTGACTGAGCTTTTCAGTTTCAGAGATTCAGTTATTTTCTTTAAGTAATTTCATGTTTTATTGTGCTAGGGTTGATTGACGGAGAATTGTTTTCTCAAGTGGGAAAGTGTATTATAGAGATTGAGAAGCACTGGCCACGTATTCTCGAAACGATCTTAACGCTAAGATGTCACAGGTTCTTATCTCTTGGATATCCAAGCGCTAAGATCGTTTCGAGAATACGTGGGTTGGTGTATAGGATAATTGTTCATGATACAAAGAGTTCTGCAAGCCCTACTGTAAGGATATTTGTACTGACCCAAAAGATACACCCCAATAATGATACATTGTAAATGTTAAGTACAGATCGATAGTACGCGTCACTGGTTACCTGATTCAAATGAATGAGTTTGAATGAGTTTGATCGGAAATAGGTTAATAAGATATGACTCAATGAATTCAGGTAGGAACATTGAAAAACTAGGTCATATTAGAGGAAGGAGCGGGTCTTCAGTACAATATTTTTTGATTCATAGAAATATAATAACAATAAATCATATGTGTTGAAAAGGGGGGGGGGGGGGGTCTTCTTATAGTAGAACAGTTACAGCTTATACCTATGTAAATTGTTGAAACGTTGTTTACAATCTTACTCCGTATACAGTATACAGTTGCTCAACTACCAAAGGAGATGTCTGAATCAAGTCCACGGGCCCCATCCCACAGGGGAACCCCATCCCCGGAAAAAATACAAAATTAATTTTCTGTCTTACCAAAGTATACAATTGTAATCAAATAAGACACCAGCTTATAAATAAGCGAAATAGAATTAACTTATGCTGTAAATCTTCTAAGACTGCAGACTGTGTGTGATGAAAATGAATTCCCGAAGGAGAGGTCCCAACCCACCAAAGTCCACAAGCCCCAACTCATCTGGTTGAGCCACCGGAAATATATCAATAGATGACGTTAAGGTGTTGGTTTGGTTTATACAGTTATATGGTACTTATGGATTAGGTATGAAAGATTCAAATCAAGACATTCTCAAGAAAAACAAGCGTGGGAACAACATCCCCAAGGACCTGACGTCCATAACATTGACCCATAAACACAAAGCTTAGAAACAATATGAATCACTAGACCAGAACAGTACTGTTAATCAATGTTGGCATGGTGAATCACAGAGATTATTGTATGTCCAAGATAATTTGATGAGCTTTAACTATTTTAGATGAAAAGTGCTTGTATCAACCTTTACTTTGTTCATGACAGTCAATATTAGAGTGGACATTGTTATATTATGCAGCGAAAATTGAAATACATATTCTGTTTAAGTAATGCCTGAAGTAAACTTTTCGGGATTACAAATTGAACAAACTTGATACAAAATGGGAACAGAATTGAGGTTTCCTCTTTTGGAGTCTACAGAAACTGGTGATGACGTCATATTGATAGCACCGTGGCGTATGTATGTGTCCCGACCATCAAAATTATCGGAATCACTCGGGGACGGTTTGAAGCAAGGACAGAAATCTGAAATTAACTGTATGATGGATTCAGGACCTCCTGACTATCAACTGTCAGGACAGCTGGACCAGTTCTGTGATATGTGGTAAGTATGTTATTAACCCAAATCCAAGGATCGTGGACATACCAGCTGATGTAAGATGTCGCAATAAATTCAACTCACAACAATTACCAACATTTTCTCTGTCGATTTTGTTTCTGGGATTTGAAAGCTGTTTATATCGTTATCAGATCAGTATCATGCTCTTCCTTCTTTCAACATTTAAAGTAACATCCGATCCAATATATCAAAGATGTTTCTGTGTAAAAACACAGGTTTATTTTATGACTTGGGAAAACCTTTGATCGATTTTTTTTTATTGAAGTTTGAAGTCTATTAGTACAACGACATAATCTATCATTGTAACTTTGTTTGCTATGTCCGTAATGATTGCGTATTTCAAAACCAAAATTGTAATATGAAATTCATACCATCCTTATGCAACATCTGCGTATTTTCTTTAAACATTTTCAGGGTTATAGAATGTGAGAATAATAATGATATAGATATTTGTCTGGAGAAATTACAACTAAAATATTCATTGCTTCATGTTAACTTGGTGGAGAGAAAAGTTTTCAAAGAATCCATCGAAAGTATGTTTTATATCCTTTAATTTTACTTTCAAGTACATGTTTGTAAATACGATGACTAACCCATGAAATCTCATGTAAACCTATGATGCTCAACGAAAACTTACCATCCAGATGAAGCGTGTTCTGTTAATGAAATATTTGAATTCCCCCCTCACGTTTTTTAGTTCCGATGCTAATTTTCATCAACAATAAATCAGAAGCGATAGAAAAATTGAAGAATAATCTTAATATGGTGAAAGAGGCTGGGAATAATGGAAAACACTTTTCTTATGAGGTAACTCATTAACGATTGATGATTTTTACAAGGCTTTGGACTCAGTTTAGCACATGAAATGAATGGATTCCTTACTGTGAAGATTTTCTACGAGCATAATGTAAAAACTTAAATACTACAAAACCCCCCAAAAAGCTATCAAATTCTTAATACGTGTTCTTTTTGTAAATTCTTAGTAGTTCTTACGAGACATGAAAGAGATTGCGGGTTGTTCACAATCATTAGCTCTGATATCTCAGTGTAGTGTTGTTCCAATGCTACTGTTTCAGATCGACTATGGACCAGCAGTAGAGAAATGGGCCTCTGATGTATTAAAGAGAGATTTTGTTTGTATTGGAGGAAGATTCTGTATCACTAACTCTGATAGTTTTAACCATGTACTAGACTGGAACAATATACTTGGATGTCTAGTCTGTTTACCCTGTGGTTTGATGGCTGGATCAGCTTATAGGGTAGGTACTCCGGTCAGGTGTATCCTGTAACGTTTGTTTTGATGGCTTGATCTATTTATCTGCTAGGTGCCTCATAATTTTTATGATCAGACGCTGTCTTTTTGCTGTACTCATTGTAATTTGTTCCATGGTTTAGTTCTCCTTCAATTACCATACATAATGTTTGCTCATTGCCTTTAAAATTTCATCTTCTAGATAGTACAACGGTGGTTTTCGTGGTACAATATATAAGGGAAATGGGTCAAGTTTTAGGTTCCAAATTTAAACTTTTCAGATAGGAAGAAAATCTCGCTATATGGAAAAGATAAGGACACCAAAACAAGATGTGGTATTAGTTGGAGCTAATGGTCGAGATGGTGATTCTCAGAGAAAAACACTACTCAAACGTGAGTAGCATATTTTAACTCTTGTTTATCTTCTCAAGGGATATTTTCATTCGTACGACCATGAGAGACTAATTCACTCGTACGATTTTAAAGATTCAATTCACTCTTACGACCCCGAAGGACCAATTCACTCGCACGACTTTGAGGGACCAATTCACTCGCACGACGTTGACGGTTCACTTCACCCGTACGACCTTGAGGGACTAATTCACGGCATTGAGGGAACAATTCACTCGTACTCGACTTTGTGGTCCAAATTTGCCCGTGCAGTTAAGATGCAAGACAGGTTGTTCTCTGTAAGTTATGTTTTTCAATATGAAGTCTTCGTGGACAGTTACCACTCCAAAAAGATCAATACATTAGTTGTGCCTTTCAAAAATCCGATGTTGTATTCTAGTGATCAACTGGGCGTCAAAAACCAAAGCAGATCCACTGAGAGAGGAAACCGAATTTACAGATATTCTAAACAGACCTTCGACCTCCAAGCTCACTATAGTCGATACCGATTCAAATTTTAAAGGATACGAAGACCCGCTGCAGAATCCAGATTTCCACAAATATCTGACTGCAAGTAGATCAAAAAGAACAGACATTGTTCAAACACACACGAAATACGAGATAAATAATCGACCACGATGGCGATATTAAAACAGATTTTACACCAAACTTAACTGTATAATAAACTGAATATACTCTTATTTATTCTTCATGATTTTTCCTCTTATATACTTTATATGGAAGCAGAAAGAGGACAAAAGCAAATATAATATGATGTAATGTTATAAGTGACATCTTTTATGGTTTTGTCAAGATTAATATTTTATACAGTAAATATTTCAAGATTTTGGCTAATATGAAGATCATAGTTGATGTACATGTATGAATATATATGTCTTTTATAATGCCCCCTCTTAGCTTCTGTATATTGATGAACTCTGTCTTTTGGAGACAATTCTGAGATTTAATTTAAAATAATACGTAATAAATAGTTTCTAGGGTCACAAAACCGGAAGCTAAATTTTTCAGGGGGGGGGGGGGGCAAATTTTCTTAGAAGAAGATGTGTTCTCCAAACTCTATAATTCAAGCAATCAAAATTTTATCCGAAGGAAGGTGCAAACCTTCTGAAACAACACAACCAAAATGCCCCAACCACAATCAGAGGGATGTGGATTATTACTGTAATAATTGTAATGTAGGATTGTGTATTAAGTGTATATTTAAACAACACAAGGAACATGAAACACTGGATGTAGAATGTGACGAAACACGAAATAAAGCCATAGAAAAACTTCAACGTTCTCAAAACATCATTCAAAACAGAATCAAAAATTTGGAGAAGACTCGCGCTACATTGTTAAAATCATTTGAGCAATTGCAATCTTTGTGTGAAGATACCTGCGCTATAGTAACTAAAAGCACTGAAGAAAATGTTTCAATTTTAAGAAAAAGTTGTAAACAGATTATTACAGACATCAAGAAAAATTTAGAAGAAAATAGGAGGAAAGTAAAGGATAGGGAAAAAGAAACTGTAAGTGAAATAGATGCAGTAAACGTGATATAGAATCAAATGTTTCACCTTCAAATAAAACAACATTAAACATTTTACAAACATTGCCTCGTTTGTCAAAAATAGTAAAACGGACTGAAAGTAAGAAAGATTATCATTTGAGTATAGAGTATTTGCAGTGGGTGAGGAAAGATTTTAATTTAGATATATATCAGTTAGGGTCGGTTATTTCTAAATCATATTATATAAGAGGTTCGAATCAGTATTTTTTTTATATCAGCGATATTAAGAACAGTTGTAGGGCACATTTCAATACCGATAAGTTTAGGTACAACAACCGGGTATGGTGTTGTTATGTAATGAGATCTGGTCAAGGTTATTTAACTGTTGGTATTAGACTGCTTCCAGATGACAATCATGTACTAAACAGTTGTATTATTGATAGTCAAATCAGTTTATTGAACATTGATGATGCCAGTAAAACTTTAACGAAAACACATAATAACTTGAGATTAGAGAGAGGCAGTTGGTGGAGTTGGAAGTGTCATATTAAATGGTCTGAACTCACTAACAAAAACAATGGTTATTTAACAACTAACGACCAGTTTGTGATTAAATGTGATATAACACAGCTCAGAGAAGCATCACTGAAATAGAGTAGTTAAGTCAATATTATAATCTCTAATCCTGCAGTTAGAAATAAAGTCTTGATTTTAACACTTGTCAGCAAAAGTCCGCAATTAGCACAGCAGTGACATATATTTCAAATATTTAAAATGTTACAAAAACAGTGTTGAATCATATTTTTCTTTCCCGTCTTCAAAACGTCCTTTTTCTTTCCTGTACCTTCATTCTAAAGTTATATTGGCGATCTATGCGACGCAAATAAATAGCGTATTTGAAAAGCTGAATTCATTTTAAGGTGTCAATTACCATACATTCTATTACTCGTGTCTTGAACTACATTTGTTATCGGGAATGCCCGTCAAACAATAAGAAATGGAAAAAGGGAAAAACATTGGCCATCTTGATAACACGAAAACATAAATTGAACTTGTGCCTAGACTTAAATCCTGCATTTTATGCAATTTGAATATGTAAAAGTGATATCGCAAGGATTTACCTGTATTATATCGCAAGGATTTTGATGTATTTCAAAAGCTTTCTTCCTCTATCATATGCTCAGGTTGACCTATTTATTTCTTTCATTCATTTTGGCTGTTTCTTTATCATTAATTTTTTTTCTTATATTTCTCGCTATTAGTTGTGGGATTTTGGGGTCTTTTCCCCACCCACCGTGTAGGTGTGGCTAACTGACATTGTGCCCAATATCAGTGTGCCCAAAAATTCCACCTTTTCTTTGTCAATTTGTATTTCATTGTTAATATTTGTAAATTAATCAAAGTAATTATAAATACTTCTATATATAAGTTTATAATTTTTAAATTTTGATATTTTACTATGAATCTGTTTGAATATTTTTTGATACAGTTGATTAGACTATGATTTATGATATAATTATTTAAGTATTAGTAAATTTGAAGTAATTATTTGGTACTATCTTTCTTCTATATATAAAGTTGCATTTTTTATAAATGTCAGTATGAACAGTCTATAGTGACTAAAGTATGAATTTTCTCATATTGACGAAATTTTATTAGTTTGAATTCAATTATATATATATATATGCCAGTTATATATATATATAACTGGCATATATATATATATATGTAATTGAATTCAAACTAATAAAATTT